CTTAATTCAAGTATACCACTTGATGCGTCTCCTGGTTTCATATCCTTTTCTTCGCGCTTCTCCCATCGCGTCTTGTTCTCTACTTCACCGTCGGCAGTCCATGCCAGACATTGTTTGCCTTCTCTGATCTCGAACACGACGTGATAGAGAGCATCATCATCGGATTCCGGTTCATTGGCGCCTTCCTCGTGATTCTGAGCTTGGAATTTACTTCGTACCCAAGTGGTGCTAATATCGCAGCTGGTGGTCTTCTTGTGTGGCTTGAGGTAGCACACGTTGACCTCGTATGGTTGTTCTTTGGTCTGAAGTCTGTGGTCCAGTATCTTAAGTCCGGGTTCCCCGTTACTTTGATTACATTTCTGGACCACAACCCATCGATAAAAATGTTGCGCATAGTTTGAGTATACGCCGCAAAACTTCTCGAGATCGTGTTGGGCCTCAACAGCTTGCGGCTTCTCCTCGACTTTTGCAGCGTCAGACATGGCTATGAAGGTGTGGTTTGATTGAGTCAATGTTGAATTTAACGGTGCGGGATTGCGAGACGTCTTCTTAGATGGTGAATACTCGCTGGGAAGACGGCTATCTCGGGGCTTTAAATAGAGAAGGCATCATATCCTCTGTTTATGATGCCTAATCTTCATGTCCTCGAACAGCATCTTCGACTTGTCGCCTAATAGTGGCGGTAAAGGTGGGTGAGGTGGTGAACCGTTCCTTCACATCAAAGGACTTCTTTGCTGAAGGATACGTGTGGCCGCTCCTGTTCAGAGGTGCTTGCCAAACAACGGAGGAGAGAAACACGAGGTTCTGAACATATAGAACAAAGACTGAAAAATCATGGGAAGTGTGCTCATTTGAACCGCCGTCGCCAATAATCGGCAGATGAAGCATAGTTGCATGTTCAAAAATGATGTTCTCTATGGCTCACCTGTTGGATAGAGCCTCCAATAGCTGCCATGGTACTTTATGTTCCGTGTCACCAAAAGTCTAGATGGATAAATCTCTTCCGAGAAATCACCGATATCCCCACCTTCCCAAACTGCAACATACAGCCATTTCCAGGGGGAAACCGGGATTCCGATATTCCATAACTTAGAAAAGTCAATGAGATCTGGAGTAGTAATTTTGTCCGCTTCAACCAGCGAAATTCTGGTGTTGAAATTCTGGTGTTGTATGTTTCCTATTATTTCCGGTGATGTAGGATCTTGGGCGGGACCATTTCGGGAGACGCCATGATCGATGCTTCTGACCCTCGATTCTATGACGTCCTCTACATCGATAAAATGGTTGTTAGGGTGTTGGTTGCCCTCGTAATGCAGAGCTATCACCCTTAGAATTAACCCAACGATGGAGGGCCTCTCCGCCTTCAGTGATACTGGTCTTAAAGCTTCAAGTCCTGCTATCTTTCTCCATAGCGAAAATTCAGCCCTAGAGAAACATCGATCATACCAGAAATGGCAATGAAAAATGATGCCAGCATCCTTTTCGCTACGAGGAACGATATGCTCGATGCACGCGAGTGAGTTGGTGGCTGATGGCAGGCTTTCAGGTTGCCTTATTTTACCTTGGGTCGTGAGAAAGATGGGTGGAGGGGTAAGAAGCGGGGGACCGACATCAGCTTCCGTGACGGCACATTTACCCCGCATAAGTGGGTACTGGAACGGGGGACGGCGCCTTCGGTCTGGACTTCGAAGACACGGGTGTACATGTCCTCAGCCAGTCTCAAAGGTGCCGCAACGGCTTTGGTGGGCCTGGGTCAGGTCTCTGACACCCGCGGACTGGCCATTTGCGGGCCCGGAGTGGCCAGCTGCTTCCCGACGTCCACAAGATGAAGTCAACGGGTGTGGCCATCTGTATCTCAAATGATATCTAGCAGCCCTCAACTACGATTGCAACATTACTACAAGTGACTCTTTATAAACCGGGTACCACCACTAGATGATCTTTCCGCTTCATCATCTCGAAGCGCCCATTCCCATTTGTCGTATCTCTTTGGCCAAATTCCGTTCTTGCCAGGAGCGAGAATGCCGTTCGGATCCAGCGCATTCTTGATTGTTTCATTTAGCTTCATCTGGGCATTGTTGTTGAAGTTATACGTGTTTGCGATCTGGTCCATCAACGCTAGATGTGTTCTGTACTCGCCCCAACCACGTTCCGCACAGTCCTGGATCAGTTGCCGGATCAGCCATCGCGCTTTCAAGCGCTGCTGAGGGTCTTCGCGGTTGAAGACAATGCACACAATGTGGTCTGCCAAATATCTCAGTGTCATGGTCCCGAGGCTGCTTGGAGTAATAGAGGGCTACTAACGCATTTCTCGCATACCAATGGTGAAGGTGCCAATGAAGTCGAGCCCAGCCTCTGCGAACCTGCGCTTTGTGACCTCGTATTGGAGCTTGGCGTCCGTCCCAGAAATTTTTGTGATGGGCGAAAAGAATAAATGCGCGCCGTTTGGTAGCCAGCTAGTACAACAATGATCAGTCAAGTGGACAACATTGAGTGGTGATATCAAGGTCAGGATAGGCAAGATATGCCAGGATGTTGACAAGCCACATACCTCACCCATCGAAGCTCGTCCAGGGAAGGAACGCCTCTCAAGGTCTTCTCCCTTGTCTTCAAGACGCTGTATGGCTCATCTCGATCCTCCGCAAGAAAGAACTTTGAGCCGGGAACCTTTAGGAAAGCGGACTTGATGGTATCGAGAAAGAATTTCCGCACAGGCTCCGGGCCCTATGGCGATGGGAATTAGCCATTGTTTCTGCAAACAGCGCCCGAAATGATCTTAAAGAGGTTCTTTACATAGACAGCACCATAGAAGTTCCAGCGACCAAGATTCAGTCTGGCTGCGATCGCATCAAGGTCTTCATCGGATAGTGGTTCGGTCTTGTTCGTGTAAGAAGCCTTATTCCCAGCTACGGCGGCGTCCAGAAGTAAATGGCGAATGGTGGGCACGTTTTGAATGACTGTTTGCTGTGGGCATTGATTCTCGTCAGTCTCCGTAAGTCGATCAATTCATAGAGAGACGGAAATGTTCAACTTACTAGGCGCAACGGTCTTATAATATCCACGATTTCTGACAGGTCATCCTCGCGAGGGAATATGATCATGTAGGCTTGATATCCCCCAGGATTCGGCATCAACTTTCACGGTTACTGTTAGCACTTGTACCCTTGGCCAAAGGTCAGGCCACTGAGGAGAAAGATATGGTTGACTGACCCACACTCCCATTTTGACAACGATGCCAAGGCTGCTCTGGGAAAAGATTCCGTCGTTGTAAGGGCCAAATCCATAGTTGAACAGCTGCCAAGCAGAATTTGCCTTCTGTTCATGGGGCGGAAGGTCTGAATTTCCTGAAGACGGGTCCGGAAGCGCTCCCATGCCAGTGCGGATGAGGGTGCCGTCGGGGAGAATGACCTCCATACCGCAATGCATCATGAAGTGATCTGTTGAACGTCAGAGATATGATCAACTGAGTGCAACAGACCTAAGACTAAATCTTACCTCCGTAAGGCGCTGTAAGATTTCCAAAGTGATCAGCCTACAAAGTCTGGGACAGGATTAAGGCCAACACTCAACGCTTACTGTAACCGACACCTCTCTCAAGAGTGTTCCCTATGTACGTCAGTCAAGGACTATAAGTAAGCAAGCCGTGATTGCTACCAATAATTGAGCCGCCTCCAAGATCAGGTACCTAAATCCATAGTCAGAAATACGATTTCATAATCCTTGCAAAAGAAGAACTCACATCTAGCCACAAGTGTTTGCTGAGGCCAGTCTTGACAAGATGCTCATATAGACCAGCAAAGGTAACCCCAGGCTCGACAAGAGCGTACGCCCCATCGACATTTACCTCGAGGACCTTATTCAGATGCTTTCCGAGTTCTATGCCGAGACTGCCTGGAACTCGCGGTGCTGCGCCGCCGTATCCCGTGTTGCGGCCAATGGAAAAGGGCCAGACGGGCATCTGCAGCTGGTTGCAAAGCCGCATCACATCTTGGACTTCGGGGACAGACCTGGGATTGACGATGGCGCACGACACGAAAAAGTCTCTCTCGTAGACGGCGTGCATGTCGTGGGACTTGCATGGGTTGACGTAGTCTCCGTCGGCCAGCTCCTTGTCTGCCGAGATGATGTCGAGGTTCTCTGCCCCTACGATTGGGACTACGGACTCGACGAAATGCTCAAAGTCATTGGCATTCCAGCCGGGAGGAAGACGGCGTGGTTGAGGGAACGGCATTTTGTATGTCGCCGAAGTATCCGGCCAGCAAGTGCTGTAAGATCGCTTGTTGGTGCGTGGCGCGATGAATTGGTATCAAAGCAAGGAAGAAAGAGCTTAGTAGTAACGCTATCACTCATGGTACCACAACGCGTTCATGTTGTCTTATAGTTACAGATTGAACATACTTCAAGTGCTTCAAGTCCTACCTGCGGTTACAACATCCGCCCCAATCCCGGGGCCGAGGTCATGAGCCTGCCGATGCAGCACACCCTCTCGGGATTTTCCCCACACAACTCCGCATCGAAACCGCCGCTCTACTGCTCGTGTAAGTGAAACTATCTCCGAGTGCGGGGCACCGGTAAGCTCTCACCACCATGTTTGTCGCTGCCAGTTCAGTCAACGAAGCCTCTTGCGGTTGGCGTCCATCGATTGAAAAAATGGGGTGCGAGATCCAAAGCGTTCCCCGTGGGGTGTGGAGTTTGCTCCGATGTCTCTCCATTGAGCTTGCCGGCAAACTCCACATCCCACGGGGAACGCTTTGAATCTCGCACTAATCCCCTGGCGATACGTTCCTATACAACATGCTTTCAGGAAAGCCACTATGGCTGATCAACCATATCCAGTTGAGAGTACTGCCCAGGGTGAATCTTCCATATAAGTTTATGGTGTATTCGCGCAGCAGTATTACGGAGTTGTCAAAGGAAGCCTCTATCTTGGTATCAAACGGACTCACCCATGTGAGCTTATATTTCCAAATCTGATCAGTACTATCCACGCAGCAAAAACAATGAACTTGTTTTCGACACAGTCTCTGAGCCTACCACGTGATGGTTATATGTCCTCTGCGAAGGACATTATGGGTAGTTGGAGTTATGTGATGGTGTTTGCGGTTGTTCTACTCCTCTGGTTCTCTTCGACCATATATACCGTGTTTTTCCATCCTCTCAGCAGTGTCCCAGGGCCATGGCTGGCCCGTTTCAGCGAGGCCTGGAGATCCCACAAGTACTTCCGAGGGACATGGCACCAAGATGTCGTCCTGTTGCACCGGAAGTACGGGAAAGTCGTCCGAATTGCCCCAAACGAGTTGAGCATTGTCGATGAAGCCGGTCTGAAAGCACTATACGGCCATGGTCAGAAAGTTGTCAAGGTCAGGAACCCGAGCCCCAACCAGAAGCTTGCCAATATGTGAAGTCTGTTATCTGACTGTGGATCACAGAGCAAATGGTACGACACTTGGACCGTTCCCAACATGAGTATGAGTTTCTTCGCCGTCAGGGACATCAAGACTCATCGGCATCTGAGGTCTCGCGTCTCGTCCGGGTACTCCATGACGGCCATTCAATTCATGGAGCCCTTGATACAAGATGTTGCAAACTCCATGTGGCAGAGAATGGGAGAGTTTGCCGATAGGAATGTTCCGGTTCGCATGGACGAGTGGGCAAACTACTTCGCCTTTGACGTGGTTGGCAGCCTAGCTTTGGGAGGCCCTATCGGTTTCATAGAGAAGGGAAAGGATGTTGACGGCATCATCCGGTCAATCCACGACGGCTTCTGGCTCATGGCAAACATGGGCAACATGTCACTTCAAATGACGTGGTTCAACAACCGCATAGCGCAGTGGGCCCTTAGGTCGTTTGGCGGCGAACGACTCCAGGCTTTCTCCAAATTTGTGGACTGGCTCGAAGTCCGCGTTGACGAGCGCTACCGCGATGGCCTCGGTTCTCAACGGCGAGACATGTTGCAGCTCTTCATCGACGCCAAGGACATGACAGGGCAGCCGGTTACGAAAGGCGATGTGATGATGGAAGGTGTCAATATCCTGGGTGCTGGAGCAGATACGACGACCATTGGCATTCTTTCCGCGCTGGGCTCGCTTCTTCTTCATCCCGAAGCGATCGTTCGGCTCCAGGCAGAGATCGATGAAGCGTATTGCTCTCTGGGACTTGAGAAGACAGGGCGAGACATCGAGTTCTTAGAGTCGTCTAAACTGCCGTTCCTATCTGCCGTCATCAAAGAGAGTACGAGACTGCACCCTTCCATTCAGTATCAACTTCCCCGCATGGTTGGTCCCGGAGGCTTGCAACTAGATGAAGTGGTAGTGCCGGAAGGCACGGTCTGTGGCATAAGTCCCGCTTCGATGAACAGGTCGATGGAAATATTTGGCCCAGACGCCGATGAGTGGAAGCCTGAGAGATGGATTGCGACTGATGCAAACCATGAAGAAAAGATCAAGTATTGGAACTCCCATTTAACAACGGTAAGAACACGTCCGAATCTCCTCCCTATGTAGCAATCAGAGAGGGCAGCAAAAGGTGGCTAACGCAACTACAGTTCGGCATGGGAAGCAGAAGCTGCGTAGGGAAGAACTTGGCCACGGTTGAAATGCACAATTTCATAGCGCAGTTCTTTCGTAGGTTTGATGCTTCTTTAGTGGATCTGGACCGCCCCTGGCAAACAAAGACGCAATGGTTTGCTTTTCAGAGGAACTTCTGGGTACGCGTACAGCGTAGACATTGATCTAGATCGGTGACTAGTATTTAGCTTTCGGTGGGAAAATAGATTCACTCGGACAATGAGGATCCTCCAGATCAGCCCATACATAGGCATCGCATGAAGTAGTGGTATCAAACAACTGAAGTTAGGCACAAGAAACAGATCAAAAGCCTTGCATTCGAGTCTCTGGCCAAACTCATGCTGCTCATGTCGAAGAAACATAACTCAGGTGAGGTGCCGAAATAAAGATACACACTCGAAAGACAGTGTGGCCAGAAATAGCCGGCCCTTCACGCCCCCTCTCTGCCGATCCTCCCGGCAAGGCGCGGTTCCCCGCAGATCCACATTGGGGAATGTCTGGGGAAGCAAACGGTATTTCATGAACATGTTGCCTTGAAGAGCCATCACCCCCGATCACCCACGCGTAGTGTCTATTCGGCGCCCCATGATCCCCGACACTGATAATTTTATCAGTCATGGCTTCCAGAACGCTGTCTTCTTCTGCTACCTCTGGCATCACATGCCAAGTGTGCGACCGAAAGTTCACACGTCTCGAACATCTTCAACGCCACGAAGTGATGCGTATATAAGCCCAATCTCCCATAATCCACGCTCGATCAATGGAAATTCTGACGTTTAGGTTCCGCCACAGACAGTACCAATCGCCCATTCAACTGCCATTTCTGTTCGCAATCTTTCGGGCGCAGGCAAGTAAGCCTATTTCGTGTAGAGGAACGACTATACTAAAGCCCAATTGCTCTCGGAACAGAGACGTTCTCAAGCGTCATTTCAAGGCCTGCAAAGAGAGGCTTCGGGCCGATGTAGAGATTCCGCAGCTTACTCAAAACACCAGAGGCAAGAAGAAGACAGCCTGCGATCGTTGCAGCCATCGGAAGCGAGCTTGCAGCTCTCAGTGGCCATGTCGAACTTGTCTAAAGGACAACAGGCCTTGCACGTATACAGCACAGATTGCCAACGATGAGAATCATAGTTCAGCTGCGCATGATACACACCAGGATACATCACCTATGATAGACAAAATCCACGGCGATGTTAGATCGGGTGCTCTGACGGAACGAGCCATGGCCCAAGAATCTCCAGCCCCAATCGCACCACTCGATGCGCGCGCTTCCAGCGACGGCCTATTTTACATGCCTGCGACTGAAGGCGGCATTCTAGATACATATCTAGACGAGCCTCTAACCAACGAGTTAGGCCTAGATGATCCCTTCCATTATCATGCTGAGGAGCCGTCCGACTTGCTCATTCCTGACCTGGTCTACTCTACATTCGACTTCCCATACGAGACCCGGACACATAACACGACCAAATATCACTTTAATTACATGAAAAGGTTTACCAAGTTCGCGGGTCTGGCGCAATCCTTTGAATGTGGCTCGCTCCAAGAACGACAGTCACTACTCCAGCAGATCCGGAGACCAAACCTGAGGTGCGATGGTCGCAGTTGGGACAACTACTTGCGCTCGGTATTTCCCCTAACCGCAGAAACTGAGATATCATGGCGCAGTAGCCAGACCCCTTCTGTCTCGCTCTCGACCGAATCCCAATACAGCCTTAATAACCGGCCTGACGATCAACTCTCCAGGTTCCAAGTGGAGGAGTCTCTTAACGTGACGTCCAAGATTGTCGCAATGCTTAAAGACATCACCATCAGCAAACCAAGAGGCAGCAAAATCAACATCTCCTGGTCCGGCTCCATCGAATTTTCCTGCCACAACTTCTTCTCCCCTCAAAGACTGCAAGACAACCTCGAGCTGTTCTGGTCGTGTTGGTATCCCAACTGCCCCATCATTCACAAACCGTCCTTCTCGACCTTCAATGCATCACCCTTGCTCATCGCTGCCATGGCCGTCCTGGGAGCATGTCTCTCTCCGTCGCCGAGCGTCCGCGCGAACGCCAACATCTGGTTCAACAGTGTAGAGGAACTCGCCTTCCTCGACGAGGCTCTTCTTGACGAGTCTATCACTGTTGACGATTCCGTCTCATGTGACGATGACGCGGTCTATAGGCGCCTCGAAGCGATTCAAGCTGCCTACTTGGTTTGTCTGATACAGTATTGGGAGGGTGTGAAACCGAGTAAACGTCGTATTCGGAGGAATAGGTACGCTGTTGTCTTGGATGTAAGTCAGATCCAAATCTTGCACAATAGTCCACCCGTTACCAGCTAACCGCCCTTCTGTCAGGCAGCAAGAGACTTTGGTTTGGATGATCTTACTCGTCATAAGCTGCCGGTTGAAGATTCCTCCACTTTCAGCTGGAAAAGGTTCATATTACTGGAGATGCTTATTCGGTGAGTTTACCACATAGGATGCATGGAGCTCCCAAGAAGGCAAGCAGAGTCTGATGTACGACAAAAAGAACAGGGACCTACATCTTCCTACTCGATGGTGCGTTTGTCATCTTCCACAACTCGCCTCCGAGACTCGTCGTCGCAGAGATGAGAATGAGTCTCGTCTGTCCCGACTCCTGCTTCCAAGCGTCCTCTCAAGAAGAGTGCTTCGTCATCCTACATAATTGGACCTCGAGCGAACCGAGACAAGCTCAGATGCGGGTCGTCGATCTCGTCGAGGCCATGTGCAACAACCACCTCAGCGACGAAGAAACTTGCCAAGGCCTAGCGGGTCTCAGCATGCTGAACCTGTTCACGGCCATCACTGGTATGTACCTTACTTCAATTGAGTCTTTCCTTTCAATGGCACTTCAGGTGTTGTTTACACGCAAACGAGGGCAGATGCTTACGCGATATAACTTAGCATTACACACCCTCGGATTCCACTACGAGGTATCTCTCGCGCCCAACAGCGGGTCGTGGCACCTTCAGATGGGGCTGAACCGATGGATCTCGCTCTACGAGCAGGCCGACAGCTGGGTTGTTGAAAATTCACCCGGTCTCCCGCTGTGCGACGAAATGTGGCGACGGCTGGGTTTCATACGCCACGCAAAGGAGTTTTGGATGCTCGCTCAGCTGATGCTGGATAAGTCACAAGTCGAGTTGAACACGGCTGGCCCAAGTGGCGGGCCGTTTGACAAGACCCGAGGTACGGTGTATGACGAGAATACCATGGATTATGTTCACAACTTGGTGCAAAGTCTTGGAGACTTGAAGATAGCTTAGGATATCGGGTTTGCAATGTCTATATTGTCACTACGCTGAAGCCATCGTTTCCTGTCTACATGCCCATACCATCTCTCGGCTTGGACCAATACGTTAGAGCACTCTGGGCCTCATGAAAGTGTAGCGCAAATGTCTGGCTGTATACTAGGAGTTCTCCTCAAGCCTACCATCGATCTGCTATAGCGTTGGTCCTCCATCTACTGGAATAAGCCATAGAGAGGTGAACCCCGAGACGTGCAGAGCATTCCACTCGTGACGCGTCTCCTTGAAGAAAGCTCTTCGACGACTTGCCGATAATCCAAGACGACTGAATTTGATGTTTCTATGTTCATCGAATGCCGCTTCCATCTGCCGTGAGTTGTGCCTCCAAGCAAGGGTGTCATGTGTGTTGACAACACCACGGCGGCATTTTCCCCACCCCAGCGGCAGATGGGTCTTCAACCACGACTCAGAGTCCCATAGGAAGAAGCGTCACCACCTGTGAGTAGATTACCGAGGTTGAAAGTCAACTCAGAAGTATGAGCCTTAGTTGAGAGCCGGGACCAATCTAGAAATAGCGTCAAGTGGCGCTGAATCGAATGAGCATCACCTAACTCTGAGCTTCAAGAGCTCCCTCCTCTTGACAGACTACCACATACGACCATACCCATTGGAAAATTCGGGATCCCGTCCGCTCTCCCATAGACAAGCCAATGAGGGCCGGATTAGTAGTTGGGTCGGTGACGACCAGCGAATACCTGGTGTTGTATGTTTTTTGAAGTTGTGTTTTGTGAAGCTATCGTCGTTTTGTCGTGGTTGGTGACGATGGAAAGTGTGGGCGGATGTGGTGGGTTTTGGTGGTGGTGGCCGGTGGGGGTTTTGGCTTCTCCAACTTTCAAGTACGTACTATGTTTCTCCAATTATCATGCTAGCGCCGGCTTGGGTCGCATATGCCCAGTCGATCATATGGTGAAAGCGAATGGGTAGTGGGTAATAAACAGTAAATAAGTTTCAACCATATCTGTCTCGCAGCGTTATGAGTATATTCGATCACTTAGACAGATCAGCTGTTGCGCTTTCCGGCGCTGCAGAGGCTCCACTGCGCTCAATTACTTCTAAATCGAGTAAGGCTGCCTACTAGGTACCTAAGGTAGTACGAGGTGGCAGTGGAGCTTACGTGTAAGCTCGCACTGACACCAGTGACCACTCCCGAGACATCTAGAACCGCAGACCAGCGAGAGCACTACTATATTGTGCGTCTCCTGTTCGATTTCCGCCCTCGAGAGATGGAACTCTACTTTGACACATGAACATCTATGCCGGCACACTCAAATGAAGATCAAGCGTGAGGTCGGTCCGCTGGATCACCGCAGGAGACGGACGCGTTGTCAGCCATGCGCTAGAAGGCGCATCAAGGTAAGTACCTATGAAGGATCCATTCTCGCACATGGCGTTACTCGAACTCGCACATAACAATCATAAATAAGTGTCAAGGAGGTCCTCCCTGCGAGTACTGCACTCGAACCAAGAAAAGTTGCCTGCCTCAGGCTACATCTACGACCGAAGTGCACTTCATCAACCCCGAGTCCTCTGAAGAAGGCATGCAAGTCGCTAGACTGCTGACACAAGTCAACTTACACAGCGATATCCTCTACCTTGACTATTTTGATCTATTCATGAAGCGTTGTCTATTCACAGACGAGTTCAACGGCCTGGCTGCCGACCTCTTACCCCTGACCCAAACATGCTTGCCACTCGTGCAAGTAGTGACAGCGATCGGCGCACTCGAAGCCAGCAGACGAGCAACTGTTAGGTCCTCTCGTTATCAGCAGTCACCTTACACCGTTGCCTTTCTGTCCTACGGGGAAGCCATGAAGACGCTTCGAGCTCGACTGCAGGTATCAGACGCGTTCCGCTGCGGTGGAGTTCTCTGGTGTACACTGCTTCTCGGGCTATTCGAGGTGACATACTCTAGTCATTGTTTGCTCTTTTTCGAGTCGTGTTTACTGATTGGTAGTCAAAGTTAATGACTGAAACTTCTGGAGACATGTGGGCTAAACACATGCTCTACGGGACGGCTAGAATCATCCAGAGCATAGCAGCAACGAGTCGGTCGTGTCAACTTGATAAGAGACTCTTTGGAGCATTTAGGTCGCTAGAAGCAAACCGAGCGATTCTGTACGGCGAAAATACGTTCTTGTCGCAGGAGCCGTGGTTAAAGTCTCGACGAGAGCTTGTCGCAAACCCGGGAAGTCAAGTAGAGACAATCTTCGACCTCCTGATCGAGATCTCTTCCTTTAGTAAAGCGTAAGTAAGCCTCATTCTTATTAAATCTGAATCGAAGCTCAAAACATGGATAGGTTCTTCGACCGTATCGAGTCAGTTTCGGACACACTACGACCTGGGCACCCGGCGATACACGCTCTTGCTGAGCGAGGTCGGTGTTTCCAGCAGCGACTTCGCAGCTGCCACGACCAAATGACACCGCGTCATAGTCACAATGATCCATATTGCATGCTGGCTATATCAAACAACCATGCTCTCCAATTGTTTTTGTGTAAAAACTATACCTTTTACGCATGTTGGGAGGGGCAAGACATCCCCTCGCTAGCAGCACACGAGATTGAGGCACATGTGAACGCTGTGGTAGGTCTGTCAGATCACATACTCGAACGTTCTAACATGCCGGGCGTGTTACTTTTGTTCCCTCTCCGAATGGCCGGAGCAAATACAAGCCAGTCTTTACAAAAGGATGAGATTATGAGATTGCTTGACAGAATAGCAACAAAAGGGTTCGCAGTTTCGGGAAGGATCAAGAGGGATTTACAGGAACTGTGGGAATACCAGCACGCGGAAAGGGCATGGGACGACATCTAACATTTATTAAATGCACCGAGCAGGAGCATCTCTGCGCCAAAGAAAAAAGTTGCCGGATTAATGTAAAGTACAGCAAGCCGACTGTACATGACGCGAATGTCGAAGCCCCGGATAAATGTGGTTCAATCTCACTTTGCCTGAATATTGAAGAACTCCATGATCACCCGGGTTCGTAGGTCGGGGGCAAAGTAGTCGTAGCCAACGACGATATTGCACTCATTGACGTAAACCGTCACGGGAATGGCACCCTGGTACATGATACTCCACTAAACAAATGGTCAACCCGACGGTTCACGGAAAAGAAATCAATATGGCAGAGGTCTCTTACCGCGGCAACAGGCGACGGCACAAAATCTCGCCGTATCAGTCCTTCATAGACGGCTCCAGCTTCGACGAGAATATCATCCCGAAAAATAGGAAAATTCGAGTTCACATAACCCCTCCACACGCTCGGGGTGGTGGAGTTCCATCCATATGTCGTCAACGTGTTGTCCACTAGCCCCGACTCGCTAACGTTGGAATAGTCGAACGACGACCACGAAATCTGACCCTCGTAGGCTTCGCCCACGCGGACAAAAGCTCCGGAAGGGAAGTTATCGATGTAGCCAGTCGTGATGTGTGACAGGTTCGCATTCCTAGCTCTCGCGATTAAAAAGAATGTAACGTTGTTACCGGTCGGGAAAAAGTTACCATTTATGCTGAACAAAACTAGCCTGGTAATCTGGTTTGATCAGAGGTGGCTGTGGCTGTTCGAAGCCGGCAGAGAAGGTAATCATGGACGGCGGGAAGGCAGGGCACCCATGGGATGATGGGAGACAGGTTGCCCAAACTGCTGTCGCGGCAAGGGCAGTGAGAAGAGAGTTGAAGGATTGCATTGTGAAGTATGACAAGATTGTGGATGAGATGCTTGAATGTGAGGATGTTGAGTGTTCTCATCTCCCTCATGTCTAGACATTTTCTCCCCTTTATATACATCACGAGCATGTTACTTCTTCAGCATCGCTATTCAAGTGCGTTCTATGACTACCAATTCGGATAGCTGACTCCACTCACTAGGAGCGCGGCTGTGCAACATGGCGACTGGATATGCTGCAAGACGCGCTCGATTGGTTCCAGCCATGTTCGAGAAAGAAAAAAATCATATGGAGAAGGAGTGTCAGCCTGCCTGACGGTGGTCATCGAACGATGATGAACATATTTCTATTGGATCAGCCTCGTGGTGACATGTGTCTACTCACCACGAAGACCGTTCAGCATAACTAAACCACCATTTATCCAGCTACCATAAAGCTAGTTCGTCTTCTTCTCCTCGTCCTTGGGCACGTATGTCTGCCAAGATTTGTCGCCCATAATGCCATCAATCCTGTTCAGCTTGGCCACCACATCCGCACGGTCTGTGAGGTGCCTCTTGATGTGGACCGTGGTTTGGTAGAGAATAGCTAGGGCAGAACGGCGTCAGAAAATAACAGAAGAACGAGGGGTGAAGAAATATTGACTTACTCGCAGGCACAACGACCCACGGAGCATTGAAACCAATGTAGTAGACCCAGAAGTACAGGAACTCGGGTCTGCTGTGCGATACTCCGTTGGAGTAGAGCTCGATCAAGCTGGTTGAGTAGTAGAGCACGACGCCGTACAGGTGCCCGACACTCATGATAATCTGAAGGGTAACGCAACTGGTTCCGCTTGGCGTATGACAATGGCCCAGCAGAGGGGGCCCCATACGAGCTGGAATCTTGGTCAACATCGGGCTCTTTCAAAATACCAAGAAGCAGCGCGACTTACTACTGTGAAGGACTCAACACAGAGCATAAATGGATCGGAGGTCAGGTAGCGAGAGTCGGAGAGTGCATACTCCTTCCACAGCTGGCCGAAGAGACTTTGGTCACTGGCAAGGCTCTTGTGGTTGAGGATGAAGTATCCTGTGGAAACGTTAGATTTGGACTGAGAGAAACCGCAGAATCGCGAACACACCTTCGAAGAAACAGTGGAGGAAACCGCCTGCGTGAATGAAGCGATTAGCCAGGGTTGGGCGAGCAATGTTCTGAGCACCACTCACAAAGAGCAAACCAAGCCACGGTAAGCTGGTCCGAGGCTTTCAGCTGAGGATAGGTATTTCTAGCACCCGCGACGGCCGTAACGACGACGAAGGATATTATGCTCCCGAAGAATACGAGCAAGCTGACAACGGAGTTCTTGTTGGCGACATAGTGCGGTAGGGCAGCCGTGACTGGGTAGTAAGGATGCGCAAAGGCGGCTTCTGTCGAGTTATCCATGTTGGGTTGGTGCTCGATGTGATTATCTCAAGACTTTGTGCATGCGTAGAATAACACGTTATTTCGAGTGATGCCAGACTTTCGTCGTCTTGTTCGCGAGGTGGTTGGAATTGGGGTTGGGCCAAAAGTTGAAATAGGGTTCCCCGTTCTTGAAGATCGCTAGAAGACTTGCTTGCCGAACCAGGGTCCAAGTTGCCCGATCAATGCCAGACACGCCTTCCACTCAACATTCGGCAACAACCACGAGCATTCGACTGTTTCCCAACGCAACGAGAATGTCTAAATGAGGTCTGGAAGGATTGCTCAGGTCAAGGCCCTATTACAAGGTACCTGCTTCCTCGTGCAGAGGCAGTCAACACTTGGTTCAGTCAGGTCCCTAAGATGCACGGATCCCTTACAGTACTAGCACCCGTCGATACCTCGGCGAGCTATCGGTGCCTGGTGACTTTCTTCCCAGCTCTTTCTTTGTGTTAGTGACACAGTGCAGAGAGACCGGAAAACCGGGAGCAGCATCATCAATGGTCGAGAAATGGGATGAACTTTGGGGTGGAAGCTGTCGCTCTGCCCTACCATGGTAGCTCGTCGTATCCCAAAGAGGAAATCGGACCGCTGATCTTCCGCTGTTCGGGGGCCGCCCGCACCAGACAGCCGTCACTTACCGCCAACTATTCAACTTCGTGACACGCTTATCCTTACTCCCGTCCTTGAAAACGACTGCATCCTATCTTCCGAAAAGGCCTCACTCACTCGCCCCAACACCCATTACAAGCCGGCCATATAGCTTACCTATTTACTCAAGCTAAATACTCAACATGGGTGAGGTTACAGTTGAAGAGGCACCTTTCCCGCTCACAGACGTTGATAAGTGGGTCCTCTCACAGACAGATGAGGAGTTTAAGAAGCATGGCTGGGAGGAGCTCAAGGAGATCATTGGTAAGCGCGTTTGCGTTGCGTCTTTCATAGATATTCTGTTTCGAAGATCTAATTAGACACCAGCGACAAATAAGCTCGAGGTTTTGAAGCGAAAGCCGTCAGACCTTCGTCGATACATGAAATGGACGGCCGAGACCAAGGCCGAGTACGGCTCCATGACCAAGTTCCTTCTCACCAACCGCCTGCCCAAACCCTGGGGCGAACCACCTTTTACTCCCAAATCCATCGTGCCTTTTGAGGATCCTTCCGATTACCGGGTTCTCGTCAACGACTGGCCGTATGGACTTGACCCAGGCATCACCCATATCGTGGTTTGGTCGCGCACCATCATCCCTACGGACCCTGAGACCGGAGATATGACAGCAGAGAGCAGGCGCACTGTCCAGGATTTCATTGACAGGTACTTTGTCAAAACTCTTGGCGATGTCGGAGAAGACAGGGTTATCTGGTTCAAGAATTGGGTCGCTCTTCAGAGCGTCCGGGCCTTGGAGCACATCCACGTGCTGGTGCGAGACGTCGACCCGGAAGTCATCAAGAAGTGGTCTGAGGAGCAATCCTGGCACAGATAGACCTAGTCGCTGCATTCTCGATAGAATAAAACAGATAATCTGGCTCGTAGCGCTCAAGTCCTAGGCAGCACAAGATGTGACTTTGACTATGCGGCTCGACGCTGCCTTCTGTTGGCGGGCGGGGCAGGCTCATCGCTGTTCGCAGCGCCCATCTGTGCCATACGCTTGCCAGCTCCGAGCAAGCCGTAGCCAGCGTATGCGCCGTAGGCGGGCACGGCGAGCCACAGGAACCAACCCCAGTTGCCGAATAAGATGACGAGAACGACGGAGGCCCAAGTCACCCATACGACGTCAAACATGTACTCGGTCAAGCCCGCGGCGGCCAAGTCCTCGCCAGAGGTCTTGAGGCCTCCTCCCACGTCATACTTGGGACGTCCAGATTTCTCAAGAACGTACTCGCAGATCAGGGCGGGAGAGGAGAGCAAGATGAACCAGAAGATAGATCGGGACTTGAAGATGAAGTAGAAGATGAGAAAGGCGACGTTGATAACGGCGGAACCGATGTGGAGGTTGTTCAAGGTGGTGGCGTTGGATTTGGCCCTGTCCTTCTTTGCCTTTTGCGCCATGGTGGAGGTGCTGAGGGTTGTTTCGTAGGGTACGAAGTTGAATGCAAGGTACGGAGTAAGGGATTATGACGATAAGAGGCCTCGAGAACGTGAGTGAGGTCAAGTCAATTAAGTTAATAATGTCGGTATTCGAAAGTGGGGTCCAACGTTCCTGGGAGTAAAAAGACAGGTTGCGACCTGGTTGGAATTGAGGCTGAAAGGATCAAAGTGACGAAATTCCAGAGAAGCAGTTAAGGCGGATGGCTGATAGTGTGGCTCAGGCGCGGCTGGACCCAATGGAACGGGCAGACGGCGAGAAGTGGATTCCCGGGAATGGAAGCGAGAAGTGGCGGGTAGATGTCTCTGGCGCAAGGGGAAGGCACGGGGGAGGCGTTGCGACTGCGACAGCGACTCGGACACAGGACGGGTGGGGGGCTGGCGGCAGGGGGGTTGGTGAAGTACCTTTCCTACCTTAGATACTCCATAAGGTACTTAGTAGGCGCTTCATCTGGTCGGGTTGCTGGGCAAAGACGACGGCGGTCGCTGAGGTATCGTATGAGCCAATCAGCTTTGTAGTGTCACCACACCAAGCGCGACCTAAGGAAGGAAACGCCGCAGTCAGGTCAACACACCATCGTACAAACTGGGAGCAAGAGACGCTGACTGGACATGCACACAATGGCAAGCCGCAAGATGGCCTTGGATCTAGACCTAAAGTGACACCTTCACGACCATCTCTATCTCTCTCCCCTTCCCTCCTGCCATCCCACGCAGAGTGCACGGCTGATCTGGCCTGACGTCTGTTGATCTGACGAGCTACGGAGAATTCTCACTTCGCTCACTCTCAGTCTCGTCCGTCACCCGCCTCCCGCCTGGCTGTTTCCCTCTAGACAGCAACCCCCCATCATCCTCCCCTCCATCCTATTCACTTCCACTTCACTCGTTCCCTGGGGAGTCTTTTGCCGTGCCCATCTCGCTGCGTTCTCGTTGCGCCCGTTTTGCTTTCTTTTTGGTGCGCTCTGTTTAGTCAGTCAGATGGACCGCGAAGTTTGTCTTGTGTTGCTGCAAAGAGCACTTTGACTGAGTTCACTCGCTGCCCGCCTGTTGCCGAACCCAAACAACAATCCACGGGGACCCACCACGCAACGAACGCCTTCTTCGCTCCGACAGGCAACAATCCGCAAACTGCCCATTGAACCACTTCTACGACCTCACGAACCTCGCCGTCGCCTTTTGCAGCATTTACCGGTTCAATTCGACCTTGCACTTTCGCCTTCTGCTGCTCTTTAATTGTTAATCCTCAATCATCTGTCGACACCAACGCGCTTCCAGCACCCTTGCTGCTCTCGGCCTCAGGCTCTGCGCGAACGCCCACCTCGAAATTCACGGACGCAACTTTTTGCGCCTGCACAAAATCCTATACCCAAGCTCGACAGAGCCCGAACAACGCTTCCCGACCAAAGCTGCACGTCCAGTGCATCGGGACGCTACCGAGGACCGCGATTTCTAGCCTTCAAATTCAACAGTTGCTGCACCACCCGCGAGATCCCATGGCCATAAACTGCCGTGGACGTTAACCCTCCTCCACCGAACCGCCCACCTCTTTTCCAACACCCACCGAGAATGGCGCCCACGAGTGCCGCCATAACAGGGCTGCTGCGGCAGGTAGTGTACTACCATGTCGACAACAACGCCTACGAGAACGCCCTCTTTTTCGCCGAGAGGCTAAGCGCCCAAGATCCCAAGTCGAGCGAGTCTGCCCATCTCCTGGCTCTATGCCACCTCCGTCTCGGTGACCATCGAACTGCTTTCGAAGTCAGCAGGCCATCAGCTTCCCGTGGAACGAATCTGGGCGCTGCCTGGGTATTTGCGCACGCATGCGTCAAAATGGAACGATACAAAGACGGCATCAATGCCCTAGAAAAAGCACGAGAGAAATGGATCGGCAAGACGAACATGGGCAAGCACACCACCTCGACCCGCTCGCTCTACCCAGACGAAGCCGCGGTCCTGTGTCTGCTGGGCAAGCTATATCGAGCGTACGACGACAAGCGACGGGCAATCGAGTGTTTCGAGACTGCAGTGAGAGTCAACCCTTTCATGTGGGATGCCTTCCAGGCACTCAGCGACATGGGGGTAAAGTTGCGCGTACCAAACATTTTCCAGGTCACCGATCCGCTGGTTCATTGTTTTGAACAGGAGCAGGGAGTGTTGCCCCAGGAGCCAAAGGAGAGCTCGGCAAACTCCTTTGAGCCCAAACGGCCACCGATTCGATCAACAGCGGACTCATCTGACCCATTCAACCTCCATCGATCCTCCACATATCAGGATATGCCTTATAGTGCCAATCTCTTCTCCGCGGAAGCAGAGGAGAATGATTTCATGTCAAAAATCACAGCAGCAAGATCTAGGCTAGCCCCACCGTCCACGAGCAACGGTGAACTCGACCTCATGGAAACACCTACCGGGCCAGTTTCTATGCCAGAGGTCCCTACAATGCGTTCAGCTTTCAACGCTGCGGAGCCACCGCAAGCGCCGCCACGGAGGACAAGAACAGCCCAAGCCGTGGATCCCAGCCTTTTCGAAGCCCCACCGAAGGTCAGTTACAAACTAGGTGCCAAAAGAAGTACCAGAAGCCAAGACAAGGACTCAGTCGAGCTGCATTCCGACACTGGGACCGGAACTCTGCGGTCGACCATGGCACCCACGGAGCGGAAGAGGACGGTTTCGGGCCATCCGGTATCTAGGCAACACACGGAAGAAGCCAACGCACCTGCACAACGGAGAAGTGCCAGGCTTAACATGTTTAACAAACCCTCAATTGCTAAAGCGAATTCCGGTGCCGCTACCATCGGCGCCGCAGCAACTCGTGAGCTGAAGAAGGCTAGGCCCCAGATCTCACGGATAATGCGACCTGGCTCTAGTGGCTCCAGTGTTGGCAGGGTCGTGAGCGGCAATCGCAAGCCGGTTGAGGATGGTGGCATGGATGTTGATCATGCCGAGACCACCCGTGTGAGAGAGCCTCACGCGGTGCAGCACGCAGTACCGAAAGCTGCCTCACACGAACTCGACAACGTCAGAATCGAGGAAGCTTTGAGATGGGTCATGGAGCTGCTCAAGAAATTCGCCTCTGGGTACTACTCACTCAAAGCGTTCCGATGTCAGGAGGCGCTGCAATTCTATGCTTCCCTGCCAAGGAGCCAGCAAGATACACCTTGGGTGTTGGCGCAAATGGGCCGAGCGCATCACGAACAGGGTTCGTACAAAGACGCCGAGAAGTACTTCAGAAAGCTGCGTGTGGTGGCGCCGACGCGGATGGACGACATGGAAATCTACTCGACGATTCTGTGGCATCTCAAGCGGGAGACGGACTTGTCCTTCTTGGCTCACGAGCTGGTGGACGCCGACTGGACATCCCCTCAAGCCTGGTGCGCTCTCGGCAATGCTTGGTCATTGGCAAGGGAGCATGAAATGGCTTTGCGCTGCTTTAAGCGAGCGACGCAGCTGAACCCCAAGTTTGCATATGCCTTCACGCTTCAAGGCCACGAGCACGTCGCCAACGAAGAGTACGAAAAGGCTCTCAGCGCCTTCCGCAAGGCTGTCACGGCGGATCGACGTCACTACAACGCGTACTATGGCATTGGCCAGGTCTTTGAGAAACTCGGCAACTACGAAAAGGCCTACGTTCACTTTCACACGGCATCCGATATTAACCCGACCAATGCTGTCCTCATTTGCCGTATCGGAGCGATCCTGGAAAGGCAAAAGCAAATGATAGCCGCGCTGCAATTTTACACCAAAGCGACAGACCTGGCACCGCGTGCACCCATAGTACGGTACAAAAAAGCACGCGCACTGATGAGTCTGGGCAAGATAGATCTCGCGGAGAAAGAGTTGCTCATTCTGAAGGACGTGGCCCCTGATGAAGCCATGGTGCACTTCCTTCTTGGCAAGCTGTACAGAAGCCTGAATGAAAAGCAGATGGCGGTGCGCGCTTTCAGCAATGCTCTCGCTTTAGATCCAAAGGTAAGGTTACCCAGTCAAGACAGCAAAGCAGACATTTGAGCTAACAGTCTGAGTAGGCCAGTCAATCGATCAAGGACGCCATCGAGAGTATCGAGGATGACATGGGCATGGAAGACTCCATGATGACATAGGATGACAGGATAAAGAAAGTTGTCTTCGATTAAGGCTTTTTTTGCCCTACCGTACCGACAGGAGCGGAAGGGCGTCGACGATTGTGCGTGCGTTTTCTGTGGGGGGTGCGAGAATTGGCAACGAGCCCGGGTACCCACGACTTGACGAAAGCGAGTTTTGGCCAAGCTTTGAATTTGGGCATGGTATAACAGCACGATGATACGGATTCATGTTGCATGCTGCATGGCATCGGCGTTTAGGAAAGTAAAGCAGGGTTGCATATTGGCTTGCTTGGGGAGGGCTGAATGGGTGACCCTCTTGTATATTAGCGCCCTACGAGGCGTCGCAGTAGTGACTGATACGACAGATCGCTGGTCATGAAAAGTAATGCATCACCTAACTTTGATGGTCATTGCCCCTTGGTGCATGGTAATGGATAAAGCCCACAGAAAAGTAGGCGCGAGTGTCCTCATCATACCAGTTTCGTTACGTGACACGACCTGCCGACCAACTCAATCGGCAGATCACTCAGGTCTAACGTAATGATCCATGTCGCGTCAGATCTACCTTGGGCTTTAGAGGCCGGCCAGCTCATTACCAGGGGCGAATTGCGCCGTGAATCTAGCTTCCTGGGCTGTCAAAATCTTTTGAGAAAGGCCGTTACCCCAGATTATGAGTCGCAGATGGGACCTTTTCCTCGATCTGAATTTCCACGAGGTGCCCAAGTCATGTGAATCGGCAGAGGGGTTGATTTACGGGACTCCCCTTGCAATTGCATGAACACTTAGTGGCGGGGAGGAAACTGGAAAGTCGAGCCAATCAAAAATAAGTTTGGCTGACCAAAAAGAAACGTACCTTACCTAGGTAGGTAGAAAGCGAAAGCGGTCGGCAAATCGAGAGTGGCAATGGCAGAGTGCAGGAACTCAGGAAAAAGACCATTGGTGACGCGTGACCGCGACAATGGTTGAATGTCTGAAGTCTGAAGTGGAAAGAGAGCTCGGGCCAGTCAAAAGTCACCACAATTGCCTTGACCTCTGCTTTTGGCAACCATCACCCCCCCTGCTTTCGATGGCTCTTTCTGCTTGGCCCGGTCCCCTTGGGAAGTTGGGTCCTTCCCCCGACTAGAAAAAAAGAAGCCGTGCACGTTCCACCCCCACCCAGCAATGCGTGCAGCGTTCCATAACAAAAAAGCGCGCCTGTCAAAATAGCGCTCCGTTAAGCAACCATGTCAGCCAAAGAGCCCCGATTTCCCGGCGGAAAATAGAGGACAATTGCCCGTCTTTTTCAGAAATAAAGAGCACTCGCCAAATCGGGACTAGCTTACTGATCCCATCAACACCTGCCGCACCACACAATCAGTAACCATCCCCCCGGACTTGCAGCACCGCCTTATTTATTCTTTACCCCCCTCAGCTACCTCTTCTTCCCCCCATTCCCACTCTTCTCGTTTCCCACACCCAACGTATCCATCAACACCAACTTTCAACGTCATCAACGACACGTCTTTAACCAGACGCGCTTATCCCATCCACTTAAGCATCTACTTCAACAACCTCATTCACAATGACTGGACGTAAGTTGCATCTCTGTTTCACCTACTTGACCCTGCTCTTCGTCGCTGTGTCATGGCGCGTCCTGAGTGTGGCGTAACCCCGCGGTTTAATGGATGAGGATCCGTTGGCATGCGTCTCTGCTTTCAGAACGCGTCTCAACCTCATTCATCGCGGACACGCACATTCTGGTCACATCATGCCCTCTACTTTGGGTCTTGATTACTTCGTTGTCATGATACTAACGTCTTCCAGGCGGTAAGGGCGGCAAAGGCCTCGGAAAGGGTGGCGCCAAGCGTCACCGCAAGATTTTGCGTGACAACATTCAGGGTATTACCAAGCCCGCTATCCGCCGTCTCGCTCGTCGTGGTGGTGTCAAGCGTATTTCTGCCAGTAAGTTGACACAGCATCCTCTACCCTGCTCATCAAGAGTGTACTAACATATCCCCCTTCCAGTGATCTACGAGGAGACCCGTGGTGTCCTCAAGTCCTTCCTTGAGGGTGTCATCCGTGACGCCGTCACCTACACTGAGCACGCCAAGCGCAAGACCGTCACCTCCCTGGACGTTGTCTACGCCCTCAAGCGCCAGGGCCGCACCCTGTACGGTTTCGGTGGTTAAGCGTATCACTTCGATGGTTGCTTTGCCTTTTGCGCGACTCGGATGCCATGGCGCCGTGGTATCCAGGCTGCTGAAGGGCGAGCTTTCGTTGTGGATTCATTGGTCTTTTCAACGGTAATGGGGATATGGATACATCACGTTGATTTACGGCGTTTGGGAATCACGAGACTCTGGGAATGATAGTGCTCTCATGGCGTCGATAGGCAGACGCATTGTCTGAAATGGAACACCAACAAATATGGTGATTTGAACACAACGTACACCGTTATTCTGCCGTGATTAAATCGTGACGCGTGTCTTGTTTACGTGTTGTGAAGTGATCCACTCTGAATAATGCGAGTCTAGACTGCAACCTGCTGTAAACTATGACTCGCTTGGTCTACCTCGTCCACCCCATGGCTCCTCCAATGTCTAGAGATATTTCCTGCCCGCCGCCGCAACTCGTGACCTAAACACAGGGCTCTTGACTTCCATATTGACCCTGTAAAACGGACTCATGATGGCCTTGACCCAGTTCTCGTACACCTCTTGGAAGAAATTCTTGATGGCCTCCTCGGTCGCGGGGCTGGTGGGGTTGGCGCCGATGGCTGTCGACGAGCGCGAGGACGCCGTGGTGGAGGGCGCGGAGGGCTGGTGCAGGAGGAGGAATTTGACGTTGCCCGCCGTGACGAAACAGGAGACGTAGTTGTTGAAGAACTTGTCTACGATTTTGAGGTACCTGCATCGGGTGGAAGAAATGGTGTCAGCACGCTTGCGTCCATGTGTTTGCGTTATGTCGCCTTGCGTCGCGATGACTACGAGCGAGGTGAAGGGATATATGTTTGGTGTTGGGAGTTGAGGTGGGAACTTTTTTACATTTGCCCCTGCGCCCACTGTACTTCCTCCACAATATCCAAGCTGCTGTGCAGGATGAACTGGTTCAGGTGGCGGACCTGCTCGTTGAAGCGCGACTGGCCGTCGCCGCCTTGCTTTGAGGTGCCGAATTCGTATTCGAAGAGGGGGTTGTCTTGCGTGCCGACGATGGCGAAGTAGTATGACATTGTTGCGTCGTGTGAGCGCGCGGCGTTTCTTTCCTTCTATTTCTTGGTTCTGGTCTTGCGCTCTTGATTGTAAGATACTTTCTATCGCCGGCGCGGCATGCGTGGACGAGGGCTGCTTGTGGGAATCTGGCTTCGAAGGGGTTCGGGTTGCGCTTGTTCGGTTCGAGGATAGGTATGCGGCTTCACAAGGTTGTGTCGTCCAGAAATTAGAGCGCCTTAGTCGTGAAGTGAGGTAATATAGCGTTCGCCGGAATAAGGACAGGCGATCGTCGTGGGGGGTTGGGTATCTCAAGAATCGCTGGATCTTCGTATCGTGATGTTGCGCCTTTCTCTCTCTCACCGAGTTCCCGCTGCAGCACACCTCACCTTCCAGCGACAGAGAGGTAGCGAGTAGCGACAGCTAACACCTGGAAACCTTAGCGCAGGGCCCGCGGGGCGGGCTGGCGGGTCTGCAGGACGACAGTGGAGACTCCCTCCCGGGTCTGGCACCGTGGTCCATTGAGGTGGGAAATTCCGCACGAGCGCGCCCGGAGGCAAAGAGCCAACCAATTGAGCTCCCCGTTGCGTCTCCACTTTTGAATCGGCTTTCGTTGGTAGCTCCAAAATTTCCCTGGGAAGCGACTGCATCGAACGGTTTTGTTCGTCAATTGAAGGAGAGAGGCCGAAGCTCCTGAGCACCACAAGCGACGACGACTGAAACGACGACGGATTGCGAGACAGCACCAGATAAGACTGTCGTCTAGCGAAGGGATAGCCGCAACACCTGGGACATAGTCCATCCGAAATCCGAAGCGAATCGAACCACCGAACAGCCGTCCTTCACGAACAGAGGAAACATCGCGGCTCGACAATCTACGCTCTCCCTTCTTCCATCAGTCGACATACACGCGCATACACACATCCAAAATGTTCGGGGCCTTCCGCATGACATCCCCGCTCTCGAGCGGTCTCCTCTGGAAGATCCCGTGGCGGCTCTCCAAGTTCCAGAAGCGCCGCCACCGCGAGCGCCTCCGCGCCGTCGACGACGTGATTGCGACGGTGGACGCCGCGCTGGCCAAGAAGGGCGAGACGGTGGCCGCGCTGGAGCGGTGGAAGGCCGAGATGCCGACCGAGGCGGAGATGTTGCCGCGGGACAAGTATACCATGTTTGATCGCAAGGAGAAGAAGTACCGCAAGGGTATTCACAGTATGTTTTTCTCCTTCTTTTGTCTTTACTGAGCACCATCAAGTCAATGAGGGTATAAAGCTGACGATGTGTCTTTTGCAGAACTTCCCAAGTGGACGAGAGTTTCGCAGAGATTGAACCCGCCGGGTTACTAGACTGGAATATCAGAGGCACTGGGACTGGCCATATGGGCTGCGAGAAACTCGGGACGGAAAGAATGGCTTGTTGGGAGTTACGGCCCTTGTACGAATATGTACTCTACGCAACCCGAAGCTGAGGGAGGGGAGGGTGTCCAACGGACGGCTGCCGTTGCAGTGGACAGGAGCAGACAAAAAAGCTTCTCTGTATATTATAGCATCTGCTTTGGGGCTCATGAGACAAAAATCACAATCTGTACAGCTGCGTACGAAGAAGTGAAATGTGATATCAGCCAAAGACGCAAAATTCCAATCACGCACCCGAGTTTCTATCATTTCAACGTCCATGATTGTGTCATATTGGGGTATCGATTCCCAGAAGCCTGCCTAGTTATTGCGAAAGCATTGTTTCCCACCACCCAAAGTGTAGTCTCTCGTTCTCCTTTTGCGTCTCCCACGTTTCCTTTGCTTTTGATGCCGTCCTCTGTCGGACAAAGACGAGTTCCCCAGTGCTAAACATATCCGTACAAACTCACCCAACACTCATCGCGACTCCTCATACTCGCCCATCCGATCATCCCGATCCCTCTGCATCTGAATCGCCCTACCAAGCCCACCACGTCCCTCGTCAAAGTCCTCACGGTACTCATCACGCACCTGCCCACCGCTCTTGCCGCGACCGTACTGTCTCCCTTCCTCAAAACCCGGGTCGAGATCGGTGCGGATGACGCGCTCGTCGAGCTTGGTGCCGCCGATATACTTCATGCAATCGAGGGCGTCCTGGTGGGTGTAGTACTCGACGAAGCAGAAGCCGCAGGGGGTCTTGTTGAAGCGGTCGAGGCCCATGACGAGGCGCTTGATCTCGCCGCACTTTGAAAAGAGCTCGTAGACCTGCTCCTCGGTGGTGTAGAAGGAGAGGTTGCCGACGTAGAGCGTCGTCGCGTTGGCGAGGGGGTCCTCGGGGAGGGGCTCGTTCTTGGTGGCGGCCTCGTCTTCGGCGTCGCGGGCTTCGCGGGCGGCGTCGCGGTTGTCGTTTCTCCTGCGCTTGTTCTGCGAGGGGTTTTCCTGGATTAGCTACTGCTCTTTTGAGAGTTTGCTTGTTTCCTTGCTTGGACATTGGGAAGGACAGAAGGCTGGAGGGAAGCTGGTAGCTGATTCTCACCCGGTTGTGGTAGTATGCGCTCGGCCTGTCGAGGCGCTCTACTGTGTTTCTGTGCCGGACCTGCATTCTGAAGGTGTTGGGGGTTTGCGGTGGAGGACAATTGGTTCGTTGTCGGTCGTGTAAGTGGGAATTGAAGGTCGAAGGTCGAGAAACGGCACTTGCCTGGTTGCATGTCAAATCGAAAGGTACCAAGGTACCTCAGGCAGGTGCACCTTGCTGGGATTGGAATTCGAGGGTCTGTGCGCAGCAATTATATCACGTCGTTGCTTCAACGTCACTCGGTCAATTCATTTGACGACATTTCTAGAGAGAAGCTGCTCCATCCGGTCATGATTTTGGATTCAAATGAGAAGATTAGATAGCTTCAGCATATCTAAAAGTGGCAAAATACTAGTCCATGGCTAACTCCTAGACCTCAGAGATGCATCCACTGCCACAGGATCCCTCCTCTTTCATCCATGAAAACATTACAATACTCAGTATACCTTTTTTCAACAATTCCGAGGTCCTCGTTCTCTTGCTGCCAAGTCCATATCGTTTTCTTCCTCAGGCGGTGACCAAGGTAAGGTACCTTACCTCAGGTATGGGAAAGAAGACTTACATGGTCCGTTGTCTGGTCGATCTGATTGGTGCAGCGCAGATGCAGGCAGCGCCGGGAAAGCTCAAAGTGGGTCTCGGTGTGGCTGCTACCAGCAACCGCGTTTTTTGACCAAGAATTATGCTAGCAACAAGCTCACCCAGCAAACACCACTAAAAAAAAGTCAACGAACGACACTCGAGCTCGATTTGGCCTGCAGCACCCATCCGACCATCCAAAAGCCTGCAGAGAGCTCCCGATACACGACAGATTCGATTGAGAGGGACGCGATGCCCAAGGTCAAGAGCTATACGGCCCCGTGGCTCTCGCATGGACCCGGCCACAGCTTGTTCGCGCCCTCAAGCGATGCCTCCAACAAGGCGTTGAGCGCCCCGTCGCCCTACGGGTCTAAGAAGAAGAAGATCCAAGGTCCGAGGCGGACGATTGCGAGGCGAGGAACCGAGGTCTTTGTCGCTGTAGGCAAAGAATTGCGATGGGGCGATTTGGCATACCTGAAGGAGAAATGGTCGACAAAGCATGCGCACCGTCGCATGGGCAGCCGTGTCAAGCGGGAGGACTCGACACAATCATTTGACGACGATGCTATCCCCTCGACGGAAGAGGCGGCTACGGCTCAGGGTTTCAGGGTAGGTTTGGTCACAGTCATCAACAGGACGGGTAACCAGGATGCTAACAAGTCTTACAGACTATCAAGACATCTGTCGCAGACGACATCCGGCAGCTCGTCATCTCCCCAAACTCCGATTACCTCGCTATTCTTACGGCGCATACCGTTCACATTTGCGTGGTTCCCGATTCCGCCCATCTCACGGCCGAGGACACTGGACCTTTGCGACCCAAAATCTGGACACTGGGACCTACAACTCACGTCACCTCGCGATCCCCAGTGGCATCAGCTGTATGGCACCCACTCGGCGTCAAGGGATCTTGCCTTGTCACCGTAACGACCGATGCTATTGTGCGCGTCTGGGAGTTGTCACTGACCGATAGGTGGTCATTTGACTCTCCCACCCTGTCGATCGACTTGAAGAAGCTTGTGGATGGTACGACGCTGGACCAGGACTTCAGCGCCTCTACGGCTGCTACGAATGCCAGCTTCTCGCAGTACTCGCTGGAGATGCAGGTGGCCTCTGCTTGCTTTGCTGGCCGCGGCTCGGGAGGATGGAGCCCCATGACTCTCTGGGTTGCCATGAGAGAAGGCGACGTCTACGCATTGAGCCCTTTGCTGCCCCAGAAATGGGCACCGCCTCCTACTCTTATCCCATCGCTTTCGGTTTCCATCGTTTCCAAGGTGGCTGCCCTGGAGGATGACCCTGCTGTATCCGAAATGGACAAGCTTCTCGCCCAGCAGCAGCTCGAGTGGATGGGTGATTTGGATTCTCAGGAGCCCCAAATCCTCGACACAGCGCCCGGCGAAGAGACCGTGGAGGTCTACACACGCCCTTCCCGGCCGGGAGTTATCCCAAGATTGCAAGGCCCGTTCGAATTCGATGCCGATCCCGAAAGCGAGGATGTCGGTGACGGTCTTCTCACGGATTTGCTCGTAATCGGAAAGAAGGTGGACACTGACGACCTGATGATGGGCGAGGACGAAGACTTGGACTTTGACGAAGGTGACCAGGAGGGTCTTTCTCTCTCAGTCATCTGCCTCCTGTCTACCACCGGTCAAGTCCGCGTGTACTTGGACTTGGAGGGCGTCGAAGCACAATGGTTGCCCCCGCGAAACAAATCCAAGCTTGGACGCCTCTTGTCCGCCGCCGACCCACCTTCACTATTGACGTTCCAGTGCATCGACACCATGGCCACAACTGAAATGAACGACGACGCATGGCCGACGTTTTCATCGGATGTCATGTCACGCTACTCTCTTTTTGTCACCTCGCACGCTGGCGTCACCTTCCTTTCTCTATCTCCCTGGGTTTTCCGCCTCGAGGGTGAGCTCTCGGGCGAGTCGGAGGCGGGCTCTGACTTCCGTCTCGGTCTTCTTGTCAACGGGCAAAACTCTATTCGCGAGAGACTCTACAACCAATCTTCAAGCGATGTCAACGTGCCGCTCGCCGCATGTGCCGCCATCCGCGATCCGGATTTGGGATACTTCCTTCTCTCGGCCACCCCGTACGAGCCAATTGCCTTGACATTCGAGACGCCTGAGGACGACTTCTCGCCTGTCCGCCACGAAACGCCCTACGAAGAGAAGCCTACGACCATGGAACCATTGGACTTTTATGAGCCCCGTCCAGCTTTCCAGCCCTCGCACGCATTCGAGCAGCAATCCGACCTTCCTGAGCTGATTAACAGACTCCGTAGCTCACGCCACAAGACCATTCTAAATCAAGAGATCAGATTGTCTCCGGTCACGCTGCAGATCTTGACTGACGCCCATCGTGTCCTTGGTGAAGATACCTACCGGCTCGGCACAGCTGTGGCGGAGATTTTCCGCCGCTGCGCTACTCTTCAAGATGAGCTCAGGGATCAAATTAAGAAGGCGAACGAGGTCAAGGAGAAGATCGACAAGATTGCGGGCAACGACAAGGCGGGAGACGGTGAAAGTGACGACGTCCGATTCGAGAGACGTATCGCCGAGGCACAAGATCGGCAGAAACGACTCAACGAGAGACTAGAGGGCATCCGCAAGTATGTTGGCAAGGCAGCAACAAGGGAGCTCAGTGCCAAGGAGAGGGCATTCGTGGCAGAAGTCAAGAACATGGAGGCGAGCGTTCTAGGATCACCCTCGGACGACAGCCCGGGAGTGAAGCAGCAGAAGCAACTCAGGAAACGTGTGGAGGACGTGCAACGACTGAAGGACGAATTGGTGGCAGAAGTGGAACGGATACAGAAGCAGAGTGAGGACGGCAAGGGCGGGAGAGATTCATCGTCTTCGGTATCGGAGCTCAAGATCCCGACAGAGATCCGCAAGGCCAAGCTGCAGCAAGTCATGTCCCTCCTCTCACGGGAGACGGCTCTGGTTGAGGCTGTGACATCGCGCCTGGAGCGTCTCCAGACGCAGTAAGATGGAGTCGACGTAGACAGGGTGGGATGACAGGACACTGAGCGGCAGTTACTTCAAGCCTCGTCCTGCTTGGTGCCTAAGAGCGACACAAGGGCGTTCATCGCAATGTTCATTGAACCTTGGGAGCACGATGGATGCATGTTGGCGAATGGTCGGATGCGCCAATCGGTTCGAGAGCAGGTGCGGGGCGTAAGGCGATACAAGAACAATGGAGGACCACGGACATGTTTCGAGAATTGGGAGCGCACAACCATAGCATGATTTGAGGTTGGATCAAAGAGGCGTTACCATCTGACTCGGGCAAAGATTGTCTTCGAGGCCGTCTAGTGCCCGTTAACAGTATCTTGGTACCGCCGTTGGGCAAGGAAGATGCCGGGGTTCTGGATGTTATCACATAGCCTTGAACATGGATGTCGTCAAACGAAGAAGAGGATATTGGTCTCATTTTGAATCAAGGTATCGTCGAGGTTACCTAAGTAGCTACTGATGCTTGTGGGTCGAAGTATCGTCCAATCAACACGTGATCGTCACAGACAGCCTCACTTACACAGGTGTATCTGGGCATTTCGCCTATCAGACACTGAGGATTTTTCATCTGCATCACTTTGTGCCCAGTATCACAAGGGCTGGGTGCCCGACCGGTCTTGTGTAAACGAAATCGCCGTCAGAACACGAGAATCCGAGGCACCTTATCCAGGAGTTCGGAACAGCGTCTCAAGGCATTGGAAAGTTGGGTAACGAGGCCACAACCTCTTGACCCGTCGGGTACGTGGGCATTCGGATATCGTGGCCCTCTGTAGCACCCGAAGACGGTAGAGCCCGCCTCCCGTCTCATCTGCCCTCGTGGGCGGCGAAGCTTGCATGCAGCAGCGAGCGTCACTTTTCAAGCTCCGCCCGGAAGAAGAATGAGACATGGTTACGGTTGCTTTTCCCACGTTCCACTTTCCGCTTCGCGCGCAGCATGGACGCCCATCATGTCTACTTACCCTTTTGTGCGATCGTACCTCCCTAGTGTCTGGTTATCCCTGTCTTTTCGAATACACTGCCCTGCTTTGCCTGCCAGCAACATTCGCAAGGTCCAATCGTTCGCTGCATGGGCTGGGACGAGGCGCACATTTGACAGGGTCATTCCTCGCACGTCCACTTCAGCGAGTCCCCAACTTCAGACGAAGCCGAAAGACAATAGGCGAAAGGTCTGACATTGTCCTGGGGTCGCTCATTCCGACGTCTATACACACGACCACGTAGTAGCACTCGCAAAACCCAATGTTCCTTTCTTTGTTTCGTTTCGTCCCCCCAGAGCTCTGTGCGATCGTCGTCGTAGGGTTGCGAGCTCACGGTTGTTCGACTCCCAACGCTTACTCGCAGAGTTGCAGCACAGCAAATCCGAGCACCAGTCATTTCTTGTCTCAGATTGATCTTGACCCGCGTTCTAAAGAAGATTCTCTCGTGCCTTGAGGAAACATGCCAATCGTATGGCAGCCCTGCGCAACGGCCCAACGATGACGACAGGCGAGAGCATGAAGCAGTACTCGGCAACGGAGCCTAGGGCAGGCGTGTATGTGTGTGTGTGAGACTGTGAGTCTGCGTCTGGGCAGCGGGCTTCTCCGTTGTCGATGCGAGTTTTGAGTGGTGCAACCGGACCAAAGACAACGAGGTTCGCGAGCCGGGCCACGATCAAGAGTCGACGTATTCGGGTTTCGAAAGCTTGTGCGAGAGAATGACAAGGACGAGACACCTGGACTGTCGCGTGGAATTCGGTCGGCTTCTTCACCGGTTGCTTGCACTACTCGTGCCAGCGAGACAAACTGCCACCGGCCAGCTGGCCTTTATATCCTATTTTCAGAACCGTAGGAAGGTCGTCTAGCCAGCCACGGTTTCCTTCGTCATCGTGGTCCTTGCAGAACGGGAGGCATGCGGTGAGCCGCATCTGTGTCTGAATTCGACGGGAGGGAACAAAAGTGCAAGACGCATCTACGATACGGACCAGCCACACCAGTTGACTGGCCACCCACCTGTATGCAGGGCGGCCCAGAGGCACACGGGACGGACAAGCAAGATGAAAAGCTTTCGATTGGTAAGAATGGACTCGAAAGCAGGGCAGACACTCAATGTGGCCTACGAGTGGTGGTCTCTTAGGTATGTATCGGGCTCGAGTGAAGCCTGTTCTCATTCCGTTAGATGATTCAAACCCTCCTCCTTCCAGCGAGTGGCTTTGCCGCTTCCAATACTACAGCCCGAAAGAAGATTGTATCGGAACGTTTCTTTTTCCATTTGCACTACAACCTCCCCATTTCCGGTAACCACATGTTCCCTGTTGGCAGGCATACACTCACACACGCATGAGCAAGTCACCCCGAAGATCAGATTGCGAATCGCCCTTAGACATGGGCACATGGGGAAGCACAGCAGCTGAAGCTCCCTGTCTCCGTCGCTCGGTCTTGGATCTACATGCTTCTTTCATTCCTTGCTTCTCGGGCTGCTCGGTACATCCCAAATCCATAGTGGCTTTCAACTCGCTCCATATCAAGACCCCAACAATATCGCCTTACTTTTTTTTCCCTTTTCCGTCAGAACGTGCCGCCGAGAGCATACCTCATGGGCTACCCAACCACTCAAGCACCACAACGGTGTGCCCGAAATGCACCATTCTCTTACTGCAGGGTCCTCCTGCATGCCACAAATTTGAGTTGTTCATGGGACGATGACCCGGAGATGTAGCCTTCATGTATAAGAGGTGTCCTTGGCCTTTCGTCTTCGCCCTTTCTTCTTCATCAACCTTGATTCTTAGGCCTCTTCTCGTTTTCTTCGCACATGCTCGTTCTACTGAACCATATTTCCAAATCCACAACATTGCCAACACGTTCTGCATCTACGACAATGGCTCCTAACCCGTTGTGTCTCGTCTGGCGCGAGCAGATTATAGGTAGGGATCTATGCATCCTCTCATGAAAGGTAGAGCACATGGGAACTAACACACTCGCAGATAATCTTCGTCTGATATCAGGGCGCAGTGCTGTCATTGACATTTACACCTCTCGCCAGCCTAACAAGTCATACACCATCTACGCCGTCAAGGTTCACCGGGGCAAACGCCAGGAGATTCTCTCAGCAACGGGCCGCGACCTGGAAGATGCCTTTGAGAACCTCCACTCCAAGTCCTCTCAGGAGGTATACCAATTCATCGAAGCCAACGGTTTCGCGTTCCCCCGAGGCGTGAGATCAGAAGACTCTGAAAGCTCCGGCAGTGAAGCCTCGACCATTGACGCCTCCGATGTGCTCTCTCTGTCTGCCGGCTCTGACAGCGACAACGACGACATCATGTCCAGGAGGGGTAAGAAGACAAAGTCCTCCCGGCGCAAGAGCAAGCGCAAATCCCGCAAGCACACCAAGGACGACTCTTCTTCTTCCTCCTCTGAAGAAGACGTCGACTCGGAACCAGAACAAACCACGCGTATGCGCCGCCCGGCCCCTGGACAACGCCCGTCGTACATCCCCGCGCCCCCCATGGCCGCGATATCGCAACCTCCCCCTTCCCCTCCAGGCTGGACTGGCCACCGTCCACGCACCTTCCCCCGCGCACCAGACGGTGTACCACCGCCGCCCCCACGGGGGAGCTTCCCCCCTGGAATGCGACTCCCATCACCACCTCAAGGTATGGTTCCCGCGGCGATGACCGCCGCCGTGGTTCCGGCAATCCCCACTGCCCCCTCGAAGCCCGTCCGCCTCATCATCAACTGGAGGGGCCACGGCGAGAAGAAGATTGTCGAGAACTGCCAGCCGAGTCACCGGGCCCTGCAGAGGACGGCGCTCGCACACGTGCGGTCCCAGTGGCAGACGTTTGACAACGCGCTCGCCCAGGAGATGACGCCGGGCAGGCTTTGGGGGCTGGGTGCCAAGGTTCGCAAGGTGGCGCTGGGCAAGGACATGTACTCCATCTCGGCGGCCGGCGGGGACGACCTGGGCATGTACTTCAAGGCGGAGGATATTCCCATGTTTGAGGTCGAGGTCGACCACGACGGCAGTATCATGCCGCCACCGCCGCCGCCTCAGCATCACCACGGTCAGCGCTGAGTTCTTGATGGACGAATTCGGTGTGCTATGGAGGAATCTCTGCATTCATCTTTTGAATTGGCTTCGGATTGGTTAAGAGGCGTGGTGTTCCATGTAAGCATACGTGCGTTTATCCCGGCAGGTTTCGATTTCGGTCACCACATCTGCATGAGTTTCGGGGGAGTCATCAGAATTGCATTTCGGATTTTGGTTACAGGGTAGAAAGCAGGCTCGCTCAGAGGAATATGTCTCCCCTTTTTGTCTTGTTTTATTTTTTCCAGCTTTTACTTGGTTATTTTGCTTCTTTGGAAAGGGGGGGTTAGGTCTAGATATCGTGTTATGGCTTGGGAGGAGGAGCAAAATCATTCTTGGGGTTTCTGTTGTTGGTGTGTTACACAAGGTTGATATCAAACGAGCGTAAAAGTATTTTGCAGACGACGTTCCCTTCTGTTCCTTAATCGTATTGATCTTACTAAACTGGTTCACCAAATATCATCATTACAACAACGTGAGGCATTTATCAATGCATTCATTATGTTAGCAGATTCAACATTCTTACCGTTACTCTTACCTTAACCTCTGATATCCAGCCCACGCGCCACACTTCGTCGTCAGGGGTGTCAGAAAGCATTTCTCCAACAACGTGAGGCATTTATCAATGCATTCATTATGTTAGCAGATTCAACATTCTTACCGTTACTCTTACCTTAACCTCTGATATCCAGCCCACGCGCCACACTTCGTCGTCAGGGGTGTCAGAAAGCATTTCTCATCACACCATCTAAGGCGGCATTGAAATGGTCCATGTACCCGGGGGCCCACGCGGGGGTTCGGAGCCGGGATTCCAGTACAGGGAGGGGTGGCATTTAGGAAAGAAAAGGGTTTAGGTTACGGCGTTGCGACCCGGGACTTGAGAAGGGGATGGTTCCGATTTGAGTGGGGGCGAGGGATATGCACCGTCGTCAGCCTCACGAGCAGGGGGTGATGGGTGGTGGATGGTGGGTGGTCATCCCACGCAGCTGAGCGGCAGACGCTTTATAATGAGGCGGTCATTAATGAGGGATAGATTTTCGATAGTTCCCGGGAGTCGGGTTGGGGAGGGAAGCAGGATTTCGGTTTCTGGGTTGAGGACTGCCGAATTACGCGTGTGATTGGGTTGTTGGTGGGGTTGCTAAGGGCTCATTGGCGATGTGGGTTGAGGTGCTGCTTTTTCTTCGGTGAGATATGTTTTCCAAGGCAAGATGGCCGGGTTGGTAGAGGAAGGATGAGAGAGATAATGGGGGTCTGTGTGACTATGTGATGAGATGCAGAGGTTTTCGTGAGGATGAGAGCATGGTATGATGGATGCTTCTATCTACTAAGCAAATGAGAAAGCTCGTATGGTGTCTCTTGAATGCCATCACGAAATATGACGGGCGTGATCAGCCCAGATCAAGCGCTCTGCCACTACTCTCTCAATTGGTCCACATTCTACATGATAGGCTACAGAGAAAAATCCGCTGGAAGGTTTGCCAGTCATCGCAACAGATGTGAGAAGCTGCTCTTACTGGTGAGAGTGAGACTCTTCTCTAGCAGTTAGACTATGAGTGTGACCTGGAGTACATCGCCCTTAGACCTAGATTCGACCTCTCCGATGAGCGAACATTGGCGAAACGGGAGTGACGTTTGCGAGTGGAATTTTCCATCCGAGATGCGAAGCGACGTAGCGTGTAGTCAGGAAAGTCGTTGAGTATGAGCTCAGGCATGTAGAGCGTCGAGTACGGCTTCTCACAAAGCGCGTCCTCAATGAAGTTTCGCAGCATGCGTGAGAAGAAAAGTTGTATCAAGTGGCTTCGAGATCGTTCCTCGAGCGTTCCTCAATATCAAGGGAGTCTGTCTTCGAGTTCGCCCAGGCCATCGGTGAAGCAGGTCATGCTGCATGGCCCGTCGATGTGAAACCTGCCGGGAGCCTGAGAAAGCTCTCCATCGTATATCGCATACGTCTGAGTCTACGAAGGGACGGATTAAGCTCGTGATTCGGCTCAATAAGCAATGCTGTTAAGTCTCGTGGCATGTTCGTCTGGCTAGGTAAGTATCCACGGAGCTCTACCAAGCTCCACGAGCAAAATAGAGCGACACTGCCCATCTCATTGTTCTTGAATGATGCACTTTATCACCGTCTCTGATTCATGCACGAACAGCTCCACAACGTGATTTACTCAGAGAGGCCGCTACTGGTAGCCATGAGGGGATATCTTGCGATGATGTTATCGGCTGCCACGGGTGTCTCCTTGCCCTTGACAGTTGTCCTATTGAAGTTTTTGAATTGCTGAATCAACGCGCTTCAGTGGAATAAACTACTGCTCATGGGGCCAAACTCTGACGGGTCCATGAAAGGGCTTCTTGTGACTAGTCTCTTGATGATCGGGAAAACGGTGGAGATTGTTCGGATTCTGAACAGGATTCCCCTCGCCTTTCAGCATGATGCTCCATCTAGCGAAGCTTGCCGAGGGCTGTGAACATTAGCTAAGATACTTCCCTATGATTCTTCAGTAGTTATCCGTCAGTTGAATAGGATGTTGCTGAAAAGAGATGGTCATCCGCGTCGTTCAGCAAAGACGGTTACTGTTCCACAACGATGAAGTCCTTTGACACGAAGCAGAGGTTTACCGCAATAACCATATTCAATACCACGCGGTGTATGCCCGCACTTTGTATTCATGGTACCGTTTGAGATGACGAGTCTTCAAAATGGGGTATGGGGAAAGTCGTGAGTATAGAAAGCTATGGCAAAGCTGCCTGTCCAGCCAGTATTGACACCCCAAGGCAGCTTCCAGTCTCAAACTCCCTGATTGCACCCAATTTTCACTCGACCCACCACGGCTTTAACAACAAATCGTTCCGCTACAATGTCTGGCAAAGGCGAAGATTTCATAGTTGAAGCAGAAGACGCGTGGCCTGGAAAAGGACCTGATGAACGTTTGCTAGGCACCTATCGGTACAATGGAGACCGCCAACAACCCTACCATGTCATCATCTCGGCGCACCCCGACTTCTCCAATAATTCGGGTTTACGTTTTGAATACCACGAGCCAAAATTGATTCGGAAAGCCAACATGCTTCCATGTGAAGGCGCCCCCTTCGCTTACCGCCGAACCGATCTTGGTAAGAAGAAGCAAAAGTGGGACGAAGTCGGTTGGCCAGACAAGGTTTGCCCAGCCAAATTTCGCCCAGACATGAGAATTGTCCGTTTCGAAATCAAGGTCTTAGATGACCCAGAGCACCCGACGAACAAGGACAAACAATACGTGGAAACGACAATGACTTATATTTCTCCCAATTGCGCCAAAGGTTGGGAAAATGCGCACGTGCTAAAGAAGGATGCGGATCCATGTAAAATCGTTGATAAGGCATTGAAGCAAGGCAGTGCAGATACGAAAAGCTAGAACACCGTTGCGAAGGACCACGGCTTCTCTAGGCTCACTCGGTTCGTTTGGGCATACCCTGAGAATCTATACCATTTCAGCAGTACCTAAGGTACTCTGCTATCGCATTCTTTACACTTTCAAATCGAATCACATTGTCAGAAGGGGAGAACGAAGCCTTTACCTCGTGGGTTCGCTGCCACTGTGTGTTGTTTGTCATATGCTAGTACTTTGCTGTCTGACTTTGTTAATTTTGGCATTGCCTGTTCCACCATGAAGAGCCTCTGAAATTTGCTGTAATGAGATATTTGCAATCGTGATGATCCACGGCCCAAGTCCGAGCAGCGGCTGGGCCCCCTCAGCAGTGGTAAAGAGTGAATATGTGTGGTCCATACAGTCAGGTATCATTGCCTCCCTCATCCACCACTATTTACCATTCAATCCCACTCATTGGAGAGACTATAACCTCAAGCTTGAATAACATCCCCGGCAGCCTGTGCTCATAACCAGTCCGTGGTAGTAGATGAGGTAGCGTGATTACGCGTTCAATATTGAGGGAGCTCTGGGACACACCGGGTATCGCAAATAGCCGTCACTTGCAGTCAAAGGGAGAAAACATCTTCTGGTAAGGCGATTGATTCTCGGGAGTATCTCTTTACCGCTGACGATTTCCCTTCCTTGACTTTGGATTGCTGAACCTACTTGCATCAGTAGGATACTTCAAGTAGGGCCAACCTTTGGTATTCTCATGGTAGAACTTCTCGCGAATGAACTCCCAAGCTTCTCAATTGTGGGGGAAACAGCAAAATATGTTCGGTGTTCTCAACGAAAGTATTGTTGCTCTGTCTGGTGCCTCGCCAGATGATTCTTAACGACCTTACTTATCTACCTTACTGTAGGCAAGTAGAAAAATCCAGCTTTCTACCCGCCACGCCATCCTAATCTCTGCTTGTTGAACATCATCATTGATCATCATCACAATCTTGATCAATTTTCTTGAAAAAGAGTTGACGGTGGTCATCTTTTGCGATTGGTAAAGGCGGTGTTGTCCTGCAATCATGGAATCCTTTCAACGCAAGGTAGTCGCCGCCCCTTGGAGCTTACCGCCCATGGCAAACACCCTTTCTTCCTATTCCCATGTTCCATATTGTTTGCCATCAAAAAGAACAAGTTCGTTAGGTATAAAGGAAGGTATAGGTATGAATACCATGGAAAAGCCGCATATCCAGTCAGTCCTGGCCACTTCACCCCAAAGATCACAAACCACTTTTGTCCTTATTTCCACATTTCGAGATTCCCAATCGACGGCTCATATCTGCTCGCTTCGCTTTGCCTTCGTCACAATGTCGGGTGCTACAAGAGTGCCGAGTCTACCATCTCTCTCGGAATACATTGGCCGCTATAGATCAGCGGAGTTCTCGAGTAACACACTTAAAATCGAGGAAGGCGGCAGTGGCTCAGACATCCTTCTTATGTACCACGACTGGTTGGATGTAAATACGGGGGAGAAAACCAGCCGAGTATGCATCCTCGCTCACGAATTCTGGAACGTGTTTCGCCGAGGTCATTTTATCAATGACAAAGATAAGCCTTCAGGCATGCACGAGATTCAATGGCAGGACCCTCATTGTCAAGTCCTTTTCGAAGTAGAGTTTTACAAAATTACTGTGCAAAATGTTCCGACTACACGTCCTAGACAGAAAGTCACTTTCTTTTTAGAAGATGAACCTGGCGACTTCATCGTGGTCAAATACTTCAAACAGGAAGTGGACGAAAATGGACATTTGAGCAAGAATATGGCGGGGCACGTTAATGGCTGATGAGGTCATTTTTTGGCTACAAGTTGATGCCTGGTATGTGCTCTTCTGATTCAGATGGTACATCATGGCTTTTCGAGACTCGACAGCTACTCGGATGTATCAAACAGTTCTAATAGTTTTTGTTCTTACAAGGACACTCTGGGGTACCCAGGCAGTTGAACACTTTAAGTTTCTCTCTCGACTTTCCATTATCAACAAGTAATAGACGACTTGGGAAAAGTGCCGTGCGCGTGTATTGGAGAGCACGCTGTGAATCGTGTGTGAATGGTGATCTGCCCAACACAACTGACTGCTAACCTCCCCAACATCCCATGAAGTCAGGCAGCCTTCCACATGCGTGGCCATACACCTTAAAGACTAATCGCGCTGGGCACAGAACGGTCCTCCGCGATTAATCTTAAGAGAAGTCTTGATTCTTCCCATCATCAACCATCAAAGGATCAATCCCATTCATTGGAGAGACTCTCCCCTCCAGCGTGAACAACATCCCCAGCAGCCTGCACAAAGACAATCCACTTCGCTACCCCGCCGTCCGGCGTGACATTCACCCACTTATGCTTCGTCCCCCTTTGCGTGACCGAGTCGCCGGCCCTCACGACCCGCTTCTCCCCGGAGTCGAGGTGCAGCTCCACAACGCCTTCTAGCATATACACCACGTCAAGCGTCATGGTCCTGTGCATCGGCCACTCCTCGCCAGGGTTGAGGACCGTGACGAGCGCCGAGGCGCCCTTGTCTGGCGTGATGACGCGCGAGCTCAAGAACAGGGACTGCGTGCGGTCGATCTTGTACTGTTCAATGTCTGCCTCGCTGGAGAGGTCGAGTGGTGTGTTGTGGGTGGAGGCGACGACTTGAATCGAGCCCGAGGGGACTTGGTGCGATTCCCGGGTCCCTGAGGCGTGGGAGAAGACGGCTTTGCCGGTTGCGTCGTGGGTTGTGATATGGTGGGACATGGTGTAAGTGAGTGAGGTGGTTGATGCACGAGACCGGACTTCTTCTTACCTGGAGTTTAAATGACTTGGAACGGCACTTATCTATATACAAATATGGCAGCGCAACGTGGGCTACATGGCATTGAAGTTGCTTCCCAAACAGTGAAAGTTGGCAAAATTGTCCCCGGAACCCCAAATTTGTCAGCTGAGATCAGTCGGGATTTGTGGTCCTTCGAGAAGACGGTCCTCAATGTCTGTGTTTGGCAGTTTTGACGCGAAGCGGGATTTGGAAACATGTCACGCTAGAAGCTCCAGCGACGATCGTTCAGCACCATGGCCCACAGGGCCGAAGCTGCGACTGCTAGAGAAAGCTTTTATTTCAGAAAGTAAGAGAGTTATATTTACTGCTGGCCCACTGCTAGAAGTTCCATAGAGGTGATGATAGAATCAAGAGGCGAATCATGACTCAGGTGGTGAAGGAATATGAATTCCCGAGGACCCGCATGTTTCCTTGATAACGTTGAAGGGAGAAGAAAACACCGCAAAGTCGTTGTGCTTGGATGGTCACAACATGGGACCTACGAAAGCTGCTCTCGTGAACTTTCAAGTTCTCAATTGCACGACCTCGTGACATGGACTAGACACAGGCTGCCGCTCCCTACGCGCATACCTTATGAGGACGGTGATCGAAGACGCACGACACATTCTGACTGAAGGCTTGAAACAAATCGAATAGCATCGAATTGTATTCAGCATGGAAGACCGTCATCAACGAATCTAACAAGCCAGATAGCCCCCATCGACATTCCAGTGTGCTGTGTTCGCTGTAAGTACATGCCAATAAGTCATAATTGGTGTTCATCTTACCTCCTGTCACGTACGATGCGTCTTCACTCAAGAGAAAGCAGATGACCTTTGCGATCTCATCAGGTTGGCCCATCCGGCGAAGCAAGGTATCCTTGGAAAGCGTGTCCGAGTCGAAGAGTCCCAATGCCTCTCCGTCTCGAAAGATCTTGGTATCGACCGGCCCGCTGATTCCAGCCTTAGGTCAGGACTCACAAAGCTCTCATAGCGCTTGAGGAGTTCACTCACGGTAGTATCGTGTTGATCCGGATACCATCCTTTGCGTATTCCCCAGCGGCTGATTCTGTCAACCCAATGACGCCGAACTTGCTGGTCGCGTACGCGGCGCTGTGCGGTAGACCTCTCCGGCCGGAGGTGCTTGACACATTGACGATTGCTCCTCCTGGTTTTGACAACAGCGGTAGTTGAGCTCGCATGCAGTTGAGAACCCCGTTGAGATTGACGCCTATGGTCCTGTCCCAGTCTTCTTGTGCCTGCGAAGCTAGGACGTCAGCGAACACCGAACGCGACAGATACGAGCCCTGGAGAGAAGGGGTCAATTCTCACGATTGTCTCAATAATTGTAGATCCCGTCCCGCCAGCAACTCCAGCAACGTTGGCGGCCCCATCGAGTCTGCCAAACTTGGCGAAAGACTCTTGGATCCAGGACTTCACCTCATGGTCTTGGCGGACGTCGACTTTGGAAGCTAGGACTTTGGCCCCAGCTTTCTCGCCTTTTCTCAATTGTCAGTAGTTGGTTCATCTTCGTGGTTCAGCTGAAGCGGTATGACACAGAGGATCCTACACTCTCTGACTGTCTCATCTAAACCCGCTGCATTCACGTCGCTGACCGCAAGAGCGGCAGCACCTCTCTGCGCTAGTATGATTGCCGTTGATCGACCTATGCCCTAGAACATTGAAAGAATTAGTAATTGTACCAGTGAAGCATGACTGAAGCAATAATTGATAACGCCGGCTCAGTTCGGGAAGCTTTACCGATGCGGCACCAGTGACGCAGAACACCTTACGCGCGAACATGACGGATCCAAATGTTGCCCAATCGGCGCCTGCACAGCGAACTACTCGAAATGAGACACAGAATGGTCATACTATCCATCTTTACTTGTTTTGGTATCGAAGAGCATCTTAAGGGTCGTTGTAGTAGCCCTTGTCCAAAGAGCACCCTGGTTGTGTTGGTCGATAATTGTGCCGTATTCAGCCTACCGTCTCACTGCGGACTGATATTCGGCCTAACTTTCGTTCGGCGGCCAAGACAGGACATCAACTACACATTGTTGCAGTTGAAATTGCATTGTAATTGAATCACTTCTGACATTTAAGTAATTTAAATGTTGTAACAACAAACATACGCCTCTTACCCCACACCGTTGCGTCTCGCAAACTAATTCTTAGAATCACCACGATTCCAATTACACGAAGACCACATCTCCTTCCGTAATACCAGCAATCCGGGACTACAAGAAATCTTTCGCTATTTCAGTGACAACCACTTGCATAAATGGCAAGACCATTGGATGGAAAGGTGGCCTTGGTCACGGGCTCCTCATCTGGCAGTGAGTCCCCGACTACCTATCCATAGCAGGGTAGCAAAGGCACATGTTGACGATCGTGACTTTTGCAGTTGGAAGAGCAATCGCCATCCAGCTTGCATCTCTCGGAGTCAAGATTGTTTCCTTTGATCTTCATGACCTGCCAAACTCCAAAGGTTACGAAGAAGACATCGACAAGACGACAGCAGATGTGATTTCCGCCGCGGGAGGCGAGGCCATCTTCTTCGCGGGTGACATCACCGACACCAAGGTCGTCGAGGATGTTTTCAAGAAGTCAAATGAGGTGAGCTACAAAACCCATCGAACCTGGAGGCCATATTCCTGTGAGGTCCCCGCTGACTCAAATTTGCAGAAATTCGGCCGCCTCGACATCCTCGTCAACTGCGCAGGGTACTGGGCCCCATTCCACCTCTTCGCAGACGAATCCGACGAACTATGGGAGAAAATGTCGGCCGTGAACACCCTCGGCACCGCAAAAATGTGCCGTCTCGCCATCCGCCAGTTCCTCCAGCAAGAACTCGACCCCGCATGGGGCAGTCGCGGACGCATCGTTAACATCTCTTCCTGCGCGGGCGTCGTCGGCTTCCCCGGAGAGGTAGCCTATTCCGCAACGAAAGCTGCGGTCAACCACATGACGAGAGCTGGTGCTTTGGACCATGCTAAGGACTACATTAACATCAACTGCGTTGCGCCAGGTGTCGTGGCGACGGGGTTGGCGAGGGGTAATCTTGAGGACGCTGGGATACACAAGTTGATGAAAAAGGCGACGCCGTGGCCTCGATTAGGGACGGCGGCGGATATTGCTGATGTTGTAGTGTTTTTATGCGGGCCGGAGTCGAAGTGGATGACGGGTCAGGTTCTTGCTGTTGATGGCGGCATGACGATTGGCGTGGCACCCGGTAGTTGAGATCCCTCGTTGGTGAACCATTGAAATAAAACTCACGTCGATTTAAACTGATATCGAGATAGCTGGTAAATAATAGCATGGGTGGGTTTCTACGATTCGATGCTTCCATTAGTGTACGCTACCAAGGATTGACTGGGGAAGTGATGTAAAAGGTGATTTTGAGAGCCCTCATCCGCTTCGCAGGCTTGAATGGACCTCGAAATGAGCCTGGGTAAGCCATAGGTGGATCACCGCGCAGTTGCTTCGCTCTATGGCAGTCACAAAGCTCGCTAGGAACATGTTGCGACCGGAAGTTCTATGAAAGTGAGATTGATCCATGTCTAAGTCTAGTCCGGCATTGTATCTGATTCTCCACGTTACATCTTTGCAATCGTTGCTTCACTCATACCGAACACGGTTGACAAGTGTGCCAATCTCAGAAATCTCAATCCTCATATCATCCCCGTCATGGAGTGTGATGGGTGGGTCTCTCATCACACCGATACCAGGACCAGTGCCCGTCATGATGATCGTGCCCTTCTCTAAAGTCGTACCCTGTGACAGAAACGAAATCATCTGCGAGATGGTAAAGATCATCTCCCTTTTCCACAAGTCAGCAATCAACTGTAACGCCTGCTCGTATCAGTGCAAGGAGTACCGAAAACCCACTTCGTGTTGGAGTCCTGGACGACCTGATCGTTGTAGATGGCTCTGATCTGTAGAGAATGGGGGTCTTTGATGGCGGATTTTGCAACCAGGACAGGCCCTATGGGACAAGATCCATCCAGACCTATGTGAAATGTCAGCATCCGAATCCTGGGCCGAGGCACTTGCCCTTCATGGATGTCCCATTCGCAGACTCTTCACAACTCACCTTTCGAAAAAGACCACTGGCTGTTCTTGAACTGCTGCTTCCGGGCGCTGACGTCGTTGCTACACGTATACCCAAGCACGTAATTCATAGCCTCTTCCTCTGGAATATCACGGCCAGACTTTGAAAGGACCAGTGAAAGCTCGGCCTCGTAGTCGCTCGACCCATCCTGAGAAATCTTGGGGATGTTGATAGTGGATGGGTGCGGGCCAGTCAAAGCTGTCCTCGGCTTGATGAAGAGGACGGGGACCTCGGGGATGGGCATATTGGCTTCCTTGGCGTGGTCGCGGTAGTTGAGTCCCATGCATCGGATGATTGGGACTTGGTCGGCGGTGACGGGTGATAGGAGCTTGAAGTCGTTGACAATCTTGTCAGTAAACATGCAAAACAAGTAATCACAGATCGTAAAATATGGCGCAACTTACGTGTTTGACGTGCAAGACATCTTTTGTGACAAGCCCATCAAATACATCTCCAACTACGACGTTGGCTTTGACCTTTTGGCCTTCCAGTGTCGCTAGTCCCACATCAGGATACTGGCTGGCGTCGATCTGGCCTAGGTGTATCTCATTGTCTTCTTCAGCGACGAAGCGCACCAAGTGTGTCCACGAAGGGCTCATCTTGTATCGTGGAATTATGGTAGGTCGTGAGCGTGAGGCTCTGGCTTGAAGCTGTGAATGGCTACGAAGACTGGCACTCGAATGAAGAAGGTTTATGGTGGGATGAATCGATTCCCGGAAATCAAAATGCGCAAAGTACACAGCCTATGTCCCATGTCACAACCTATCTCTGGTTGGTTCGTATTAGACCGGTACGTGGGATTGAGACAGATTTGCATAGAATCAGTCCGTCCGTCGCACTGCAACCCAAACTGGTTTAGCATTTGACCGGAAACACAGGGAGTTATTCCTTTCCGCTGGGTAATTCTACTGCGAAAGACTGAACGGCGCAAATAGTTGCATACTGTACTCGGTCGACCTGGAGTAGAAATACGTCAAGCCAGCCTAGCCCGGCGGCAGTCACACCCTATGAAAAGAACCTCACGCAGCCTTATCACGACTTTGAAGAAAATCAATTACAGAATTCACGCTGACTGCCATGGAGGCTAAAATCCATCCTCGATCTGACAAGGGGTATCATGCACTCATTACAGTAAGGTAGACATGAAGAAGCTCAGCTCCGGGTCACCCTCCGGGAATCCGGCAAACTCATCAGAAGCATTGAGACCCGGTATCCCTAACTCATCAGCAGTGCCCTCCACGCCATCATGCTGCCCGTCAACAAACCAGTTGCCCTGAGCAGTTGAAGTGTTACGTGGCGAGATGGGGGTGGGCACGTCTTGCCCTGGGTGTCCTGGTATCACAGACGTGAACAAGGAGTTGTGGTCTAGCTCAGACCCCATCATGAGACCAAAGTTCTGCAGTGAACTCGTTCCGTTGAATACGGAAGTATGATGTCCAGCGTGTTGATATGATGCGCAGCCTAGCATGTGAGTCGCTTCAATCGCCGCAATTTCTGCCTTTTTCTGTGCCAGCCGTTCCTCCAGCGAATCGAGATTTTGTAAGAGACTCTGTGGCGTTCCCCAAAAGTCAGTGTATTTCTGACATACCGCACGGAGTTCCTTGATCTTCATCTCTGACGCCTCGTTACACGTCGACGGTGCAAACACCTTGCGGAGGACCTGTAATGAGGCGGCGAGCCATACTGTGCTCGCCAGGAATGGGTTCGTCCATTGTATGTGTGTTTCTGAAGAGCGGCTGACGATAGAATGGATGTCGTCTGATGCCTCGAGACAGTTCCGGAGGCCTTCTGAGTTGGACAGCCTCTCCTTTTCATCCTTGGATGAGGATGTCCACCCAAATGAAGGAGGGCTGTCTGTTTCTGAGAAAATTGTGCCTAGCAAGATTTCGTTGAATGCGAAATGGTGGTAGATCATGAATCGTGCTAGCTGGATCATGAGGTAGATTGCGTGCTGTGACGCATTCGAGCGTCTCTCGGATGGCAGCTGAGTGCAATCGCTATTTGACGAGGAGCCTGTGGACTTGAAGTCTAATTGAGCTCCTTGGTATGTGAGTGATCTTGGTAGTAGCGCGACAGTCTGCTTGAGAGCTCCGATGAGAACGGGTAGCTGTTGCGCATCTTCTGCCGACTGCCTTTTGCGGAATGATCCGTGAAGATATTGTTTGAGAGGCCGAGAGTCCGCTCCCGGTGCAGGACTCAGGTCCGAAAGAACGCTGTGTAGATTGCCGCGAGCGAGAACCTGAGCATTGCGCATAATTGAGTTGAGAACAATGAACCACGCGACATCGCTGGTGTTCCCAGACTTGCTCAGCTTCTTCGCCCGTTCCAACGGAGCAGGGTCGAGCGGACAGCTCGGTTGGTACATGTTTTGAAACCACATCACGTCTGGCACCGGGAGGTGATTCTCGTTCATGCCTACGCTGTGGTCAATCGCGGTGGGCAACCTGTGCACAGTAGAGGCGAATATGTCCATCTGCCATATGGCCCACCAGCTGCGGCGCCGCTCTTCCATTGCCGACCATTGAGCCACGCCAGACGGTCCTGGCTGAGGTCTGGCCTGTGTGATACTGTCGACGAGGTGGAGGCGCTGCTCGTAAGCGATTCTGACGCAGTTGCCAAGCATTCGCCATGCGCGACCGCGGACGCCTCTTGTGAGCTCATAGAAGGTGCACAATATGAGAGCCTGGAGGATGCAGAGTGGCGGGGGCTTGTCGTCGTATTCTTCGATCGCCTCGTTGACGAAACCCATTGCCGATTTGTGTAGTTGCTCGTGACTCGGCCCGTTATAGGCTTCCAACGTTGGCGAAGACTCTGCGCCGGGAGCTGTAGCGAAACGAGCCGAGAAGGAGAACATTGACGCCAACAGCGCCTTGAGGTGAAGTGCATTCTTGATTCCCTGGACTTTCTCTCCGAATGAGGGTTGGTGGAAGAGAGAGAATGCAGTCATGTTGTCGAAATAGGCGTCGGTCCTGAAGCAGGTGTTAGTGACCAGGCGAAGCCGCCTGTTTCGATTAGTGAAAGCTTGGTCCTCTCACAATGTTTGCAATGATGCGATTGACAAGTCTAGCGACTCGCATACTTGCTGCAACGTATTTTGAGCTCCGGCCAGCTGCAAGAAGAAGCCGCGACGGTTCGGCGAGGGGACACTCGAAGGGGGCGTCAAGTTTACGTCGTGGGATGGATGGACAAGGGCGGACAAGCTGATGGCGCGAACGAAGCGCGTATCGGAAATGTATGAAGAGTCCGAGTGAAGACTGGCCAAGTCATCGTGGTCTGTAAGCCCCGTAGAAAGGAAGTCAAGGAGTTGTGGTTCAACAGCGGGCAGTGATCTCGAGCAGACTTCCGGTCTCACGGAGGGGGCGTCGTCCTCCGCCTCGACATGCTGTTCTTCGTCAACATGAGCGAGATTGCTGCTTAATCGCCGCCGCTTACGATGTCGTGAGCCTTTGTAATTCGCTGTCAGCCGGCTCAGACATGGAGCTCAATTTACAGTGCTAGTGCGGTACCTGTCTTTGGACCTGGTTTAAGTCGCGTTGATGGATAATCGCACGCTTGGGAATTCCTCTCGCAGAGTGTACAGCTTGGCAAAAGACGATCACTGGTATTGTTAGACCACACGGATACATGCAGGTGAGCGCTGGAAGAGAGTCAAAGCTAAAGTACGAAATGACCCACCATTTTGCTTTCCTCCTGAGTTCCCAATCAGGGAAGTGTCAGTTAACTGTGGTGCTGTGAACATGGGCAGCGAGACGGACGATCTCTCTCACCTCTTGCATGATTTGCAAGCAAGATCTGATATCTCGCCCTCTTGCGTGACGCCCTCCTGAGTACGGCTCGGAGATGGCACTTCCGTGTCTCTATCACCATCAGATACCATGGTCAAGTAGGTCAATGACGGCCAAGCAATTGTGTAGGAAGTCAAGATCGTGTGCATTCAACCAGCCTGGAAGGGGGTCGCAGGGGACGCGATCTTGTTTGGTGCTTTTGCGGCACCTATGGTGGGTCAGCCAGTTTCACAAAGCCCCCCAATAAGTGCTGCAAAATGACGTGGAAAGCTCCGCTGCGACTCATACCGGCTGGGGCCGCGGCTGGACCGGGTTGCGGGGAACAAGACCCCATAGTTGTCCGGATCCTGGCCCCAAAGCCAAGCTCGTTCTGGCATCTGGCATCTTGCAAATCCGGGGAAAGCTGCTAGACATTGGGGGGGCAGCTCAACGGCCAAGGGCCAAGGGCCATTCCTAATCTCACGCTATAACGATTAAGAATATGGCAAGACATGTTGGTTGGTAGATGGAAAACGCGGGGTTCCCGTAGGAGCCGGTTCCCCGCCCCCGGACTGATTCTCTCACAGTATGTACCCCGCCGGACAAATTTCGTTCAGGAACGCCATGCCTTTGACAGATGGAGATTCGTCCGGGTCCAATCAGTGTAAGAGCATTGCTAACGAGGATGTAGATGTCAACTTCACGACTGTTGGTTAGCACCAGAGAAGCAGGGTGGTATGGATGGGCGTGTACAAAAGCAATGCAGGCTACTCGTTCATATGATGAAGTTGCTCAGTAGATATCTTGGAAATCGATTGCGATGTGGCAATTTGCAGTTATAACCCTCATTCTTGGCGTCTTGCTCCATAAGACTTTGCAGATAGGACAACGAGATCCGCGGATGCCACCTGGACCACCTACACTGCCAGTCCTCGGAAATTCTCATCAGATCCCCGTAACAGGGCTCTACAAGCAGTAAGTAAACATGCATCCTTGTTCAGTCAAATGTTATCACTTCATGGGACGTGTAAGCTGAACATATTCAACGTTCTAGATTGCGAGAATGGGCACTTCAATACGGATCCATCTTCTCCTTGAAAGTTGGACCATCCTCAATCATTGTCCTGTGTGACCGTGAGGCCATTCACAAGCTTCTCGTAGAGAAAGGCAGCGTTTACTCCGATCGACCTCCTAGTTATGTGGGGAGATTACTCACACACGGTGACCACCTCGCTCTCGAGCAGATGGACACCACATGGCGGTCTAAACGCAAGGTGATTTCGCACAACTTTTCTCCCAAGAGGCTTGACGAGCAACACTTTCGAGTTCAAGAGGCAGAGTAAGCTACCAACAGATATGAGACTCTCTTTTCTGAGTTGTCTTTCCACGGTTGCTGACATGTTTGGGAAAGGGCCACGGTCTTAATGACTCGCCTTCTAGACAAACCTGAGGGGTTCTTCAATGAGATCCGAAGATACACTGCTTCAGTGGTAACGTCCATCACATACGGATTTAGAGCACCCGATATGAACTCTTTCTGGGGACATGTAAGCTATTTCAATTAATGCAATGACGCTTAGTTTTGCCCCCTTTCGCTGTGAACCCGAGCTGATATCCAGATATAGGGAGTCTACGATGTAATGGCAAAGGTGAGGCCAAGTTTGCGTGGCACACAGGCAGGCCTCAGTATACTAATGTGAACCACTACAGTGGACAGCATCAATGGAGCCCGGAGCCGCCCCTCCAGTCGATGTCTTTACCTTCTTGCGATACATCCCCTCCTCAATGGCCTTCTGGAAACGCCGCGCACTCGGCGCCGGTAAGACAATGGATGCTACTTGGTCCAAAGCGCGTCGACTCGTCGAAGAGCGTCGCACGCGCGGAGAGAGACGGAACTGCATCATTGACGGCCTTCTTGACGAGTACGAAGAGAAGGGTTGGCCCGAACAGATAAGCCAGCATGCCTTTACCAACCTCATGGGGGAAATTATCGAGGGCGGCGCCGACACCACTGCCGCGCAACTCTTGACTCTGGTTCTCGCTTTTGCGCTGCATCCTGAGGTTCAGAGGAAAGCACAGGTTGAAATCGATGAGGCTTGTGGAAGTGGTCGGTCTCCTCGCTGGGATGACTTCTCGAAGTTACCTTATGTGAACTGCGTCGTTAAGGAGGGCATGCGCTGGCGTCCGGTGTAAGCCCTCTCCCTGCTTCGTCGTTCCGCTTAGGAGTATCCATAGAACTGACACATGCGGGAACACTTAGTGCTGTCACTGCTCTACCGCATAAAGTTCGTCAAGGTTCGTCCATGATGCCAGACAACTCCTCTCCCACCCAAGGGCAATACTAACGATAACGCACCTATAGACGATGAATACAACGGCATGCTAATCCCCAAAGACTCAACAATCTTCATACCCACCTGGGCCCTCCATCATACCGAAGAGAACTACCCCGACGCAGAGCGCTTCGACCCGGACAGGTACCTCAAGCACCCCAAGCTAGCCAACGACTACGCAGGCAGCCCCGAGTGGGAGAACAGAGACCACTACAACTACGGCGCCGGCCGTCGCATCTGTCCCGGCATCCACCTTGCGGAGCGCAACATGTGGCGCATCGCCTCCAAGCTTCTTTGGGCTTTCGAGTTTGCTGAGCCTTTGGACCCTGTCACGGGTAAAGTCGTGCCTTTGGATCCGCACGCGTATAACCCTGGAATCTTGCAGGCGCCTTTGGAATTTAATGTTCGGATTGCACCGAGGAGTCAGGCTCATGTTGAGACGATCCGGCAGGAGTTCAAGGAGGCTGAGACCTTGTTGGCTCAGTATGACTGAGCGGGCCATAAGAGACTCAAATTGGCGATAAGGCCTGGTGGTTCCGACGATGCCAGTGTGACTTCTAGACTTAGCAAACGATACGGGGAACAACCATGCTGTAGATTAATGACAAATGTGAACTTCCATTCCTCTACCTTGTCATCAGTTGATCTAGATATCGTTTTGCTTCACTACTGTATGTCGCAGCGCTTTTGCACTCCCCTGCGCCTCTTTCATCTTCAAACGAAGTGTCAGCAAGAAGTACACTCTTATAAAAGGCTCAATGACTACATGTACGGGAGTCTTCAATCCCACAAATTCAAGGTGCTCGCGAAAGCTTCCCAAAGGCAACGGCTGAAAACACCGGGAATGAGTATGGGACCTTTCGTGACCATCGTGAGGATTGAGTAGCAACTTTCAGCCGCCCGGTTACACTTTCTGTCACCATTTCTGCTTCCCTATCTATATTATATTCGTTGTAGAATAAGCCTTGACACGTAAGTAGACAGTCAAGACATAAAAGGGTAGAAAGCTGCAAGTGGCCAAATCGGATGGCACTCATGTTGCACATCTTGAGGAAGAGCGAGTTTCATCAGCTGATCGAAGAAATCAAAGCCCAACAATCGCCTGGTGATTGATGTCCGTCAGAAATCTCGTGGAGTGAAAATTGTAGTCTTCTGGTGAGACGCTAGAATACGGAGAGAAATGTACAAGTAGATCTGACAAGTCTAACTCAAGTATGTCTATGGCACTAAAACTCCATCATTCATCAACACGGAGCAGGACGGTCTTCACCACCAACAGGAGCTTCTGGACACACGAGTTCAAGGCAGCAGATACCTCGTTCTGCCTCCACGCCACAAAGCGGTCCGGTCGAACGAGAACAACGCCCGACTCTTCAACTCCCCGCAAGCGCTCCCATTCATAGTAAACGTCCTCCCAATCCTGGCGGAAACCAATGGAATAGACCCTAATCTCGCAACCCAGCTTCGACGAAACCGCAGCAGCCGCCTCGTACCAAAGACTCCCGCCCGGGCCGGTAAAGATGGTAAAGCCACCCTTGCCAGCCAGGTCAATAGTCGAAACAGGCTCCTTCGGTACCGCTCTGTTCAGCCATACATGAGGTAGGCGGCGACCCGGGTATGTACTAGGTCCATAATACGCAACAGGATCCTCAGCTTCCTGCGATGAAGGCGTATACGGCCCATCTTCGTCCCCAGCATAGATCGCCGGCCCAGAATAAATCTGGTTCATCTCAACGCCAAGCCCATGAAACTCGTGCGCCGTCCGGCCAATAGCCTCGCGGAACGCGCGGCGCTTCTCCCGCCCTTCTCTCGTCGTGAGCGAGAGCTGCTCAAAGACCGCGGCGCGTTCTTCTGCCGTCTTCTCCAGCATGCCCAGGGACTGCCACACGGCGTAGTGGTCTCGGAAGGCTTCGTTGGCGCGGGCCACGATCCCGAGGCCGACGGGCTGCCGCTCGACGGTGTAGGTGTGGAGGAGGGCGGGACCGGCATGGCCCTTTTCGACGTGGGCGATTTTCCAGGCTAGGTTGAAGGCGTCTTGAATGCAGGTATTTGAGCCGAGGCCGTTCATGGGGGGGTGGCGGTGGACTGCGTCGCCGAGGCAGAATCTGAGGGAGTTTTTCGTTAGCTTTGGATCATAGCGATAAATGTACGAGGATAAAATGTGCACCGGGTGCTTGCTTACATGTTCCCATCTGAGTATCTCTCGGCAACAATATCGTTGACGAACCACTTTGAGATGGAAAGAACCTCGACTTCGGTATCGTCGCCAATGAATTCTTTGACCCGCTTCTTGTACGCCTCTTCAGTAACCTCAGCCGACGCGTCGAAGTCCTTGTCCGGAAACAGGATGAACATCCACTCGAACCACGGCTTCACCATCCTCGCGATTCCCATCCAACCGAAGCTGGGATGATCTACCCCGGGCTGCATCAACCAGTGCAGGTTGCCTTTCCGGTGGTCCATCAGATGAGAGAGGTCAGCTTTGACCAGGACGTTGATTGCCAGGCCTCCGCCAGGTTTTGCTACCAGAGGTATTTGAAGCGTCTTTGCGACGAGACTTCGAGCGCCGTTTGCGCCAAAGATGTACTTTGCCCGGATGGAGAAGTGGGTTTTGGAAACCATGTCCCAGATGGTGGCTAAGTACCTCCCTTCGGGAGAAGTTTCCTTGCTCCAGGTCACGAGCTTGGTATTGAATCTCACGACGAAGCCGTGGTGTGCCGCGTACCGGACCAAGATTGGTTCTAATGCGGTTTGTGGTATATCGACGGGGTCGCAGGGACTCGCGAGTTCGTAGTCACCCTAAAGTGAAGTGAGCTTCTGAGATCTTTGCCTGGTGAGAAGCTGAGCGTGACGTGTTGAACAGTTACCTTTCTTCTGGGATCACTTCCCCATGAAGGGATACGCGCAAACTCCTCACCCGCCATGCTATAACACCAGCGCGTGTGTTGCATGCAATGGCCCTGCGTCGCAATTGCTTGAAGCTCTCTATCCAAACCGATGTCTCGGAGACACTCTGAGAACATGTCAGACTTTCCAACATGGATGTCGAAAGGAAGCGACACGCATATCAGCTGAAGCTAGAACATACCAAGAGCTGCCATGTTTGTGATATGAGCTCGCGGTGTATCTGCGGTCGAGGGACTTGCGCTGATCATGATTCCCTTCAGTCCTAAGTAAAGATATGTATCAGCACAAGGTAGCCCCAAATTGAGAATAAATCGCACTGAGAACGAACCGTATGATGCAAGGAAACAAGCCAGCGAGGCACCAGCAGGACCCGCGCCGATGATGAGCATGTCAGTCTCGAGAGCTGCGGAATCACCACTGCCCTCGTGAGATTGAGTATCTGCCTTTGAAGGCACCGGCGCCGGATCGTGGCTCCTACTGGCCGGCGCTGACGCGATGTTCTCCGGCATCGTCATTTTCAGAGATCCAGAATGACTTTGAATTGGGATTGTTGCTTAGCCTTTGTGAGCAGTGACGGTGTAAGTGGCGATAGTAAGATTATGACACAGGGCTTCCCGCCGAAGAAATGTTCTCACGAATGGATGACAACGATCGAATTTCGTCATATACGAAAGAAGAACTCGGCCGGTTATCTCGCAGCATCAAAGCGTCGTAAATCCGAATGAAACGATGCATGGTGAGTATTTCCGTTCCGCGGACAGATGCGACGGGCTATTGTTGTTTGACGCAATTGTGTTGCGTCGGGGTAATTTTCTCCAAGACAGACAGAAGTAGAGCACGGTCTCTGACGACGCTGCTCCGGTCTACCTCGGATAGGTAGACACCATGCTCATTCAGACATTTCCATCAGAACGCACAATAAAACTCGATCAATTCATAACTTCATTCACAATGCCAATATTCCAAGCGTTTCCTTGCTTCGATGTGTCTTTTGTGTGCAAATCTAATCAAGGACAAACTATCCCCGCCTCCAGAGACCTAATCAAGCTCCAACTTACACCACAACAGCAAAGATGACCGCTCCCATCCGCAAAATCAACCTCGTGCGAATAGCACACATCAACTACACCTACCAAAACCTCGAGCGAGCCGAAGCCTTCTTCCGAGACTTTGGCTTCGTAGAGGCCTCTCGTGAGGGCACCCGCGTATACTACCGGGGCTACGGGCCCGAACCCTTCGTCCTCTGCGCCGAAGCCGGCGCCAAAGACGGCTTCGGCGGCGCAGCCTTTGTCGTTGAGTCAGAGGAGGATCTCTTGTATGCGTCCAAGACACTCCCGGGAGCTTCTGAGCCGTACGAGTTGAGCAAGGCCCCTGGCGGGGGCCGGTGCGTGACGTTCGAGGGCGGTGTTGATAGGTTTCCCTTTCATCTTGTTTTCGGGCAGGTTATGCGTGAGAAGGCGACGGTTTTCCCGGAGCGAGACTTCAATTTTGTATGTATACACGTGTTTCTGTTGTCATCACTACCGTGTGATGATGGAGTAACTTGGATGTCTGACTACAATGGCAGCCGACTGAAAAACATAGAGAAGCGGGCATATTCCAGCGGTTTGATAAAGGTATGTTGAAATCTAAACTGCTGTGTCTTCATAAAACTTAATAGTGTATAGGCCCGGCACCGGTGCATAAGCTGGGACACTTTGGCGCGTGCGTGACGGATTTCCAGCAAACATACGACTTCTTCACGACTCGGTTCAACTTCATCCCCAGCGACGTAAGTCAAATACACTCCATCATCTTGCCCCTTCTGTATCATCTCGGGACTCAAGAAAAGTAACTCACGAGCGAGAGAGTAGCTCGTACACGACGAAGCCGGACGCAACGTCACAGTCTTTCTGCGACTCGATCGCGGCGACGAACTCGTGGACCACCACTCCTTCTTCTTCTTTGAAGGCCCAAAATTCCACGTCCACCACGCCTCATTCGAGACCCATGACTCGGATCTGCAGTTTCTCGGCCACGACTGGCTTCGTGAGCGGGGATACGAGAACTGCTGGGGCGTTGGGCGGCATGTCATGGGGAGCCAAATCTTTGACTATTGGTGAGTCTTTTCCCTCCCATTCACTTTTTGTCCACATAGGGACTTTTGGCGCCTTTAGCGGGATTGGTTCCGTGAGGACTTACATGAATAATTCCACAGGTTCGATCCTAGTAAGTTCATCTTTGAGCACTACGTCGACGGCGATCAGATGAATAGTTCGCACCCGCCGAACCATTCCAAGGCGTCTCCTGATAGCCTTCACATCTGGGGTGAGTTTCCCCTCCCACGGACGACTCTTGTATGATATCGGCCTCACTGAACGATTCTGCCGCAGGGCCTGACCTCCCGGAGGGTTTCCTACTTTGAGGATTCTTGGACCAGTAAATATTTGGACAGTAGAGTGGAAGACTTATAAAACAATTCCCTCTGTAGACTAGACCTTGATTTAGACATAAGAGTTGCCATGAAGTTCAATATACAGTCTTTACTAGCACACGTTTTCATCAATCACTGTTTGAACCCGGTTCCTTGGTATCGTACCACCAGACACTTGGCCCAAATTGGGAAGGCGTGACACTGTCGAGTCATGAGTGTAGCTAAATTCACAATTGGAAATATTTTGAAGAACGTATAATTGCCTACATGTCTCTTACCGTGCTGGCACGGTCAAGACGGCTTCCCAAGCGACAGGAGCACGTAATCGGGAAAAGGATTCCCGCAACATGCCTCATTACGAGCTCCCGTGATTCTGGCCGGCTATGTACGCGGCAAAGTCATCGAATATTTTACCCAGAATATTCCGCCAAGTAGCTGTACAAGGTCTCAAAGCGTCGGACGGACTGATTTGGTGACTACGCCGTTGGAGATAATCATACCGAACCGCGGGGTAAGCCCAGATGCCAACCCGAAGAGCTCTCCCCCGCACTCACTGAATGTTGGAATCTACCGTCGGAATGAGCAGCCGATGCGAAATATCTGAGAATGTGAGGCTTTAATATGTGAAGCAAACCATGGTCTACATGGCAGAGCTTGTCTTGCAGCAGAGGAGCCCTCGTCGACGTTGAATCCCATCTAACTTACATTTGAAACCACTGAACCAGAATGTCGTGCCCGTTGTTCTTCGTAGTTGCCCGTGTCGTCGGGTCAGATGGCTCCCTGGAAAAGGCAAGAAACCTGCAACCTTTCCAGTTGAATTCTCAAAGCCTTCAAGGCACTCTCACGCACCTACCCTACACACGGCTAACCCCGCCAGTGGAAAGAAAGACTCGTAGCCCTCTGCGCCGTTTCCGCAACCGAACCCCTTGGAAACAGCTACTACTGGGGCCACGACCTCTCCGCCTCCGAGCCAGACACCCTCTGGGGCCTCGAAGGGTACACCCACCCGGCGGGCTTCTTCCTCGGCCACACCTCGACCGACGTCTTCAAGCGCGAGATGCGCCTCGCGGACGAGCAGAAGCTGCTAAAGACCGTCCAGGGCATCGGCAGCCCGGACTACGATCTGCATCACTATGACCTCGCTGGCGGCTGGTTAAAGCGGGAGGATGATCCCGGGAAGGACTCTCGGGATAGCGCGGTCGCTGTTGTGTATTTTTGGGCGGCGGAGGAAGGTAGGAGGGAGGAGGTTGTGAGGAGTTTGGAGGGGTTTGCGAAAGCGCAGAGGGAGAGGGCGGTTGGGGAGGCGGAGTTGCAGAGCTGTGCTGTTTTGAGGGAGGTTATGGATAGGAGGTTGGCGACATTGTGGTTACGGTACGTGAGTTTGTTGCGAACGACACAGCTGAGGCCTCCTCGCTTCCTCCCTGTTACACGACACTGGGATACATGTTGTAGCTTGCTAACACCTGCTTCGCTTCTCGCCACATGTAGTACAAAGACTCAACAGCACCTCAAGTCTCAATTGGAGACAAAGGATTACAAGGACTTGCTCGCGACTTTGCAGCCGTTGACTGTCCGGACGGAGACGCACCTATCGCAAGTCTTTAATGGACACATTGATCAGCCACCGACAGGGACTGGTGCGTGAAAAGGGTCAAGTCACCCGGGATTATACTCCATGGTCAGCCACCGACCCTGGGTTGTATGGTGTTAGAGAAACGCAGTAGACCCATAGGGTGATACTGGAGTTGTCAATAATAAACATTTTGGGGTATCAATTATCTTTCATTTGTTTAGCTCAAAAATCGAGTTCTCATGAACTCGGCTTCGGCTGGGGCTTATCATACGTCGCAGGATGCCCGTGCTTCCTGCCGTAGTTCCTAATCTGCCTCAACATATCGGGCAGGATAAAGATCCAGACCAGGGACGAGAGGCAGATGCCCAGCGTGTCGACGACCCAGTTGTTGCGCAGGGAACCGCCAAGACCGCTCCACCTCATCAAGCTACCCAGCCACGCTACCGTCACAAAGTAGTCTCCGCGCTCGAGTCCCTTGATTGCGGCCCTGGCAACTTCGTCAGGCGACTGGACGGGGTCGAGCTCCTCGAGCTGGTGCGTGATCTGGGGCTTGGTCAAGTTCTCCTTCTCCAGGCCGGGGCTCGTGATGGTCCCCGGGAAGACGACGTGGACCTTTACATTTTGCGGGTAGAGCTCGACTTCCTGCGAGAGGGTGTCGGCCAGGCCGCGGATGGCCCACTTGGAGCCGGCGTAGGGTGCGTACCCCGCGACGGTGAAGAAGGCGACGACGCTGGTGGTCATGATGAGGTGGCGCGGCTCGGCCTCGACGGGGGCCTCGGGGGCGAGCCAGACGCGGAGGATGGCGTGGGCCATCTCGGCGGTGCCGTAAAAGTTGACGTCCATGTTCCTGCGGGTCTCGGAGAAGGGCACCTCGGTGAAGAAGCCGGTCGAGGCCATGCCGGCGATGCACCAGACGACGTCCGGGCTGCGGCCGCCGTTCCAGGCGGTGGCCTCGGCGAGGAGGGGCGTGGCGTAGTCTTCCTTTGTGATGTCGGCGGTGATGTAGGTGAAGCGCTGGGTGGAGGGGTTCTTGGCGGCGGATTTGCACTCGGCGACGAGCTCTTGGAGGCGGGCGGCGTTGCGGGCGATGAGGATGAGGTTTGCGCCCTTTGCGGCGAGCTGGAGGGCGACGCTGCGGCCCATGCCCTCGGAGGCGCCGGTCAAGAGGACGGTCTGGGGAAGAGTGCGGGTGAGTATGCGTGTGTGAATAAAAGGGGGGGGAATTCAAGGAATTGAGCTTACCTTGCCATCGACGGGCATGTGATTCTTCCAGTTGAACAGACCCATTGCGGATGCGAGAAGGGCTGCTGCGAGGGCAGGCAGGGCTATCCAGAGAGCTTGCGACGCGTATTCCATACCTCTCGAGTTGGGAGAGAAGATGGTCGAGGGCGATTGGAAAGGGGAGAGTGGGAGCCGTCGTGGCTTTATGTTCCGGCTTTGTCGGTGATGAATTGCTCGAGACGCGCGAGGCGTTGTAGTTGGAGTAGCTCCCCTAAGGTATTCGTAGACATGGTCCAGTAAGGTGCGTGGGTGTGCGCAGCCATTAGGATCCAGGTCCCTGTCGTTCCTGGTGGGGTAAATTGTACCTTCAAGTGGCTGCTGACGGCGCTCGTCTAGGTGGAATGGTATGACAGGTTGGCCAGCTTGGGCTAGTCCTCCTGATTGCAATTTTGATTTACAGCAGTGCTGACACTTCGAAAGCTTGTTGATTTCAGTATGATTTTCATACAACGTATATTTCTGCTCAATACTTTGTAAGGTACTCAGGTCAAACGGCTCTTGATCAACTGAGCATGTTGACCCAGCTTGCGCCGCTAAGAAAGTACCAAGTGTATAGTTGTGAGGTAGTCTTAGATCCTCATATCTCTCTTCTGACCAGCTTAAGACTGAATCTTATTCCATCTGAAAAGAACCATGAATATCAGACTTTTGAGTTGTGAGTTCTTGTGAAATCCTCAAATGAGCAGAGCAAATAATGTGCTTGAGACGGTGATAGTTGAGTGACATGTTGGTGACTTGCATCGATTTGACCGTGGACGACTGAGTGTGGACCCCACCGTTAGGTTGAGGCTCAAGACCAATGAGAAACATCCCTGCCAATCCATCTCCACTAAAAAGTTCTGCGCTCGACGGACGCAAGAACATTTTTCGTAGCCGTCAAAGTGCAGCAAAGAGATCCCGCCCCATCCAACGCCCGATTCTCATCACCGAAATCGACTTTCGCACCAACCCTTCCACCCTACACTTCGACCCCAGATCTGTTCAGTCAAATTAAACGGTCACGATGGCGAAGAAGAGAAAGGCCTCTGGCCAAAATGAGCGCACCGGTCCCAAGGACTTCGACCCCGCCGATGCCCGCCTGGGCCCCATCACCAGCTACGAAGATGTCGCCGATTCAGAAGACGAGTACTTCCTGAACCGCGACAAGATCATGTTCGACGAGGGCCCCAAGTCCAAGAGGAGAAGGAAGGCCGACGAGGAGGACAAGTTCCTGGAACACTCGGACGAGGAAATCCTGGACCTCGACGACGGCGACGATTCCGACCAAGAGACTAAGAAGCCCGCCCGGAAATCCAAGAAGGGCAAGGCTGCTGCGGCCGAGGAGGAGGCCGAGGAAGAGGTCGAAGGCGCGGAGGACGAGAACGATCCGAATTGGTGGGGTTCCTCAAAGAAGGAGTACTACAATGCCGACCAAATCGAGACCGAGGCCGATGCGCTGGAGGAGGAGGCCGAGGCTAAGCGCCTCCAGCAGAAGAAGCTGGCCAAGATGTCCGAGGAGGATTTCCTGTTCGACGAGGGCGAATGGCTGGCAGCTGCCGAGGAGGACGAAGAGGACCAGGACGTTGTCACAGAGGTTCTTAAGGACGTCGAGATCACCGACGACATGGGCCCCGAACAGCGCACAAAGATCCTCCAGAGCAGATACCCCGAGTTCGAGCACTTGGTGAACGAGTTCCAGACCCTGCAGCCACAACTGGCCATCCTGCAGAAAGACGCCCACGGCAAGTCGAGTCAGTCGCTCGAGGCCGTAAAGTACTGGATCCTCGGCTGCTACGTCGCCGCACTGGCAAGTTACTTTGCCATCCTCACATCCCCGGCACGCGACGGTTCAACAGCCCAAAAGACGCTCGACCCCGCCGAACTCCGCGATCACGACGTCATGGAGACGCTGCTGGAGTGCCGCGATGCGTGGCAGCAAGTCAAGAACGCCGCGCCAGTACGGCCTGACGACTCGATGGAGGTATCCTCCGCCGATGAGGACATCAGCGCTGCGCCCGCCGGCGACGCAGACGAAGACGCCTTCGCCGCGGCGAGAGAAGAGATCAGAAGACAGCGCAGACTCGAGAAGGCGGCCAAGTCCAAGAACAAGCAGGCGCAGAAGAAGGCCGCTGCCATCGAGGAGTCGCTCGCCGACCTCGACGACCTCCTCAAGCAGTCCAAGAAGAGCAGCAAGAAGACCAAGAAGGCCGCCAAGGCTACGGAGGAGGGCGACAACTCCGACTTTGGCGAGGAGGAGGTCCTCGACGCCCGGACGGCCGCGGACAAGGCCGCCCGCAAGAAGAGTCTGCGCTTCTACACCTCGCAAATCGTCCAAAAGGCCAACAAGCGCGCCGACGCCGGCGCCGCGGCCGGTGGCGACGCGGATATCCCCTACCGCGAGCGTCTCCGCGACCGCCAGGCCCGCCTCAACCGCGAAGCCGAGTCCCGCGGCCAGAAATTCGGTGCCGACCTCGGCGACGGCGACAGCGACGACGACAACGAGGGCAAGACGGCGGCGGCGCTGCGCGAGGAAGGGGACGACGAGTACTACGACATGGTGGCCGCCTCCTCCAAGAAGAAGAAGGCGGACAAGGCGGCCTACAGCGCGGCGCTGGCGGCGGCCAGCAAGGCGGACCGCATCGTGGAGCAGGAGATTGTCGGCGAGGACGGCAAGCGCAAGATCACGTACGCGATCGAGAAGAACAAGGGCCTGACGCCGAAGCGCAAGAAGGAGAACCGCAACCCGCGCGTCAAGAAGAGGATGAAGTACGAGGAGAAGCAGAAGAAGCTGAGGAGCATGAAGGCCGTGTACAAGGGAGGCGAGCCCAAGGGCGGCTACGGTGGTGAGATGTCTGGTATCACGACGGGCATTGTCAGGGCGAGGAAATTGTAGAGTTACGTTGTCGTCGGTGCCTTCACGTAATACAATTGGATTTCAAAAGTTTACAAAATTGGAGCGTTTCTTTCTGATGATGTGCTCTCAATTGAGAAGACTACCAATGTGCATCGATATGTGGTTGTGAGTGGCTCAATGTGAGGGAGGGAGACTGGCACTGTAAGTGAGATTGAAATGTGAGCTGGGGTAAATTGCAGGGTGCCGAAGCTCGAGAAAGCTGGCCCCACCAAATCCCATTCCATGTGGCCAGAACAGCTTCAACATCCAAGCTCCAGCTTTCAACTACACATCTACAATTGCCAACCAAAAGGCAGGCGCACGACCAGCGCAAAGGCCTCACGAACATCCAAAAACCAGCAGAAGATAAATCCGTCAACGAAGAAAACTCAATGAATCCGACGAACCACCGATAACGACCCCATCCGAAACCATCGTCGAAAGACCACCACCACCACCAAAATGGCGACCCCCGATCTCTCAACCCTCACCTCCTCCGCCCAAGTCTTCTCGTCAACCTACACCCTCCCGCAGATCCGCGGCATCCATAGAGCCCTCCATGTCGAGATCGACGAAAAGGCGAGCCGCCTGCGCACCCAGGTCGGCAGCTCCTACCGCGACCTCCTCGGCACCGCCGACACAATCGTCCAGATGCGCAAGGACAACGACGCCGTGCAGAACGTCCTCGGCGGTATGGGCGGGCGCTGCGGCCGCGGGGTAGTCGGAAAGAAGGTGACGGGCCTGGGCGGGTTCGAGCGGAGCGCGAGGGAGCTGGACGGCGGGGCTACCGGCGTGGTTGCCAGGGCGAGGCTGCTCGAGGCCTGCGGGCTCGTCGTAGGACGTGTGCTCCGTGGCTCTGGGGACGCTGGTGTCGGAAGCCAGGATCTGAGTAGGGGTGATAGGGTCGTGCTTGCCAGCAAGGTGCTGGTACTGAGCCGGCTTTTGGTGAAGAGCTTAGAGGCGGAGAAAGAGGCGCTGCTCCTGGAAGCTGACGTCGGGCACACAGTCGAGACCGCGAAAAAGAGCCTGGGCGGGCTGAGGAGGAGACTATTGCGGAATATCGAAACCCTGCTGGAGCGGACGGGCGAGTCCGTCAAGCAGCAGGACGTCCTCAAGGCGCTCTGCGCATACAGCCTGGCCACCAGCTCCGGCGCACGCGATGTCGTCAACCACTTCCTGCGCGTCCGCGGCGCCGCCATGGCCCTGGCCTTCGACGTCGAAGACGCCAAGGAGCGGCAGAGGAGCACGGCGGACGTGCTCAAGAGCCTGACGCTGTACACCAAGACACTGCTCGACGTGCAGGCCCTGGTGCCCTTCAAGCTGTCCGACGCGCTGTCGAACCTCAAAAAGAGCCCCTTGCTGGCGGACGCGACGCTCAAGACGCTCGAGTGCCTCCGCCTCGACGTCTACGATCGGTGGTGCGGCGAGGAGATCCAGTTCTTCACGCCCTTTGTGCGGCACGATGACCTCGACGGCCCGCAGGCGCGCGACATGCTCTTCAGCTGGGCGAAGCGTGGCGGCGAGGTCCTCGTCGACGGGCTCAGGAAGACGATGGAGCGGATGACGGAGTTCAAGGCCATCACGGAGCTGCGGACGAGCGTGCTGCAGCTCTGGATCCGCGAGGGCGGCAAGGCGCGCGGGTTCGACCCCTCGGAGATTCTCGACGAGCTGCGCGGCGCCGTCAATGGGCACATGCTCCGCGTCGTCGAGACCAAGGTCAACAAGCTCCACCTCGTCGGGTCCGAGGTGTCGGCGACGCTGGACTCGTGGCAGGACGGCGTGACGGACGAAGGGGTCGATCTGTGGAACGTGCGCGGGTTCGACATCGACCTGATCCACGGCGCGGACCATTTCTTGCAAGAGCTCGTCGCGCGGCTGCACGGCCGCAACGACGCCGTGTCCAAGGCCGTCAGCGGGTTCCAGTCGTGGCGGCACATCATCGACGAGGTGGGCGAGGTGGTGGAGCAGCTCAAGCGGCAGCGGTGGGACAACGACATTGACGAGATCGAGGACGAGGAGACGATCGAGGCGAGGCAGCAGCTGCTCAGCAGGGAGGACCCGCGGACGCTGCACGAGAAGCTCGACGCGACGCTGGTCAAGGCCTTTGCGGACCTGGACGGGAAGCTCGCGGGTCTTTGGCGGTCCAGGGAGGGTGCGCAGAATAGCGGCAAGGTGGCCATGTACCTCCTCCGCATCCTGCGCGACGTGCGCGAGGGTCTGCCGAAGCTCGACGCCGTCAAGCGATTCGGGTTGGAGGTTGTCCCGTCGCTGCACGAGCAGCTGGCTACCACCGTGGCCGCGCAGCCATTAGAAACGTTCAAGGGCAGGGCGCTCACGCAAAAGACTGTTGTCGGGCGGCCGCTGTGGGAGGGGAGTCCCGAGCTGCCTACGCAGCCTTCGCCTAGGGTGTTCCAGCTCCTGCGGGACGTGTCGACGGAGATGGGCGATGCGGGTATGGATCTCTGGAGCGCGGTGGCCGTGGGCGTGATTAAGCGGCATCTCGGGACGCAGTTGGGCGAGATGTGGCTTGAGGCCTTGGAGGCGCACCTTGCGGAGGATGTCACCAAGGGCGCCTCTGATGCGAAGCCGGATGATGGTGCCAAGGACTCGGCGGAGGAGAATGGTGATGACAAGGAGGTCGAAGCATCTGAAGCAGAGAAGCCGGAGGTTCCTTCAGGCGAGGAAAAGCCAGAAGATGCTGTCGCAGAAGACAAAGAAGAAAAGGAAGAGGAAGAAACAAGACAGGAAACCGAGGCAGCCGAGACGCCTGTCAAGACAACCGCAAAGGTGGACGATGTTCTAGCCCAACAGCGTCGCGACCTCCTCATCCAATGGCTCTACGACGTGTCCTTCCTCCGCTGCTACCTCGATGCCCCAACAGCAAGCCAAAGCAACAACGACCTCGCGAGCCTGGAGGACAAGATCTTCAAACACACGGGCTTGGACGGTGACGGGGCGCGCCAGCGGATAGGCAAGTCGTCGCAGGAGTACCACAAGAAGACGAGCCTGCTTTTCGGTCTCTTGTGAAGTTGAGAATTTGTATATAGATACCCCCCACGAGTAGATCATGGATGAAATTCCCATCATATGCCGAGTCTGAAAGTGGTCCATGACTTGATGAAGACGTTGTACTATATCTTTCTCTCTTCAGACGATCTATACATCAGACGACATTCCTCGCAATCTCAAGCTAAGCTCTACCCCCACCACCTCACAACTTATGCCTCTTCTCACCACTCGCAATCTTCCTAAACTCCTCCTGCGGAATCCCCCTCATGAACCTCTCCAACCCAGCAAACACCTCCTGCGAATTCTGCTTATCCATCGCATCCATCTCCGGCCGCCGAATCAGCGCCTTGATCCCCGTCAAACTATCCCCAATCAAATGCTCCCCCAACCTCTCGTCAACCTCTTTCAGCACCAACTCTCTGAATTTCGCATCCTCCCCCTTCCCCGTCTCAAACACCTTATTCACGAACCCGGTGTGCAGCAGCTCCTCCGCCGAGATCCGCTTGCTCATAATCAGCGCCTCGTTAGCCTTGGAGATCCCGAGCCGCTGCACCAGCGCGCGGGAGGCGCCGCCCTCGGCCACGAGACCGAGGGACGAAAAGGGGGTGAGGAGGAAGGTGGCGGGGGTGGCGTAGATGAAGTCGGCGAAGGACACCAAGGCGGCGGAGAGGCCTATGACGGGCCCGTTGAGGCCGACGACGAGGATCTTGGGGTGGGTGTAGAAGGCTTGGGTGATGTTTAGGTTGAAGGCGACGAAGGATTGGAGCCAGTGCTTGTGGGCTTCTGGGCCTGAGGGGGAGGCGCGGGCGATGCTTACGTCGGCGCCGCTGTGGTTGAGTTTAGTTAGCATTCATTTGGGTTATTTGTTTGTTTGGCTGGCTTGGTGCTTCATCTTCTCATCCGGTTGATGCGCTGGGTCTAGAGGTGGGAATGGCTGTTTGAACAGCTTGGCCTTCTCATGAGAGTTTGTTGGGAGTCGCAGCCGCGGTATGAGATTAAGCCGAGGTCTAATTCACCACAGAAGTTTTTACAGCAGTGAATAAGCCAAGGTAAAAGAAGATGTTGCAAAAACTCACGCAGAAAAGTAGCGTCCCTTGGCCGTGAGGACGGTGACGAAAACCTCGTCGTGCAGAGCGATCTCGCGGAGCTTCTGGGCGAGGTCGTAGTACTGCGGCTGGGCGAGGGCGTTGAGCTTGCGGTCATTGTCGATTGTGAGCAGCGCGACGCGGCCGCGGTACTCGAGGGAGATGACGGAGTCCTCGGGGCTTGCCATTGTGCTGTGTGTAGATGAGAACTGTCTTGATCAGATGTGTCCTTTTCTTGATGCAACTGGCGTTGGTTCTTTCTTGTAAGTATGAACTTGAGGCAATGAGATGTTGTTGAAAGTGTCAATTGAGATGAGATGTCGATACTGAATCCCACGTTGAGTTTAAGCTAGGGGTGGGAGGTCGTCGGGTTTATCAAACATCAAGTGGCCACTGCACCAGGGTGGGAAGGTCTGGCTACCCCGGACCCCACACTGCACCGAGATGCCTCGGCAGGTCGGGGTGGCATTGCGGGGTGCTAGCGCTCCATTGCACCCAACAACGAACGATACATTGCTTCATACAACTCTCACCGGATTACACATCAGGTCCAATATCAGTCACAGGTATTGTTTCTTTGATTCAAAATTTTGGACTCCGGGCCCCCTATGCAGCGTAGCGTTTTGTAATTATACGCCCATCTACTTCTTGAGAGTATCGCGTACGTAAGGTAGGTATGTGTATCGTTATGAGTGCCAGCAACAGCAGACTCCCATCATTCTTTGTAAACGTCCCCTGGCCACCGCCTCCTAAACCTCAAAAGGTAAGGAATACAGCCCTTCTCAACCTCACCACAATGCCATAGAGGCATCCGCCGGAAGGATCGCTCTACACCCGTCTGCGAGCAATCAAACCGATCTGATCCTAATCGCCTCGCGAAGCCGCCTCCTCTCCGGCGTCCTCGGCTCGTCACCGTCGCCCGCTTCACCACCCTAACGGCGTTTCGGCGCGACAGATCGGAGCTTGGGGAAGTTGAGCGGCAGCGCGAGCTTGGCCACGTGCGGGGCCTTGACCCCCTTCTCCTTGGAGGCGCCCTGCCTGACCTTGGCGCCAATCTCGAAAAAGTAGTTATTCATGTCCTTCTGGTCGAGGCGCAGGTCCTCGCGCAGTTTCGACGTCTCCACCTCAAAGTTGTCAATGATGCACGCGACCGCGCAGCAGTGCGTGATGAGCAGGTCCATGTGGAACTTGCGCATCTCGCCGCCGTCGGAGAACTTGCGCCGGATGTGCTCGATGACCACCTGCGGCGCCGGCTCCATGCGCTCTTTGAGCTTATCCCGGGGCGGTATACGCTTCGTGCCGCGCTGCTTGCCCGGCGTCGCCATGGTGTAGAATGTGAAGAGGAAGTAAAAGTAGCGCAGGAGGCGCATCTTGGTGACGTTACCCGAGTCGGCAATCTTCTTGACGCGGCCCGCCACGTGCCTGGAGTAGCAGAGAATCTCCTCGCCCTTCTTTGCCGGGTCGATCCAGTCCTTGACGGGGATCGCCGCCAGAATCTCGCGGCCGATGAACTCGTCGGGGTCGTAGACGTCCTGGATCGCCTCCGCTTCGAGGTTGGGCCTGGGTACGGGCTTGGCTTCGTCGACGACGGCCTGCAGCTGCTCGCGCGATGCCATTGTCGCGGTGACGCCGCCAATCTCTTGCAGGATCGCCTTTGCTGCCGTGTCGAGCTTCTCGGGCGCGCTGTCTCTTGATTTGCCGGGGGCGATGGCGTTGAGGGCGACTGACTCGATAGCCTTCTTGGCCTTCTTCGTACCAAACGTCTGGCCAAGGTCTTTCTTGAGATCGTAAAAGCTCTGCTCGGCGTTAGTAATTGTCTTGCAAGGACCCTTGTATCGCGTAATTGGGTATACCTGGTAATCTGCCGGCGCCGTCATGGCCTCTTCTGATGCATGCTTTGCTCTGGCCACACCACGAACCACCATCTTCTTCGCCTCCACCACCTGAAGCTTGCCGGTCTCGGGGTCGTAAATGCCGACATAGTGCTTCAAGGCCTGCTGGCTGTCGCTGATACCGTCCTCTCTCGCTGTATAGTCCATCGTCTGGTGGGTATTGGAGTGCAGAACGAGATCCTGCGACACTGCGGGGGTTTTTGATCGTCGCTTGACGGATGAGGCATCTTGCTTGACGTATGGGTTGAACTGCACACCCTTCGCTAACCGAAAACCGGGAGAAGAAGCTGCGGTATGTTAGCGATCGTCTGCGACTGCAATTGTTAGGCTGACGAGGCCCAGATCGTCCGTACCTAGTACTGGTGGGCAGAGCTGAGGTCTCTGGAATGAAGAAACGACAACTGTGGAAGGCTCGGTGGCCTGCTTCTTCTTAGACTTGGATGAACCGTCGAGGTCGCGCTTTCTCTTTCGTGCACTTGCGTCCGCCATGTTTGCGTCGGTGATCTGAGGTTTGTGCTAGGCTCGGGTGGTGATCTGCCGTTGGTGGGATGGCGACGGCCTCTGGAAATATTTTCTGTAGGGGTCCTAGGCCAGAGACAGACTGAGGTGGAGGGAAGAAAAAAAAAAAGTCGGCAAACCGGCGTTGGATTGTCCCTAAGGGGCAGGCGGTGTGCGGCCTAGCAGCAAGCGTGCGGGAGCGTCTACTGCAGGCGACCCCACTCGAGCTGGGTCGACAAAACGTCACAGCTCGGTTGTCGCACTCAAACTGACGGGATGAAATTGAAGAAATTAGGTATGAGCTTGCAGACGCTGCAATTGAAGCAAAGCGATGGACAAAATCAAAGGATATCTTCAAAGTCACTCAGAAAGGGTCTTTAGTTTTGGAGTTTTTAATTCACTTTTTGATTTTGTGAGGAAGCAAGTATCTGCCTTTCAATTGTCATGCAAGTCCTGATCCCAGTTCCAAATCCGCGTTGCGTCAAGACATCATGCTTCCTGCGGTCTTGTTCCATAAACACCGCGTCCTCATCATATCGTCATCTCGACCGATCATATTGTCGGGTTTCCATTCTTCGTCGAATTCTCAATGCGTCTCCAGACATGCGCGCCGTTCAAATCATGACCCCAAGTCCCGTAGTTCCAATCCGTCGTGTGAATGTAGAAGTCTCGAGCGAGCCGAGACAGACTGAGTCGCTGGTGACGAATGCTGGCTGTGGCATATCCGTTTTTGCGAGTCGCGTGAGTTGTTGTTTGCCGTCATCTCAAAAGATGGTCAGGTCGAGGGGAGGGGGGGCGAGTTGTTTATTTGCTGTCAAACTGTCAGACCACGACCCGCGCATCAATGATATCGAGTGGTAAAACTTACGAGCGAGCCCTCATCTTTCTTCTCTTACGCTTGAGACGACGCACGCGCTTCTTTCTCCACTTAGCTCTCATCTTGAATGACGAAGCTGCGACATGTTAGCGATTGATTTGCATCGCGCGTAAATATCAACCCTGCCAATTGCTTGCCGCAAGCTCTCCAATTCCTTGCGGGATTGGCGCTGACGACATCGCAAAAGGCGTGGCGGGCAGGGGATGGGGGCAGTACTTACTCTTCCTTGGTGAGAGATGTTGGTGATGAAACTTCCTTCCTCCAACTGTCACGCGCCTGGAGGGGAAGTTTTAGTGGTTGAGCTCCGTAGGGCAGCCAACCCTACTACCGCATTATGTAATCCACACAGACCCCACACTGCCACCTTAAGCTCCTCGTCCCTCACCAAAGTGTTGGAACGTCCAGGACCTACACGGCAAGCATGTAAAGTGCCCTCAATTGGCTTGACCTCACTGGTCCTCTGCCCTGAGCTCCCGTCATTTGACAGGCACTCCAGGTCCTCTGCTCCGTTCATCCCGTCCTCAGCTCCCATCTCGCCCCGCACCGGATCAACGCCGGCATTTACGTACCTACCGAGGCGGGCCATCCGGGTTCCACTCATATCCGGGGTGGGGCCAATTCCGGAACCGGGTGTATTGGCAGCGCTTGAGGCCGCATTCGCCCTTCAGATGACCAAAGCACGGAGAAAGACAAGACCCCACGAGCATTGCTTCACCTTTCTTGCCAGCTCATACCCGTATTCCGAGTCCCAGCCAGCCTTTCTGAAGTTACCTTACTCCAAGTGAAGGACAAGACCAAGCGAACCGAGCCCCTAATGCGGTCCACGGGTGGTGCTCTCAGTGCAGACCACTTATGTTTCGCAGTGTGAACACTGAATTGCATAGGTACGCTTCCATTCCTCTATGATCTGCGCATCATGCAATTGGGAATAATACAGGTAGTATTACATACGCAACGGAACTTCGCCCTCACTGGTAATCGCTGTGCCCCTTGGGCTCAACACCAGACATCTTATCCGAACCGCCCTTCTTCTTTTCGCCCGCCTGACCATCACTCTTCTTCCCTCCCTTAGCCTCACCACCAGCAGCGCCCCCATCCTCAAACTCAACAACCTCAATCGTCGTAGCGACATTCCCCCTCGTAGCCCGACTATACGGACACACCTCCTCCGCCCTCTCCACAACCTTGTGCACCTCCTCGTCGCTCAAACCCTTGACCCGAACCTTCAAATTCACCCTGAGCCCCATATCAAGCTTCTTCATATCGCCCACCAGGTGCACGGTCGCATCCACGACGCTGTCCTCGGGCTTCTTGGGCATCGTCACCCCCAAGCTCGCCGCCGAGGCGTTCATCGCGCTCTGGAAGCAGGCGCCGTAGCCCGCGGCGAAGAGCTCTTCCGGGTTGGTCTTTCCCTTGTCGCCGGCGCCGCCGAGGGCTTTGGCCATGGTCAGGTCGACGACGAGGTCGTCGCCCTGGACGTGGCCCGTTCGTGCGCCGACGACTTTGGCGTGGGCGGAGTAGAGGATTGGTGCCGTTTCGGTGTTGAAGAGGCGGGTTTGTTGGTGTATGGGTACCAGTGGCGTGATGCGGGTTGCGGCAGTACCGCGGGAGAGGATCTGCGGTGCGCGCTGCGCCAGTCTGAGGGAGCGAATCGAGGCCGACATTTTTTTGGCGGATAGTGGTCGATCGGTTGCTTAGAATTACAGTATTTTGGATGAGAAAGAAGAAACAAAATAGAATCGAGTTGAATTGAGTTATATTATTGGGATTGAACAGGGGAGCTTGAGAGCTTTGCAAGCTTCCTTTATTGACCTTATAGCTTCCCGCGTTTGGAGCTTAGCTCTGGATCGTTCTTGAGAATGTACCGGTCACCGGTGACGTATTGGATAGGTAAGGCACCGTAGGTCGAGCATCTCAAGCCCCCCTAACAGACCACAAAATCCTGGAGCTGACTCATCTGGGGCATTCCAACCCAGAGAATCGCGAGTGACAAACATGGACGTTTTCTACTTAGTATCTGAGGTAGTACAATATCTGTTTCCGTTCACGCCAAGCAACCGAGGCGCATTGGCTGTGAGAGCTATCAGAAACGAGTAGTTGCGCGAAAATGGCGAGGTTCTAACACAACTTCGAACATCGATAAAAGTCATGTAGAAGCAGTTTTCAAGAAAGTGATCGGACAAGTTCCTTCCAACTCTGTTGGCGTACGGAGACATAATTCTTCCTACTTCCACGGCATGCACCTTTTGTACGGCTCGTTTCACTGTACATCATGACTGTCGCCTTGTTCACGAAATAATGGAGACGAAGACAAAAATGCGAAGCAAGTAGGATGCATCCAAGAACATGATATATCTTTCCCCCAAAAAATCACCATCTTGTCGCGTCCCAAGCGTTACCAGCAAATGCCTCCCTCTACCGTGCCCTTATCAGATGCCATCGTCGTGTGATCTCGATCCATCCAGGGCTTCGCTACATGCAAAAAACGTGACACCCAATACCACTCTATCCAGAAACAAAAACAAAAACAGCTCCCAATCATGCTTCTTCACCCAAAGTGAGCATCGCCTCCCTCGGCCCCCCAGGAGGAAATACCAACGGCCGCAGCTCCGGATACGCCTTATCCTCCTCATCCACCAACAGCGGCTCAAGCAACCCCATAACCAGCTCCCCCGACCGCGCATCCCGCGCCGTCAGCTTCTCCAGATCCCTCACCACGACGGCCCTCTCCTCCCCGGTCAATGGCCGCCTCCGCTCCCTCTCCACCGCCTCGGCAACCTTGCCCCGCAACTTCCCGCCTGCCGTCGTCGTCGTCGTCGTCGTCTTCTCGTCAGCAAACGCAACCAGGTTCCCCCTCCGCACGACCAGCACCTGGTCCACGAAATCCACCTCGTCGATCCACTCGGCCACGCTCATCAACCCCCCATACGAATCGTCGTGGATCTTGACCGGCGTAAGCCGGATCGGCAGACCCCCCGCCGGCCCGGCCTCGGGCAACCTCTCGTGAAACCGGTGCAGGATGCCCAACCTGCTCAGCGCCGCCGGCACAGCCATGACGACGACCTCGACGCGGTAACCCCCCGCCCCAAGCGCGCGCGCCAGCTCGCGGAAATCATCCGGGTGCCGGCACGCGCTCTCGAGAAGCACGTCGAGCCTGCGCCCCACGGCCTCGGCGACGGCCATGGCCAGCCACCGCCGGGCGTCGGTGCCCGTGGCGGGGCTCGCGAGGGCGGCCTGCGACGGGTCCTTGGACGCGACGAGCGCGGCGTAGGAAGGGTGGTGCGCCTTGTAGAGGTCGGCGATGAGGTGGGCGGGCGGGTGGATGCGGGTCATGGCGTCGAGCACGGCGGGCGCCAAGCGGGTTTTGCCGGCGCCGGTCTGGCCGACTATCAGCACGGCCAGGGGCCGGGACCGGCGGGGGTGCGGGGTGAGGGTCGCGGGGAGGTCGGCGGGGAGGATCTTGCTGGTGAAGATCTCCCGTGCCTCTGCGTCTGGGAGGACGTGGCGGGATAGATCTGGCGGTGGTGGCATCGTCTTTTTTTTTTTTTGGTCTGCGTTTGTATGTGGAGTTTGGGGAAGTGGGTTGCGAGGGAAAAACTGTAATTACTGATCTCTCGGGGCGTTCTTCTGGGTACCGAGTCTACCTTATCTAGCAAACTTCCAAGAAAGAAACCTCCCCCGAGTTTTGGGTATAATTTTTTCTGAGAGGGGAGGTGAGGAGAAGGGGGAAGGAAAAAAAAAACAGGTGACTCCAAGTGGTGTTTAACATGCAGAGGCGGAGTCAATACGCGGAGAATCAGGCGCACAAGTTGACTTGTGCCAATAAATCCGGCATACCCGGGGAAACCGGAAGGAAACAAACTGCCAAAGTCCGTTCGTCTTTGCCCTGCCTATCTCGCAAAAGTATAAATTCGCCTATCCTTGGCGGGGTGAAGGGGGAGCTGAGAGCGAGTCAAGGGGGGGGCTAGGTATGGTTGCTCTTTGACACGAACCTATCGCCCTCCCGTCACACCCCGCGCGCCCGAGTAGTATGATGGGATCATGGAGTTCTCTCGGTTTTTTTCCTGATTTTCCTTCTCCCCCCAGCGGTTACTCGGACTCCACACACGCGATTGGGACCCTTGACTTGATCCAATCACGGCTTCCAGTGTCGAGCCGACCAGCGGCAAAGAACTTTGTGGACTCAATGGGGGTGTGGTTTGGGAACTTTGACTTCGCAGAGCCGTCCCTCGGCAGATCTTGGTTTGGCTAGAGTTACCTCGACATGCCTAGCACATTGCTTGGTAAGGTACTAACGTACGGAAACTAAGGTTGAGCAATAAGCGGCCCGAGAACGAGCGCGACATGACGGGATGCCAGATATAGTAGAACTGCGATCAGAGTCGCATTTTCCCTTTCTTTGTTTTCCGGAGGCCGGAGGCAAAGATTTGTCAGAAGTTTCTTTCTACCCCGACTATGCCGGCAATGAGTTGCATTACGTTCGTTGGTGCCCGACCCGAGGTTCTGGTACAGGAGTAGGTATGACAATCTCCCGGGCGGGCCCGGGCACTGCCCCCGGCGCAGCGCCGCCGGGCCCCCCTTGCAGATCCTTCCATCATCCGGAATTCTGTCATCGGGAATCATGATCGGATCTCGGTTGTTTGCCATTTCGGGCCACCCGCCCCGCGACGCCGCGGTGCGGAACTCCCTATTCGGCTTTCGGCTTTGATGGAGAGAATCCTGACCTCACTGACAAGCTTTCTGGTACTAAATGCGTGATGCCGTCAAGGTTGACTTGCCGTGCCTTTAAAGTTACGGATAAAATCTAGTAAGATGCCGAAACCAATAAGTGGGATATTATTACTTTCTTAGGTAAGGTGCGTTGTACATGGGGGTTCTCGTTCGACGAAGGGTGGAAGGAAGGTGACCTTGCACAAAATTTCGAACCTTGTTCATTGAGAACTTTTGAGGCGGTCTGCAATATCGTACCATTCATCCCTCTCACCGTGTGCTTTACAAAGGTCGTGTCACGATCATCTTCTCCTTCAGAAAATAGGAACCAAGATGTACTATTCCAGGACTCGGCTTTGCTGCTCTTGGTCAAGGAACAATGCCTTGTGGTCTTATGCAAATCTTCGCAGATGAAGAAATACTGTCTTCCATGATTTCTCGGACGTCATGAAGAATGCATTCAAGCAAGCCATCGACTCCATCAATGATACCAGGCTCAAGTAGAACGCCGTCGAACCCATTCCCTGTTATCACAACTTTCGAATTTAGCCTGTATCGACAAACTTGAACTAGCCTGAGCAGTCACCACAATCTTCTTGACAAACCATTGAGTTGGACCAGATCTAATGGAGGGGGCGGCGGCAGATGAGTGGCCGGACTGGGCAAGATGATGATGACGATGGTAATATCCAGATTCAACGACAGGAGGAAGAAGAACTTCACCTCCAGCAACAGCAACAGCAGGGGTCCTACATTGAACCTCAGACCCCACTCAAAGGCCACGAAAACAATGATGATGACAAGGAGACGTAACGACGCTAACACTGTCGTCACGGCGCATAAGCCTGAAGGGCCAAAAGACCAAGACGACCAACGCATCCAAGGTAGGAACCTCGCGGGAGACTACACAGCACACATTCGTGCCAAAAGCTTACCTCCGACTCAGCGACTGAAACAAAACCGAGATGCGCAAGCTCGCAGACCCGCGTTCGCAAGGCGCGGAACGGCAGCCCATCAGCTGCGCATATGGGGTGAGGGCAGGGATTCAGATCGGTAAAGGCCCTTGCGTGTAAAGTACTTCCGGCTGATGGGGAATGATTCGCACGCGAGGAAAGATGAGAATATTGGTAGAGGAGGTAAGAGGCGAAGGGCAACAGCAGGGGTTACGGTGAGGTAGGTTCGAGATAAAGATATTGGGAAGTGAAGTTGACATACAGTCGTCCGAGGTTTGAATCCTTACTTTGTACAGAGAAACAGAGCGGGAACCAGTATTTGAACGAGTAGATGGTGCCAATTAGTGTCTCTCCAGGCTGAGCCAGACAGCGTCAAATCCACGTTACCAAAGTAGTAGGACAATTCTCAATGGCAGGCAAATTTTCTCAATATTGACGACTATAAAGCAAAGACCAAACTGTCTCCGCCAGCAGTACTTCAAAAGGTATCCATCATCCTTCGTGCTCAACAGGCGGCCAAGTTCGCCCGTTGCCATCCCTCGATAGACCTCCTAACCTAATGAGAAAGAACTCAGTGAGAGCCAAGCTGCAATGCCGGTTCAACGTCCTGTGATTGCCCTTCCTTGCACTCGTGCGGACTCCAGAAACAACGTGATTGTCTGGCCACACCGCCAGTGAGCTCGCAGCCTCAGATTCCCAACGCCAATGAGATGAGGTATGAGTGAAAGACGAAAACCCGTGTGAAGCCCTAGTAATGCCGAATTCCCATTTCCCCAACGCCGATGTATGAAAAGTGATGTGAGTATTCCGGCCTGTGACACCCGCTGCAATATGAGTGTCGAGTCCGCCATTGTTGGCCAAAATTCCTCAGAATCAAATAAAGCAATAATTCGTAGCCGCGAGGCTGGTGATTTTTGGTTTTTCACGTTTTGTTTTCCAGTGAAACAAGAGCGATGCTCTCCCTGTCAATTTCTTGCGCCTTACGACGCGTGCGATGGCACGCTGCGAGGCGTCACATCTCCGCTACGTCTGCGGCCTTGGAGCTGCGCGGCCTGCTGCGATCTCGATGCCTCTGCAATCATGGCCATCTTCTTGCGGACAGTTGAGAGACGTGCGGTAATCATTTGAATCACTGCCAAATGTGAGTGCCATGAGAAAACATGAATACAGCTGCTCATCACTTACTCCGATTCACGGCCAGCTGGTCGTCGCTGTCCAGATCACTAGACGTCTCCTCGCGAGGCAACTCCTTGCCTGAGCTAGAGTAGCGCCGCTTTACTGCGTCTTCGTCGTTGTCCAAAACAGCCTCCAGCATCCGAATGGCCGTGACATAATACGTAACACAACCCTCAAGGTTCTCATTGGTAATTTCATCAATGGCGGCTGTTCTGCTCATCTCAATGGCTCGGTCGTACATCAACTTCTCCGCACTAATGCCTGGCGTGAGGTAGACATCGGGGGTGCTTGAAGTAGCTGACGAAGCGGAGACTCCGCCGTGGTTACTTGGGTGGCTAGGATGATCCTCAGGAAGCTTTTGCTGGACGGCAATGAGTTTCATCCGGACAACCTCGGTCTTCTCCAAAACTTCGTTGAAGCGAGTCCGAACCCATTGAACGGTAGAGTTGATGCGCTGAGCGAGGCCCTCTTTGGAAACCTCTGCCGCAGATGCTGTATCACCACGCGTCTTTTGTGACCACCATAGGCTTGCAGCATCCATGGCTCTAGCTAGCAGCGTCAGAGCCTTGACGTACAGGACCAAAGCCTCCTCCGACAAGGAAACCTCGGCATCGATTGTAAGGCCGTCCTCATCGCCAGTGATTTGATCAGTCGGCGTACCACCGAGTCCGTGCTCCATTGACGGGGCGAGAGGGAACAGCTGCTTGTACTTGACTTCGGCAAATCCATAGACACAGTCACTTCGGTGAGCGAAATCCTGGATCAGCTTGACAGCTCGCGCATCTTCGTCGGCCGGTGCGTTTTGCTTTCCATCGCCGATGAGGCCGACAGCTCGCGCATCTTCGTCGGCCGGTGCGTTTTGCTTTCCATCGCCGATGAGGCCGACGGGGCCCGAAGGGGTAGGGTAGGCAGGGAATGGGCTGTACAGAGGAGGGGACGCCCCCTTTCCGCCCAGCACATGCTGCGGTACCTTGAATCCGAACAATCGTACGCTGGCGTCCGAAATAGCTTTGGCGATAAAGCCTTGAGTTGTCGGGCTGGCGGAGAAATTCTTCCCGTCGTACGAATCGCGGCTCTCATGACCGGGACGCCCCTTGCCTGAAGCGATTTGAACTGCACTGGATGGCTGGACTCGGCCGGCGCCGGTCGTCGAGGTAGGCGGTCCCTGTTGCGTGGCTCGGCGGATCATCTGGCCAGTCTTTGGTGAGAGTGACGTGAGACGTGGGTTAGCGGCCATTTCATCAGCAAACGCGTTTACCTCAACATGCTTCTTTTCGACCACAACGTAGTCTCGTTCAAATGCCACATCTTGAGCCGCCTTCTCTTGTTCGGTGACACTCCGCTCGGTGACTGGACGAAGTCTGTTCCTTGTCGGATTATCGTTCAAGTACGATGTCGGCGGGGAGGCGGAGGCTCGTGCAGAAGGCCGGTTGAGAGCTGCATTCGAGAGTCTGTGTGGCCGGGCTGGTGCAGAAGTGGAGGGTTGGGCCATAGGCGGACGACGAATTCCTAGTCCCTCCCCGACTTCTTGCCCGGGAGACTGGCCTGGACGTGGTGCAGCATCAATGGCCTGTTGGGCTCGCCCTTCGATGGGACTGGGCAATTTCGGCGATCTCAGAGGCTTCTCACGAGGCGATTTTGCTGACTCCCCTTGCTCACGTACAGGCTCAGCCTCTGTTTGCCGGCGAAGAGAGAGCCGACGTGATAACGACGATGTGGAATCGGACCTGCCGAGAGACCGCAGATCGCGCGACGCCTTTGCCTCGGGCTTCGGCGGCGCATCATCTTCAACAGTGCCTGGAATGGGTTCTGTCAAAATTGGATCGTTGAAGAAGTCTTCGAATCTCATGCGTTCGACCGGGTTACGAGTGAGAAGCTTGCCGATGAGCTTGACCAGCTCTTTACTGACCACGAGCTCCTTGGGGTACTTAACCCGATCTTCGGCAGCTTCGATCTTTCGCAAGAGCTCTACGTGATTCCGGGCGCGAAATGGCGGACGACCGGTAATCATCTCGTATAACACCGTGCCTACAGACCACAGGTCGGCCTTCGCGTCGTACCGCTCATAGCGAAGGATTTCTGGAGCCATGTAGAGGGGAGAACCGCAGAGAGTGTCGGCGAGCGACGTTGACGGGAGGACACGAGCGAAGCCGAAATCCGCGAGCTTCAGCATCGGAAGAGAAGCGAGACCGGCATTAGGAATCAGTGAATCCTGGCTGGCGGTCAAGATCGGGCGGGAGTGTGCCTCCCTGAATCTTGGCGATGGTAGGAGCAAGAGGTTCTGAGGCTTGACATCGCGGTGAACGTAGTTCTTCTCTCTCAGGAACTTGAGAGCGCTGCCGAGCTGTTGAAGGAAATGGCGTGTGACAACCTCATGAAGACCCGAATTAGGGGTAACGGGGTACTTCCTCGCCATCTCGTGTGTTGCAGGGTTGGTGCTTAGCTTGTCCCTCTTCTTGATGAACAATGACAGGTCACCGAGCTCACAGTATTCCATCACCAGGTTGATATGTGTGGCTGATTCGACGCAGTCATGGAGGGCGACGATGTGCGGGTGGCGAAGAGTCTTGAGGATCTGGATCTCTCCGTACAAGTTCTCTCGTAGCTTGTTGTTCAAGCGTCCCATTTCTACTGATTTAATTGCGACGGTTGCCTTGGAGCTCTATCAAAAGAGAATTAGCACATTTGGAGCAACACAGCAATGCAAGCCAAAGTTGAGTCATAGCACTTGAGCAAATCAGGAGGGACAACAGATGGTGATACACGCAACAGGCCTCAAGGACAACACCACGGACAGGGGAGCTGGCGAACCTTGTGGTGACCACTGTACACCTGGGCAAAGCTGCCCTTGCCGATCTCGCCTCCAATAACAAAGTCTCCGATAGAAGCGTCGCCTTCGCGTCGCCTGCGTCCTGAAGAGGACGAGGTGGGTAACCGTTCCGCCATGTTGATTGCCTGTAATGCTGCTTGTTGTGAGGATGCGACTTCGGGGGTAGCGTTCAGGTCAGGCCTTTGGCCTATGCTATTCGAAATACGTCGGCCGGCTGGGGTGTCATGTACACGATCGAAGTTAGGGAGATGTGATGGTTTTATTCGATAGATTTGGCGGAAGAAAGGTGCGCCGAAAGAGAAGCAAGAGAAGATCAGGCAGAACCACGAGCAGCAGCCAGAACCCTGGTGTCGGTGCTTCGAAAGGTAGGGGACTGTGAAGGCAGCGACAGGCAGGTATCCGATAGGTCGGGGTGCACGCGGACCAGGTTGATGCAGAAGGGAAGGACCGTCGTAGCGTCCGTGGGTGGGTGCAGGATTGTGTCGACGAAGCGACCGGGAACGAAGCGAAAGTCGAAGAAGGTAAAGAAGGGCAAGGATGGATTTGTTCGGGGGGTCGTGGTGATCGAGCGGTGATCGGAGAGAGAGTTGGAGGAGGAGGGAGGCGCTGGAAGTATCGAGAGAGATGTGACTAATACGGGTGGACGGTGAGCGTTAGGAAGCAAGCCAAGGAGAAGGTACCAGGCCGTTTGAGGCTCTCTCTGGGAGTATATCGGAGAGTTTGGAGCAAGTTCGGAGGGGAAAAGGTACCTTTTTCAGGACAAGAGTCAGGCAAAATCCAAGGTCAAGCTAATGACTCGGAGCTACCAAGGACGTGACGTTGTGTACTCGAGAGGTACCCTGATGGAGTGGGCGACTGAGAGACAGAGAGGCGGTTATGGGCGAAGCAAACGGCGGTACAAACGGGCAGCCGGTGGATGGTGTAAGATGTTGGTGGTAAGGTATGCGCACAAAGGGCTTTCGCGGAGAGCAACCGGGGAGGGGCAGAGAAGTCGAGGGGATGTCGTGAATGTGATGAGCAGAGGGAGGTAGGAGGTGGAAAGAGAGAATATCTGAAGGATAAGGTCGAGCGAGGTTGGCGAAGGGGTGAGCGAGAGAGAGAGACGTGAGTGAGAGGAGTGGAGGGCGGTCAGGACGGGATGGGCAGGCGATGTAGAAGAAGGTCAAGGGACGCGCCGAGAGAGGGTTGAGTGACAGACCTGGAGCCAGCCGGGCAGCGCAGGACGGGAGCGAGTGACGAAGGGTGGATGGGGCGCAGAGTGGATAAGGCCTACTGATTAGATAGGGAGGTGCAGGGGAAGGTCCAATTGTTGATTGCGATAAAGGGCGCTTGGAGGTTCTGGTGGCAGGTGAGACCGTGAGAGGTACCTAACCTTGTCTACCTTACCTACGTACTTACTTAGGGTACCTAGGTAAGTACGTAGGTACCCCCGTACATTTCCAGGTTGGCCGCGGTAGCAGCCCTTTTTGACTGTCACTGGCTGTCTACAGTCAAAGTTCCTCTCCTACCTACGTTAACGTACCTAATGTAAGGTAGCGTGGGTACCGCAAGGCATGTATCAGATCGGGACTGGAGGAAGCAAGCAGCGGCGCAGCAGTAGCGCCAGATGGGACGGGAACCCAGTGTGAGTGACTGTCCCGTCAATGACAAGGACGGGAATCTATCACTGCGGTAAGGTGGTGAGTCCTAATTAATCGGAGCCGGCATGGGACTCAGGACTCAGGACTGCGGCCTGCGGCTTGCCGTATGCGAAGCGAAGCGCTGCGTTACCCTGGCGGTGGTTGCCTTTGATACATACTTTATGCAGCCGGCTAGGTATTCCTATGGATACACTGCAGGCGGGAGTACATACTGCGTATCCAAACACAACTGATGGTTGGAGATCCAAAGTGACAGGGCACAGGAAACCGGGAGGGCAAGGTAAGGTATGTGATGGGTCTGGCCGTAGGTGATGAACAAAAGGGATGGTGCTTGGGGTGCTTGGTCTTCTCCTGATTCGGAATGTTGAAGAAGATGTGGGCGGTGGATTGGTGGATTGATGGTTTGTTGGGTTAGGGTGAATGCGCTGTGATGCTGCGGGTAGGACAGCATGGAGAGGCGACAGCTGTGCTCCCTCTGTGCCTCTTAGTCTCTCCTTTCTATTCTCTCTTGTATCTCCAAGTCTCTTTCTCGCTCCCTTTCACTCACACTGTGAGTTGCAACCACGATCACGACGTGCCCCAGTCTGACTGACCAAGACAGACAGATCCAGGTGGCCAGGGTCGGTGTCGATGATGTAGTGTGTCTATCTGCCTGACCAGGGGGCCACAAGAGAGCGGAGGAGTCGCATATAGTGAGGGCGCTTGCGTCTGCCTCTCCAAATCCATTTATTATTGAAGTGTACGGAGTACCTTCAGTCAGTATACCGTATAATGCATCAGGGGACGACAGTCATTTGTCCAAGGCGCAACTCCAACAAGAATGACGACGATCCTCCTTGTGCTTGACTCGAAGTCAGAAAACGAACACACAGTGTACCGTAGTTTGTTATTGCTGGACTCTGAGGGGGGCAAGTGACCAGAGAAACGTGAGCTTTGCCTAGGCGACCCTTGGGTTTGGGGGCTCGTGATGCTCTGCGCTGCGCTGCCCGGTGGAGCTTTTTCCCCAATTGTGCGAGTGCTCGGCGTGAGGAGTCCATGAGTGCCGCGATGCGATACGTACCCAGCTATATGCCGTTCCGGAACAGCCAATGCAGGTGCATCGCAACCACCCCCGCTCGTATCCTCGTGGTCACTGGTCAGGGGTCCTTTTGGTGTTGCGTGGTGGTGCGACGGGGGTCTCATTGGAGAGGGATACCTTGCCTGTACCAGTCCGGTGTCGGTCACGCACACCCGCCCTTTACTGCGTACCCTTCAGCCCTCAGTGCTTCACAAAATGCATTTGCTTTGCTTGCTTGAGGTTAGGTGGGCTTTTGGGATTCTCCTTCAAAGCTTCTTGCTTTCTTGGTTACATAGTAGGCAGAATTACTTGCGCAAAGGTCAAGCACCTACCTTGAGGTACCAGGTATCACGCTGTCGCACGCAAATGCCATCATGACGCGATAAGGCTCATGTATCGCGATAAGACGCACGGTTCGGCAAGGTACCTTACCTGGGTACCTCGAGTTGGAGGTTAGCGCACCAATCCGTCCACCACCCACCACCACCGCCTTCCTCTTCCTGCACCCCTTCGTTGTCGTCCTCGCCCTCGTCCTCATCCTCATCCTCGCAGGCTCGCGCCCGTCTTTCTCATCTCCCCCGGACCAGCACGCCTTATCTCTGAGTCTTGTCATCTTTGATTAGGCTAGCGGCTGCGGCTGCGGCGACATACGGACACATCTTGTTGATCAGCACGGTACGACATCCGGGGTGACAGAAAATAGGGTATTCTGTTTCGGCGTTTGCATCTCGTCTGCATTCCTCCCCCCACGGCTCCTCTCGTCCAGACTTCCCAGACCTCCAGAATTGTCTCCACTCGCCGAACTCGCCTAACTTCCGTGTCTGGGAAGGCGCAGAGACAACGCAGCCAGCTCCAACCTCTTGGGTACAATGTCACCATTCACCAGTGTGGGTGTCAAGGGCTCGAGTTCATGGCCATTCTCCATCTTACCCCATGGCCCAAGCCGCAGACTTGCTTTTCTCCCTCTGCGGCTGCTGTTCCTATTTTGCGACCGGGAAGCAAGAGGAGCATGCAAAGGCATGTAGTGTACTCCGTTCAAATACCCAGGGAGAGCACGGCCGTTCTATTCACGGTCGACAATACGGACACGACCTGGACTCTTACCCTCGGCTGTGCTCAAGGACCAAAGAGCCTGAGGCACAATACCAGTACCTATGGAGGCGGTGCCTGAGGAAGCTGTTTGTGGTCATCTCAACTGTCATGAATCCTTGACTTTGACTCCAATAACAAAACAAGAACCTCTCAAGAGTCAAGGGGTCGAGGCCGAGACCCTGCTCCTCATCGTCACGCCGCGTTGCCATGGACCACCGCTCATCAATATCAAACCTCCCATGCATTGCAGAGCATGTCGCTAATTCAATAGGCAAACGACGGGCGGTGAGTGAACGACAAGGCATCGACGAGGCGAGGAGACTAGCCGGTGTAAGCTCACCGAGACCACCACTCAACTCAACAGAGACGCAGAGGTTCATTGTCTACGAACCCGTAGCTTCCACTGTGCAGCACGATACACTTTAGCTGCTGGAACACCTTGCGCCTGCCCGCTCGTCCCTGCTACTGGATTTCATCATCGCATCGTCAGGTCTTCGTCGAACAAGGTTCCCAGTAATAACGGCCACTCTTCTGTCCAATTCACGACTCCAACCTGGCTTGGTCTCCTCACCTCTTACATTTTGTTACCACCTTTGGCCCGACTCCAGCGAACCCGTTCTCAGTCTCTCCCCTGCAACAGCGTACTTGCGAAGGAACCCTATCCACCTGGCTTCACCTTACAGTGTGAACGGAGCACGGCAAACCTTACACTAAGACACGCTGCTAAGGTACCTAGCTGCCTGCAGTCCATCCTTGGAGCATTCCATCCGCCCTTCCAGATGCACGCCAGAACACTCGGACCGCATGAAAAACATGCCCACCGTCCCAGAGTCCCAGACCTCTCTGAGTTGTTTCGACACGTCAGTTACGCTGTGTTTCGGTCTACCTCTCGGCCAACCAAAGTACACAAGTCATCAAAGGTACCTTTCCGACATACACCGCTGCCCTCGGATACGATTGATCACCCTTTGGGGCCACACACTAACAACTTGAACCAGCACCAAAGTGGACTTCAGGGACCGATGGGCCTTGCATCAGATCTGTTCCGCTGGACCACCAGAACCCACAGAGCACTTAGGTTTTCCGAAAAGTACCCTGATAGACGGCAACTACCTACCCGCAATCTCCCTAGCAGCAGCAGCAAACACATGCTGCATCTCGTTATCTCATGTGAAAATCACCAGCCACGCCAGCGGCTAGACAAGCCAGCTGTCAATCGCCGTTGAAACAACCCATTTTTCAGCAGGTCGACCGATTTAAGCATACCGAGAGTGCTCGAAGCTCTTCAGTCTCTTTCTCTGGCCTTAAGCCTTGATGGTACCGACGGAATTGTTCTGTCTCCTCATTCCAGCGAGCCATGGCGCAATCTGGTGTTCCACAGCTAAAACGACTCGGTAATGACGGTGTCAACCTTCAAAGTACCTCACCTACCTTATGGATACATGGTCCCAAAGTCAAACAAGTCTACCGACACTTGCTACGCTACGCTACGTTATATGCCCGAGTGCGCTGCCGTCGTCGACTTGTCATCTATCGCCTCAAAACTTAGGTTTCCAGTCCAAACAACGCCCCCCGTCAACTGGGTATCTGATCCAATCTTGACTAACGGCAAACGCAAGCCCCATACTTTGCAACGAACCTTGCGCAATCAACAACTCTTCGCCTGCAGCCAGCACGCCCGTCTGGGCAATCAGCTATCCTCGGGGGCTGCTCGTCCCTGCTTCGCCTTGCCTCGCCTCAAGCTCGTCTCATTGCTCAGGCTGCTCACCTTCTTGCCTGGCGCCACCTGCCGTCGCTCTTGGTGCCAGCCAACCGGATCGACAGACGGCAGATCCGCGCTGGCACTGTCTCGAGACTCGACTGTCCGGGTTCGAGACTTTGTCCACTTCCACTTTGTGTTTCTTCAATGGTAGCGCTGACCGTGGCTCTCGTCGTTGTCTCCTTGCCTGGCGGACGGGATGAGATAAGACATGCGTCCAAACGCCGCGCGACCAACCAGGACACACCCATCACCCACAACAGGTCGTATTGTCATTATTGTCGGGCTCTCGGGAATCGTTGGAACTGGAGACGCAACTGCCTTACTCGATATGCATGGCTCAAACAACGCGAGAACCAACAGGAACCTCTCTAGCATAGCTGCATCGCTACCTTGCAGGAAAGTACCGTACTGCTTCGGTGACCACCACGACGCACAAGTGCCCCAGGCCGATACTTCTCCGACGATTTCATCCATGGCCTGACTTACTCTCGTGTCACCCTCTCATCCCAATCGAGACGTCTTTGCCATGTGTGCACGTCTCAGGCAACCACTCGTCCAAACGAAGTTTCTCCTCACTTTCTCCTGCTATGCATGCGCCTGTCCAACGGCACGAACCATTGATCAAGAGAATCGACTTTTCTGCCTAGACTTTACATGTGGTTCTGTTGATGCCCCAGGCTTCCACAAGCAACTTGGAACCCCTGTCTGGTGACAATGAAACCTTTTGACATCACCAATTCTGGTCTCGAATCGCACACATCCCCACAAGAAATCTCTCTGAAGCAGAGCGGCCAAGAGGTGAAGCTCAAGAGACCGAGGCAGAGAGCCGTTCGCTGTGCCTGCCCGGCTGGCAGCAACCATTGACGGCGCAACCCTCTCCGCTAACTAGCTAACACCTCCGAGACACATGTCTCGCTGGCCAGCCCCCCATGCAAGTGTCATTCGCCGTCCCAAAGGGGCAATCCGAATTGGGTGCCGCGCCCTCGGAGCCGTCATCCATTCTCGACGATCTTTGTCCGCTCAGAATATACCTTCTGTGGCGTACAAAAAGCCACACTATCTTCTATAGCTACGAAGAAGAAGGGTGCGAAACGTTCGGCTTCATCACATCAACTTTTCGACCATAACTATGGAGCAGTTGTTCCGGGTGGTCTTTATCAGACAGCTCTTGGTTCCCCGGCCGATCTTCAACGCTGTAGTCCATCCCTCCCGAGTACCACACGGGGACCCATCCCCGCGTGCTCCAACTTCAAGCTCCTCCGCCTGCCGCCCACCCCCTTGGCGGGTGGATGCCCGCATCACCCGAGGTCCTAGCGCCAAAATGACAGCCTCGCCGGCAGCGATCGACAATCCTTTTATCGTCGTCAGGCCAATCACCAAGATCAATGAGTGGCCACAGCGAAGCTCAAACTGAACGGAGGAAAGATGGAGTGGCACAGGCGATCATGGTGCGGCTCCAAAGTCGACGCAGAAGTCTGGGGAAGTACGACTTCTGCCCCTACGGAAAGATGACGGTCGAGAATTACCCCTTCAACTCGTCTTACAGTGTGGTCAAGTTGGGGGTGTTTAGACCAGGCTGTTTGACGCGCAATGCGGAGCGCCAATCGAGGCCGGCATCATGTTTCCTTCTCTCGAACGACTCGATGCTTCCCCGAAGTTACTGGCCGCGCTCATTGCCGTGTCGGCGAATCCTCATGCCCTGTTCGGGTTTTTGCAGCACCTCTGATACGTCACGATTGACGTCTCCGCATAGGAGGCTTGAAAACTACCTCCATGTTCTTCTGGCTCCCGCCAGGGTACTGCCAGGGTTTCTGCCTAGCCATCTGTGTCACTAGAAGTACGGATACCATGCCTTGTTGCAGGCTTCGACTCACGAAATCAAGAGCACCCCTGGAATGGGCATGCCTAGATCAGTGGCTCTGCCCTGTAGCAACACTTCCCATTTTTTCAGTTCTGTCCGCAAGAAGACAGGCTTCCTTCGTTGTATCGTAACCTAGGTCTCACAGGCAGCACTGATCACTGTTCCACGAGAAACGGGAGGATCCGTCGATTGCGTCTCAAAGACACCCTGACTCCCTGGTGTTGAAACCCCTTCCACCTTGCTTACACATGACGTCTACGTCGCTCAGAGAAATGGAGTTGCAGCTCAAAGTACGCAGCACACCTGAATCTTGTGCTCAACGCTGGCCCCGACACTTACAAGAGTTACGGTCCACCGCAGCGTCGATCGGCTCACACAGCCGTTTCTCTCTGGCGCAACTGACAAGCTTCAACCTGCCGGGTCGCCTTGGTAGATGATCCTTCTTGCAGCCGGGAAGGCTCACTAGAACTTGACGTCTGCCTCGAACAGCGTTGAATATGTACTCAAGTCAATGGCCACACAAGCTCGAGGACGTTTCTGCGTTTTCTGCAGCAAAATCTGGGAGATGCGACACCCTCTTTGGATTGGCGTGCTCTAAACACTGAGATATATCGCTGCGGGCAGATCGACCTGGCCTGCTGCGGTCTTCCACTCCCCACGAGATGGCGGTCTTTCCGGTCGAGACCTGTTTGAGCTTATGCCTTGGCTCGTCCGCCAACACTTCTACTCAGAGCTTAGACTTGTTGTTGACAGCGACTCATACCGAGTTCTTACCATCACCGCCATCTTTCCAAGGACGGCGCGGGATCGTGGGTCAGCAAACAGCAGGCCGAAAACTCATCGCCGTCGGGGAGAGCACCATTTCCTCTGATCTGTTTCCGCAGACGCAGATCCCGGCACGCAGTGGTTCTCGATGAAGAGGATATGATGCACTCCATCGTCTAGGAACGATTCATGCAGATGAAGTTTCTACGAAATTCAAAGATCAACAACAACTCACTCCGTCGAGGTAGGATTTGATGGACAACAATAAGCTCATTGCTCCACCGTATGTATATTGAGGGATGGTACATTTGGCCTCACCTGTATCCGAACCCCTGAACTAGTCTGCTTACCCGCTTACCGGCAGTCCACCTTCCCCCTCCCATCTCGTGTGACTCAACCCTTCAGATAGCATATAGCTAGCGCAGGAGTCGAAGAGAGGTGGAGAGAGGGGGGAGGGGGGAATTGGAGGGCTAGGAGAAGGCCAAAGCTATACCCACAGAGAGGGTTCATTGACGACACGGAAACAATATGTATCATGTAAGTTCTTGGCGTGAAGATATTCTAGGCAGCTAGGTGTGACCGGGCAACGATGTCTGTCTACTATGTCAAGGCTTTCGCAAATGAGATGATGGTAGATATGGTTTGAGTTGAGGAGACCAACTTGAGCATAACGAAAAGAAGAGAAGAACAGGAACGATTCTAATCACCTTTGTTTCGTTGTCCATTAAAAAACACTTGTCTGGATGTAGGGTGCTATAGCAAACGTGCAACAAAGAACAGAAACAACAGCGTCGGAGCATCTAGAAAAATACGTCTATTCAGCAAGTAAGCTCAGCACCCTCATAGACCCCAGAATGAAACGTGGGGAAGAGAGCATGGTTCGACCGTCCGCCTAGTCTGAGTCACGACAACATCAAGCGTATCAGCGCGTGAACAGAGACATGTACGAGAGATATGATGGTCCAGAGTGAGAGAGAAAGGGTGGGAAGAGCTTCGATGCGGCTCGACGTGTCCTACACCACCTTGGAGCTCTGTTGCCTGACTGCCTACCCAGCCATCTGCCTGCCGAGAAGCATGCATGCCAAATATGCAGCTTACCAGATTCGTAGAGCTCCAGCTCCATCACCTAGCCACTAACATTCAGTCTCACAGGAACAAGGCATCGCCGGTGGTGTCAACGATGCGTGGAGCGACTTTCAATATACACCTCTTTTACTTTACAAAACCTCTTTCTCGTTTCAACAAACGTCTTTTTTTAGCTCGTTCTAATCTCTAACTGAATGTATCCATGAAGCAGTCCCCCATAAAGTTGGGGAACCAGCCACAGCGCCGTTGGGTATGCAACATCTAAAGAAGTAACATTGGGGAGCGGCGAATGCTTTTGCACAGTACGCCCTCTGCTTCCCCCCGCGCCGATGACCTATGCTCCGTATGCTCCATGCTCCGTACCCCGTATGCGATGAATAGAAAAAAGGATGTCCCTGGCAAGCCCAAGTGTGTGTGTGACCTGACTCTGCCGTGAGACCACCCCGGACCCCCCCGCGCCGCAACCTTGAAGCTGCCTCCTTTCTTTTCTCTCCCTCTTTCGAGGGCAGACAAATAACATGCGCCTCCGTGGAAGCGATGCTCTTTGACGACCCCCAACTAGATATCCATACCAAGCCGTCAACTGCTGCGTCATTAAGGCTATTCGTCAGAGTCCATCATTGGATCCCGACTTTGACCAACCGTACCCCACACTTTTGTGTGGTGTGACAGGACACCAGCCGCTCGACGATCATTGACAAGTACACCTCGTTGGAGAGCGTATCTGTCCGTCATCACTACTATCTCAGTGAGCCTCTTACATTCACTTAGTGGTGCGCCGCCTTCTCGACGGTGGGGAGCTCCTTGAGCGCCTCGCCAATGATGTTGATGGCCTTGCGAAGCTCGGTCTCGGTGATGACCAGAGGAGGGGCGAAGCGGATGATGTTGCCGTGTGTAGGCTTGGCCTGTGGGAAAAGCAAGACGGGTCAGTCATGTGCCGTGTGTGATATTACATGAAGGGGCGTTTGCAAACTTACCAGGAGACCCTTCTCCTTCAACAACAGGCACAGGTCCCAGGCCGTGCGGCCAGCGGTAGCCGACTCGTCAATGACGACGGCGTTGAGGAGACCCTTTCCGCGCACCAGCTCGACGATGGGCGAGTTGAAGGCTCTGATGCCCTCACGGAAGATGTTTCCGAGCTTCTCGGCCTTGGCAGTCAGGTCTTCCTCCTCCATGATCTCCAACGCGCGGATGGACACGGCGCATCCGAGGGGGTTGCCGCCGTAGGTGGAGCCGTGGGTGCCGGGCTCGACGACCAGCATGATCTCCTTGCTCGACAGAACGCAGCTGACGGGGTACAGGCCGCCAGAGATGGCCTTGCCCAGGGTGATCATGTCGGGCTTGATGCCGGCCCACTGGGAGCACAACATGCGTCCAGTGCGGCCGATACCGGTCTGGATCTCGTCGCAGATGAAGAGGACGTTATGCTTCTTGCAAAGGTCGTTCACCCTCTTCAGGTAGTCGTCGTCGGGGACAACGACGCCGGCCTCGCCCTGGATCGGCTCGATGATGATGGCGGCAGTGTCCTTGCCGTGCGCCTCGAAGACCGCCTCGATATCCTCGACGTTGTTGTAGCGGATGGCCTTGCCCGTGGAAGGGTTCAGGGCGCCAATGTTGGGGACATAGGGGCCGTAGTTGTCCCTCGATTCGGGGTCGACTGACAGAGAGATGGCAGTCATCTGGGAGGGTTTCATGTCAGCCTTGGTCCGTAGGGGGAAAACGCAGCTGCCAGCCGCGGCATCTCGAAAATGTACTCACAGTTCGGCCGTGGAAGTTGTCGTTAACGGAGAAGACCAGGGCCTTGCCCTGCTCGACGCCCTTGACCTTGTACGCCCACTTGCGGGCAATCTTGATGGCGGTCTCGACGGCCTCGGCGCCCGTGTTCATGGGCAAAACCATGTCGTAGCCAAAGACCTGCTGGATCTTCTCGGCCCACTTGGGGAAGACATCGTTGTAGAAGGCTCTGGAGCTGAGGGTCAGCCTACTGGCCTGCTCGGTCAGGGCCTTGACCAGCTCGGGGTGGCAGTGGCCCTGGTTGACGGCGCTGTAGGCGGAGAGGAAGTCGAGGTACTGCTTGCCCTCGGGATCCCAGACGTGGACGCCGCTGGCCTTGGAGAAGACGACGGGCAGCGGGTGGTAGTTGTGGGCAGCGAGCTCCTCCTCGGACTTGATGGCGGCCTGGGTGGAAGAGGCGTGGTATCTCGACTCGACTCCGCCATTGGACTGAGGGGTGCCGCCGTTTGCGTGGGGGGCCATGTTGCCTGATTTACGATGGATGGACTTGGTGAGAGGGAGAGAGAGAGAGAGCAATGTGGATGAGATGAGTGGAATGGGTATTTGAAAAAGGATCAATTGGCTCCAGGGGACGTTCAATTGTTGTCAGAGAGTGTTTGCGACTCAGGACAAGTGGCCGTTCAAGTAGAGTTCGTGGGCAAGGAGATGGAGAGTTGGGAGAAGGAGAACGTCAAGAGAAGAAGACGGGAACGAGGGGCAAATCGCGGGGTCTTGGGTAGTTATACCCCCCCTGGCAGAAAGCCCGGCCATCCTTGACTAAAAAGGACTCAAGCGCGATACGGAAGCAGAAAAGCAGGAAACCAGGTGGTCGTGGGAAAGCGGCGGCGGCGGCAACGTGGACAGGGTCCCAACATGGCCGGAGGCGGACGATACGAATACCTTGGAAAGTACATGGCCCTGCCGGGCTGGTACGAGCACCAAAGACAAAGCAGACGAGACGGGCATGACGGGTTCTGGCCAGTTTGTGGATTTGAAAAAAATCTAAGCTACCTATGCAAGTGTGTGAAAAACGGCTGGACCTTGACCTGGAACCAAAATCTTGGTGTCGGAGTCAGAAGGCGCGCCACTATGCCTTTAAGTGCAGGTATGTTCCCCTAAGCGCAGGTATAAGCGGCTCAAGTGGGTGAGTGGGCAGGATGACGCCCGAGGGGGGCCATGGAAGGGAAACCATCCCGGTGCCAATTCAGTCACATGGCCCCTGGGGGGAAGAGAGAGAGGGGAGGGGTGGCGCGGACGTAGGAAGAAAAGCAGTGCGTTCGGTCACCGGTGGTTTCTTTGATGCTTTTCTCTGGGGTAAGAATCTCGTAATGGAATATGGAACAGGATGCGGTTGCTTGGTGTTGCCGCGGGTTGTAGTCTGGGGGAAGGTGGGCAGGTGACTGCCGCGGTGTTGTTGATGATGGAAAGTCAACTTTCAAGGAAAGGAAACCACCAATCCCATCAGAGGGAGCAACCAAGCCGAGCCGAGAGCCTCTTGCCAATGCGGCGGGGGGAGAGACAACAACTGCGAGAAGCTGGAACGAGGAATGAGGAATGCAGCGAGGCCGATAACGGGCATCTGTGCTTGCGGCGTTGGAGAGGCACAGCGAGCCCTATCTACGCTATCATATTTCTTTTGCGTTGCAGACGGCCAACGGTGTAACGATTTGTCGACAACTAGAGAAACCGCCTACATGTAGGTACTATATTCAACGACGTACGATTGGACTGAATAGAAAAAGATAGGGAATTACATGTAGATAAACCATGGAACGTGGTGCGTGGAGAATACGCAGAGTGACAGAGTAAGGTACCTACCTTAGTACATAAGGTATTGGGGCCGATGCGGACGGCAGAGGAAAAGGCTCCGTGGCCCAATGACAAAGACGCTATTTCCATTCCCGCTGCTCGGATCCAATAGGGCCGTCCATTTATATGGAGCCAGCCAAGGATCCAATGAGCATCTGTTCTACCGCCAGATAAGTGGATATCATCAGGTTCCTGCCTGAGAGTACCTATGTATCGATTTTGTTGCCTCTTAAACAAGGCAACAAGGCTACATGTGGTGCTGTGTCCTCATCACCTTAAGGTATGTACTGTGCAGTAGGTAGGTACCTCAGGTAGGTTCTTCAGGCTTCGGCGACTGCTTCTTTAGTGACCAATTGCCTGAGGACGGTGGCCTGTCATTGAAACTTAGCGCCTCTGCGTCCGTCCACGGCGCTGCCGTAAGCCCGCAACATCCCTGGTCCTCCCGTCTCGACATTCCATTAGCGATCAAGAACACCGCTTTTCGGCATCAACTTTTCCATCACAGCCCACACACTCCTTTCTCTCTTCCCCTGTGCCCCCGACTAGCTGACGGCCACACGGCAAACCGCGAGAGGAGGAAAAGAGCGAAAGAAAGAAGAAGAGAAAAGTCTGTTCGGCTTGACACACATACATACGAACAACCGGTACACACGCGGCACCACCATCAACACACTCTGACTCGCCAAATCCATCGGACTCCCCGTTGCGTTGACCGAACCGTTCGTTTCCCTCGCCGCCGCCGTTCCTGCAAGAAAGGTCATCCCCCCCTTACCAGCTCACCGCAAAACCCTCTTCCGACCGATGATTACGCAAGTCCCTTCCGTCCCCCCACCCCGCCAGACTGCCGCCGCCGCCGCCGGCCACAAAACTCTCCAACTCACCCCGTATCCACAATGGCTTCCGTCGGCTCCCCGCCCGCCCCCGAACTCCTAATGGCAGTTCGTAACGAGCACAACAAGCCCTCCGTCTTCCGGTCCCTCCTCGTCATCCGTCTCCTCAACGCCTGGTGGGTCCTCACCTTTTTCCAGCCCGACGAGTACTTTCAGGCCCTCGAACCCGCCTGGCGCATCGCCTTTGGCCAAGGGAGCGGCGCCTGGATCACCTGGGTGAGTTGCCATGCTCTATTCGCAACTTTTATTCATCATCACTATTCACGATATCAGAGGAAGTAACCTATGTTGAATCCCATATGCAACTAACACACCCAGGAATGGAGAAACCAGCTCCGCTCCTCGCTGCATCCCGCCCTCTTCGCCGGCGTCTACACCCTCGCAGACCTCGTCGCCCGCCCGCTCCCCATCATCAGGCCATGGCTCCTCCTCGCCGCTCCAAAGGCCGCACAGGCCGTCTTCGCCGCCGCCGGCGACTGGTACACCTGGCAGCTAGCCGTCAAGATCTACGGCGCCGATAGCTCCGTCTCATGGTTTGCTGTAAGTCACCATCACCACCACCACCACCACCACCACTACCACCATCAGTAGCTCCCACAACTTGCTATACCTTCTTGACGTATGTAAATGAAATGATGGCTGACGCAACGTCCTCGTATAGCTGTTCATGAGCATGTTCAGCCCTTTCCAATGGTACTGCTCCACCCGCACCTTTTCCAACTCGCTCGAGACCACGCTCACCATCATGGCCCTCAACTACTGGCCCTGGGAGCTCCTCGGTGACGCAAAGACGGAAAAGGAGAACCCCAAGCCCGCAAGGTCCATCTTGCACACGCCCGGGACGCTCACTAGGTACGTCTCCGTCTCTCGCATTCTGACACCGGCCGGCCACCCACCTGAACCGGCCTCCAAAGAAAAACACTCACTTACACGCCAATAGTCTCCGCTTATCCCTCATCCTCGCCGCGACAGCAGTCCTCCTCCGCCCAACAAACATCCTCATCTGGATCCCAATCGCCCTCGCAACCCTCCTCCGGCCCCTCTTTTCACGCTCAAACTCCGGCTCCGACCCCGGCTCCACCACCTCCGTCCTCACCCCGCAAACCATCCTCCTCCTCCTCCGCGAAGCCCTCCTCTGCGGCACCCTCGTCCTCTCCCTCTCCCTAACCTCAGACCGCCTCTACTTTGGCCAATGGGCCTTTCCCCCCTACAAATTCCTCTACTTCAACCTCTCCCAGTCCCTCGCCGTCCTCTACGGCCGCAACGACTGGCACTACTACCTCTCCCAGGGCCTCCCCCTCCTCTCAATGACCTACCTCCCCTTCGTCCTCACATCCCTCTACAAACCGCCCTCACCAACAACAACCACATCACCATCATCACACTCCAAAATCCCCAGCAAAGCAACCCTCAAAACCCTAACCTGGACAGTCTACGCCACCATCGCAGCCCTCTCCACCGTCTCCCACAAAGAAGTCCGCTTCATCTACCCCCTCCTCCCGACCCTCCACATCCTCGCCGCCGCGCCCCTGGCATCCTTCTTCACCACCCCGGCCCCGCCGCCGACCGCGCGCTCCCCGCTCCCGAAGCCCCGCCTCCGCCGCAAGCGCCTCCTCGCTTCCGCCCTCGTCCTCCACGCCGCAATCGCCTTCTTCCTCACCCTCCTCCACCAGCCCGCGCCCCTGACGGTCCTGACCTTCCTCCGCACCTCGTACGCCCGCATACACCCGGAGCAGGCCGCCACATCGGCCCCGATCGCGTCCCTGGCCTTGGCCTCTCTGGCTTCCTCCTCCTCCTCCTCTGCATCATCATCATCGTCAACAAAACAATCACAAGGCAACGAACTCTTCGCCCTCTTCCTGACACCATGCCACTCCACCCCCTGGCGCTCCCACCTCCTCCACCCCGCCCTCCGCGCCCGCGCCCTCACCTGCGAGCCGCCCCTGCACACCAACCCAGACTCCCCTGAACGCGAAGCCTACCGCGACGAGGCGGACCGCTTCTACGACGACCCCCAGCTCTTCATGGCGACCGAGTTGTGGCCGGCAGCCGAGTCCAGGTCCAGCTCCGACTCCGAGCCAGCAACAGCAGCATCATCATCATCATCATCGGCACCACCAGAAGACATCCCCCGCTACATCATCGGCTTCGAAGGCATCGAACCCTGGCTCCACGACTTCTTCTCCTCCCCCCAAGGCGCGGGCCACAACCTCGGCGTGAGCCCGAAACGCGTCTGGTCAGGCTGGAACGGCTTCTTCAACGAGGACGCCCGTCGGCGCGGGAAGCTCGTCGTGTGGGATACGGGGCTGTATACCACTGTATCCTAAACACAAAATGCCAAACAAAACTAGCCATGGTCAGTGTAAGAATAAGAGTAAAGAGGCAAGAGTAAAAAAAAACGGCAACAAGTTCCATTCTCACATACATACCCCTTCCCACAATACATCACAAAACCAAAAGCATCATCGTGAACTTGAATAATGACAAAAAATTCTTTCTTTTCCTACCCTATCCTGGGCCCGTGAACACATGTAACCAAATCCCCAGGAATCGTTAGAGGGACAGGAGTGGCCGGGGCTACTACACGTCATGACAAAAAAGAAAACGCCAACTTGACAGGATACCTTTCATAGCGAGCGAGCCCGTAGACAATGCGTCGCTGTACACCAAGCCAGAGAATCGAACAACTCCGTACATTTATGATGATTCACCAACAACAAGCACGCGCATGCCCCCTTTTTCTTCTCAAACGTTCAAACGCGGATTCTTGAAATTTTGGGTTGGCCTCGTCTAGGCTGCCCCCTTCCCTCTAGAACCCTTCGATGTATCATGTCCAATCATGAGTGAAATGGAATATTCCACAGAAAAACGTGCTCTTGATAAACAAAACACCTCAAATGGGCATACTTCGAACACGGCTCATTATCGATATTACCGCGCCGCTTCAGGTGCTGGCTGCGTTGGCGGTGCAATCTCCGGCTGAGAGGCTGCTGCCAACTGAGACTTTGCCGGTTGGGCCGGTGCTGGCGGGTTTGCTACGGTAGATGCGGGAGGCGACGATACTGGACTCGTTACCGTTGGAGATGATGCCTGCTGCGATGGTGCTGATGTCGGCTGGGGTGGCGGAGGTTGAGACGTGGTGGTTTGCGTCGCTGCCGGCTGAGTCGCCGCCGTCTGAGTCGGGGCCGCTTGCTGCGGCAATGGTGGTACAGGTGGGTTCTGCGCCCTCTCCTCGGGTTCCCTGCGAATATCTAGACTCTTTCCC